CCCACCCCCTTACCCCCCACCACCACGAGCTGGCTCGAAGACGCCCTCGCGGACCGCGACGCCCTCCGCGCGTCCTGCGTCCGCCTGCGCGCGGACAACGCGGAGCTCGCAGCCCACAACGCCGCGCTCGAGGCGCGCCTCGCCGCCCTCGTCGCGCGCGCGGATGCGCTGCAGCGCATGCTGGCGCACGGCGAGTGCGCGTGCGGCGGGCGGCATGTGCCGCATTGCCGGTGTTGTGCGTTGCGGCGGGGCGGCAACAGCCCGTGGCCGGCGAGTGTGCGCGCTGAAGCGCAGAAGGCGGAGGTGCAAGCGCGAGGGATGCGGCGGCTGCGGCTTGGTCGTCGCGGATGTGGGCGCGAGGTCGACCCCGACGCTAGCGTCGTCTCGGAAACGGCGGGGGAGTTGGGGGACGTCAGCTGCGAAGTGGAGATGTACTAGTCGTGCGATGACGATATACCATACACCATGCATCTGTACAACCTATTTGGCCGCGGGGCGCGTCATGAGGTTGCGCACGTTGGAGGGGAGGAGGCGCGCCGCGTCCGCCGCGTCCATCTTCTTGAGCGACGCGAGCGGGTAGAACTTGGACAGCGCGACAAGCTCGAGCCGCAGCGCGCGCAGCCCGTCCTCGCCATCCGGCGTCGGCTCGGGCTTGGCGTCGCCGTTCGCCGCCTCCCCATGGCTCTCTCTTTTGACATCCCCCTCCAGCTTGATCCGCTTGACCAGCTTGGCGTCCTTGACGTCCAGTCCGTCCGCCCCGCGCTTCCCATTCGCATTGTGCTCGGACATGAACGCCATGGCGATGTCGCCGTCCCCGTCCAGCAAGCCAGCTTCCAGCTTCTCGCCCAGCTCGGCGCGCTCGCGCACCACGCGGTCAATCTCGTCGCTGACCCACTTCAGAGCCTTCTGCACGCCACCCTTACCGCCCACGCCTGTATGTCCAAAGTCTGCGGGCTCACGCAGCAGTGGTTGGAGATCGAGCGGGTTCTCCGCGCTCGTCAATCTGCGGAGCGCCAGACGGGCGTACGCTGCGCGCGCAGTCTCCGACAGCGACGCAGGATCGGTCGCAAGCGTGTTTGCCGTGTCGCGCGCAATACGCGAGAGGCGAGACTGCAGCACGCCCTCGTGCCACTTCTCTTCCACGTAGCTGGTGAGGTCGGCGTGTGTTTCAGGATCAGTCTTGATGCCCGCCATGAAGCGGCGCACGCTGGCCGCATACGCTTCTCCGCGGACGTCTCCGAGCGCAAGATCTGATAGGTAGCAGGAGGCGGGCTGACCCGCGTTGACGTCCACAAAGTTCTGAGCGGGCAGACCAGGGCGCGCACGCGGTGCGTCCGGGCGCAGGTGAGACGCAAGGAGCTCGACATCATCCTGTTCCGTAAAGTGCGGCATCGCTCGGCCTTCCGGAAGGGCCGCGAGGCGAGCTTTGCTGATGTCGGCGTTTACCTCGTCGAAGCGGCCCCACTGCAGATCGAGCCTCTTCATTTTCAGAGGGTTGGGCTTGAGTCGTGCTGCGCCCGGGAGGGGCGGCTGCCCCGTTGGCCCACCTGGCCCGTCCCAGTCCCACCACTCCTCCTCGCCCTCGCCCATCCCCACCCAGTCTGGCACCTCCGTCCATGAACTGGCCTTGCGCGTCCGCAAATGCTCGAACATATCGGCGGGGTCGTCCATCTCTGCGACGTCGAAGCTTCCATCGGGCAGCATGTCACGCCACTTGCCGGAGAACTTCTCACGACCACGGACCAGACGCTTAGCACGCACGCGACGGCCACCGGTCAGGTTCCAGCCGACAGCCTTGGCCTGGAGCGAGTTGGCAGGAAACTCGAGCATCACCTCAGGGATGAGATGCTCCGGCTTGATCTCCCGCCCGCGACGACCGGGAGTGGCGCGCTCAGAGTCGGGGAGGTGGGATGGCCGAGCCGAAGGGGAAAGTGAGGGCGTGGGGGTGAGAACTAGAGGGCGTGAGCGCTCGATGTGCTTCATGCCGTGCTTGAAGACCTTGTCGGCCTCGCGGTACGCGGCGGTACCGGGGAGGTTGAATGCGTGCGCCGCGGCGTGCATCCGGCGTGCATCGGCCTTCCGTCAGCGGTAATAAAGAACTCAAGCTCACCTCCAACTCCTCGATGCCGTGATATTCTCCAGAGTCGATCTTCCGCTGCATTGTGCCGAGGTCCATGGCGTTATCTGGCCCGCCGATGGTTTCAATGTAGCCTGGGTACTCGTCGACGTCGACTGCTGTCAGCTCTGACCCTAGCATGCAAACTCACCTGGCTCGAGGAAGAATCCGTATTCATCCTTGCGTCGCATCTCTGCAAGGATCTTGTTCGCCAGTTCACGGAAGGGCTTCTTGACCCGTTTCCACTGCTTACGTGTCGCAAAGGTCGTCATATCCTCGCTGCCCTCCCTCCACGGAGTCGCGGGCGTACTCGTGTCCATGGGAGTACCGTAGTCGGCGTTAGGTGATAGTGCCCATGAGGCGAGAGGGTCGTCGTCGTGCTCGAGCTTGACGGACGGGGAGCGGGCGCGGGGCGCAGGTGAAGCAACGTGCGGAGGGATCGCCGTGGGCATGGGCAACGTGTGCTTTCGTGGACGGCTGCGCTTGCGCTTCGGAGGCGCGCCCTCGGGCGTGCTCGCCTCGCTTGGGGTGCCGGAGATAGGCGTTGCGATGGAGAGAGGAGGCGCGTGTGCGGAGGAGGGTCCTTCCGAGGGCAGGCGCGAGGAGCTTGACTCTGCCGGAGTAGCATTACCGCTTCCATTCGCACGGTTTGTAGCTGGAGTCGGCGTCGAGGGGGCCGAGGGTCGTATTCCACCAAGGGTGAGCTTGAGCTTGATGGATGCCATGGTGGGAGGGTGATGATGGAAGTTGGGGGAAGGGAGAACGGGGGAGGAGAGAGGGAGTATGTCCCCCTTGCCGCGGGAGCGGAGGGGGGAGAATGGAGAGAGATGGAGGAGACTTGAGAGAGGGAGGAGAGGAGAAGAGAGACGCGATGAGGAGGCTTGTTGTGATGATGAGCGGGGTGGACGTCGAGGGTGGAGGCAGCTGGTGGCGCGAGGGGAGGAAGGCAAGGTGATTAATGCGGAGGCAGAAAATCAGCAACACGTTGCCACCGAGCGCTCAATGTTGGGCATTAGCTTCAGTTTGATTCCGCTAATCCACCAATCGTAATACCCAGTCTCCCGGCGACAGAACTGGGGAGTCGGGCCGATGCCGACAAGGCGTGGGGCAGCGGACCCTTGAAGCGCGTCACCCCTCCACCCTCCACTTGGCACTCACCATCTCGAGATCTCCTCGTCTCTCTCTTGTCTCCCTTCTCCCTCGTCCACAATCATCAGAGGAGCACTCACCATGAAGCTGCTCCTCCCAGCTCTCCTCCTCGCTCTAGGCGCTCACGCCGTCAAGCGCGAGGACTTCAAAGAGTGCGCGCAGACCTCGTTCTGTCGCCGTCTCCGTCCTCTCTCCAGCAAGTCTGAAGTAGCCGACTTCACCTCACCCTACTCGCTCGGCTCGCCTTCGCCCGCCGTCTCTCCTCACATTGGTACCCCGGCGAAGGACGCTGCCTGGACTTTTCCCCTCACATCGACGCTCTACCCCGACGTCGGCTTTGAACTACGCGTGGACGTCCTCGACGGCGACATCGCACAGGTTCGCGTCGACGAGGTCGGCTCGGCGTCCCCATGGCGCCGGTACAACGAGACGGCCAAGTGGGCGCTCCTCTCTCCCGAGCCGGCGCACGTTAGGGCCTCCATCACTACGAAGAAAGGCGTGAGCTCAATCAAGTATGGCACCGGGCTAGAACTACGGATCAACCACTCGCCCCTGCGCATTGCTATGCTGCGCGGTGGCACCGAGGAGATTGTGTTCAACGATCGAGGGCTCTTCCACATGGAGCACTTCCGCACTAAAGAGATTGCTATTGAGGAAGAGGAGGTCGTCAAGGCTGAGGACGGCGAGGAGGTCAAGACTGAAGAAGGAGCCGAGGTTACGACTGAGGAGCCTGTCGAAGTCAAGTCCGAGCCCGAGGAACAGAAGCCTTTCGAGGCGACCATCGACCGCTCCTGGTTTGAGACAGAGGATGGTGACTTGTTCGAGGAGCACTGGAAGCGATGGCGCGACTCCAAGCCCAAGGGTGAGTGGCCACCCCCAATCGATGCTGACAGCAGGCCCCGAGGCGTTCTCGCTCGACCTCACCTTCCCTCGCGCCAAGCACGTCTTTGGTCTCCCGGAGCATGCTTCTCCCCTCTCGCTGCCTGACACTATCGGCGAGGGCAGCTACTACTCTGAGCCATACCGTCTCTGGAACGTCGACATCTTCGAGTACGTCGCTGACAGCCCTATGGCATTGTACGGCGCCGTGCCGCTCCTCCACGCGCACAGTGCCCAGGGCACAGTAGGTGTGCTCAACCTCGTCGCGTCCGAGACGTGGGTTGATGTCGCCCACACCAAGGGCGTGCAGACGCACTGGATCTCGGAGAGTGGCATCATGGACCTACTCCTTCTCCCTGGTCCAAACCCAACTGCTCTTTTCGAGCAGTACGCCACCCTCACAGGCCCTGCGCAGATGCCACCTCAGTTTGCAACTGCGTACCACCAGTGCCGCTGGAACTACAACACTCAGGGCGAGGTGATTGAGGTCCAGGACCGCTTTGAGGAGGCAGACATGCCACTTGACGTAACCTGGCTTGACATCGAGTACGCCGACGAGCACCGTTACTTTGACTGGAACAAGAAGATGTTCCCGGATCCGGTTGCGATGCTTGACCAGGTCGCCAAGCTCGGGCGCAAGGTGAGGGCGTTTTCCTGGACTCTGGCTGACGACAGATGGTTGCTATCGTGGACCCGCACATCAAGCGTACTGACTCCTTCCGTGTCTACAAGGACTCGCTTGACCTCGATATCCTAATCAAGAAGGCCGACAACAACAACTTTGACGGCTGGTGCTGGCCTGGCTCATCCGTGTGGGTCGACTTCTTCAACCCGAAGTCGTGGGAGTGGTGGACGCGCATGTTTTCCTTCGAGACATGGGCGGACCAGACTAAGGCGCTGTTTGTGTGGAATGACATGAACGAGCCTTCCGTCTTTGACGGCCCGGAGATCACGATGCCCAAGGACAACATTCACGCCGGGGGTTGGGAGCACCGAGACGTGCACAACATCAACGGCATGCTGTTCCACAACCAGACGCAGCACGCGATCTCCGTTCGTGAGCCGACCAAGAAGCGTCCCTTTGTCCTTTCGCGCGCCTACTTTGCCGGCTCGCACCGGTACGGGGCGATCTGGACGGGCGACAATCTTGGCACGTGGGAGCACCTCGCTGGCGAGAGTGCCATGTTCCTCTCCAACTCGATTGCGGGTATGAGCTTCGTTGGCGCTGACATCGGCGGATTCTTCGGCAACCCCGGCACTGAAATGCTCGTGCGCTGGTACCAGGCCGGCGCGTTCATGCCGTTTATGCGCGCTCACGCGCACATCGACACGAAGCGCCGCGAGCCGTACCTGTACGACGAGCCCATCCGCTCGCACCTTCGTGACGCGCTGCGCCTGCGCTACACTCTCCTGCCGACGTGGTACAACGCGTTCCACGACGCGGCGACCAAGGGCTACCCCGTCATCTGGCCACAGTACGCCAAGTTCCCGGCCGACGAGTCCGGCGCCGCAGTCGATGACCAGTATTACGTTGGCGACTCCGGACTGCTCTTCAAGCCGGTCGTGGTTGAGGGCGCAACCACTACAGAAGTGTACCTTGCCGCCAACGAGCCGTACTACGACTACTTCAGTGCGCGGATGTGGCCTGCGCGCGCGAAGCCGCGCAACATCACGCTCGACACGCCGCTCGACAAGTTCCCGCTGCTAATTGAAGGCGGACACATCTTCCCCTCGCGCGAGCGCGTGCGCCGCGCCTCGTCCCTCATGGGCCAGGACCCCGTGACGCTCACCGTCGCGCTGGGGAAGAACGGCGCGCACGGGCAGCTGTACCTCGACGACGGCGAGACGTTCGCGTGGGAGCGCGGCGAGTTCGTGCACCGCGAGTTGGCGTACGCCGACGGCCGGTTGCGGAGCACGCAAAAGGTGCCGCACGACGCGCACAACGCCTTTGCGCGCTCCATCGCCGCCGTTGGCGTCGAGCGCGTGCGTGTCCTCGGCCTCAATAAGGCGCCGAGCAGCGTAACTGTCGCCGGGCGAGAGGTGCAGTTTGAGTGGGAAAAGGGGGCGCCGAAGGCCAAGGAGCCGCGCGCAGGCATCCTCACGATCAAGAACCCTGGCGTCAAGGTCGTCGACGACTGGGAGATCGTGATTGCCTAAGCGCAGCTTTGCATGGCGCCGAGGCGTCCCATCTTGCATGTAGACATAGAAAACGTGAACTTGACAATGCGCATGTGTGGGAAATTAGAGCGTTGAGCATCGAGGTCAGACGAGCAGAGATCAGCGCAGTTGCGTAGCTTTCACGACTGGGCAGTGAACGTGAAACCTGTGTCCTAGTGACGACGGAGAGGGGTTAGAAGGCTCCTGATGTTGGTGGCCACAGCGACTGCGCGACTGACTTGCACGGGCATCTCCTCACGCCACGATAACCCCTCACTCCTGCGCCTCACACGACACCAGAATCCATTTCCTCGCTATCTTACTGCTCCTCGCAGAAGGTCTTGTACGCCGCCTCGTCCATCAAGTCCTCGAGCTCGCGGGGCTCCGAGAGCTTGATCTTGGCAAGCCAGCCTGCGGTCAGTGAAGCTCCAGAATGACTGCCGAAGGTGAGAGCGGAGCAAACACTGCTCCGACTCGGTCGCACGGACGGCCCGCGTACGACTGATTACTCACCGCCAGTCTCGGCCTCCTTGTTCACGAGGCTCGGCGAGTCGCCAAGCGTCTCGTTGATCTCCTCGATCGTGCCCGAGACGGGGGCGTAGATGTCCGACGCAGCCTTGACAGACTCGACGCCGCCGATCGACTCTGGGTGTTAGCGACCTCCACCAGCGGTTGGGGGGCTCTTTCCGCCGCTATCGTTGCAGATGCGCCAAACCTCCCGTGCGTCACACCAAGTCCTCCGCACGGCGGCCGATGCTCCCCGCCCGACTTCCGCTCCTCACAACCGCGCCGCAAACTCACCGCCAGCCTCAATCTCCGAGCCGACCGAGGGAAGCTCGACGAAGACGACGTCCCCGAGCGCCTTTTGCGCGTACTCGGTGATGCCGATGGTCGCGACCTGGCCGTCGACCTGGACCCACTCGTGGTCCTCCGAGAACTTCTTGGCTGTGGTTAGTGGACGTGGGCATAATGGCGCGGAGCGCAAAGGGAAGGGAGGGGAGGGGAAGGGAGAAGAGAAGAGAGGGGGGAGGGGTGAGAAGCTCTTCGCCCGTCTCTCCACAAGCAAGGCATCTGTCGTCTCACACAGAGACTCGTTTCCGCCCGTCCACCCCCCTGTTCCGCTACTCACTCGAGGCGAAGCGCATGGCCATGCCGGCGCGGGCGACGACGGGGCGCGCGCGGAAAGCGACGGCGGCAGGGCGGGCGATGGCGCGGAAGGCGAGCATGCTGAGAGATGGAGTGGAGAAGTGGGTGAGTGAGAGATGAGAAGAGAGCGTTGAAGAAGAGACGGGAGCGGAGGCGGAGGTGGGCTTGGGATTGGATACATCGTATGACGCGTTTTCCAACGGCCGTAATACTTGGAAATTAGTCGGACCGAATAAGACGCCATTAGGATTAGGATTATGATTAGGATACAGTGGACGGCGTGGAATAAGGAATGATAAGCTCCCGTCTCTATTGGGTGAGCAGGCACGGGTGGAGGTCCGCCATTGCGGGGTCTCCGATATTACACGTGGCATTGCTCCCGGCTCAAGCCGACGGTGACGAGTGGATGCCGGCTGCGCCACTGGCAAGCTTGACTTCGGCTGCATCTCCAGCTCCCATCTCTCCATCTCCATCTCCATCTCCCGTTCCACGACATCACCATGACCTCTGTCGCCACAGATCTCCCATACGCCGCCGAAGCCGAGTGCTCGCTCAGCTACGACGAGCTCGAGGTGCGTCCTCCACCGCCGTGAGCGCTCACACCAGGTCTTGCGGAACCAGTACTACAAGGAAATCGAGAGCGGGCACGTCACCACCCAGTCCAAGTTCAACTACGGTATGTGAGCCGCGGACGCGCGGACGCGCTGACGCCAGGATGGGGCCTCGTCAAGTCGAATAGCGCGGATCTGCAGACCGAAGGTGTCAAGCTGCTGCAGGGTGAGTGGCACGTTGGCAGTGTCTGATGCCAGAAATCTACTCCGCGTCGCCGAGCCACCGCCGCGAGTGCTCATACTACATTGCTGTCGGGTACTACAAGCTGCGCAACTATACGTATGCGCGCAAGTTCAATGGTACGTTGCGTCGCCGAGGCGGTTAGACTGTGGTTGACACCAGACCTCCTCCTTGCCGTCGAACCGGAGAACATGCAGGCGCAGAGCTTGCGGCAGGTCATTGACCGTGCTGTCGCGCGTGACGGATACATCGGTATGTCGGGGGGAAGCAGCACTGACCCCAGGCATGGGCATTTTGGCGGGCGCAGCGGCGGTCACGGGCTTGGTGGCGACGGCGCTGATCAAGCGTGCGCGGAGGTAGTCTTGCATGTATCCTTTGTATCGCCGCGTCCTGCTGTAGATCAACGCCAGATTACCCTCGCATAGTACAGTCTACATTCTATGACCCTCGCCCCGCAGCGGCAACATCGCTACACCCGCCACATGAGGCTCACGCCCTCGTCGCCTGCGCTCATGATGAGCTGCGATGCGGGCAGGCCCGCGGGCGACGTCTCGCCCTCCAGCGCCGGCGCGACAACCACGCCGTTCACGACACCCGCGTGCCCCTTGTGGTGGCCCACGAGGGTGCCGTTGCGCACATCCCACGTCTTGAGCGTCCGGTCCGCCGACCCCGACGTCACGAGGTGGACATTCGGCGCTGGGTGGGGTGCAAGCGATGTGATGGGTTCCTGCTGTCAGAGCGACTCCAAATGCCATGCCCTGTCCACTCACATCATGCTGGAGCTCAGCGCGCACACGCCCCGTCGCACAGTCCCACACGAAGCCCTTGCCGTCCGTCGCGCCCGACACGAGTACGACGCCCTTCCCACCCCCGGCGCCGCCGAGGACGTCGACGAACGCGAGGGCCTCGATGCTCTCGCCGTCCGCGTGTCCCTCGAGCGTCCCCACAATCTCGCCTTTGGGCAAGCTCACGAGCTTGACCTTGCCCGCCGCGCTGCCGACGGCGGCCAACGAGCCGTTCGGGCTCACCGCGAGCGCGGTGATACCGTGCTCGGCGGGGTCGACCATGTCGCTGGACGAGTGGAACACGCCGAGCTTGAACATGGGAGCGGACGCGCTTGGGTTCCACAGGATAAGCGTCGAGTCAAGCGACGCGGTGAGGATCTGCCGCCCCAACGGCGGCGGGAACACGCCCGCCGTGACCGGCATCGTGTGGCCCGTAAGCACAGTCATCACGTCGCCCGACGGCAGCTGCCACAGCCACACATTGCTGTCTTCGCACCCGGCCGCGACGACAGGCCCCCGCGGATGCCAGTGCAGCCACTGCACCTCGCTGCCCGAGTCGAGCTCGGCGAGCGGCGCCCACGCGCCATAGTCGTCGCCCGTAGACGTCCGCTTCCACACCCGCACCTTGCCGTCCATGCCGCCCGTGGCGACCATCTCGCCGTCGTGGCTGAACTCGACGGCCACGACCGAGTCCGCATGCCCATCAAGCTTGATGGGCGCCCACGCGTCGCCGTTGATCGCCGCCCCGCTCTCCTCGGGCAGCGGCGCGAAAATGTACGCCATGTCGTCTTCGCCGCCCGACACCGCCAACGGCGGGTTCGGGAACCGCGGGTGAGGGTGCAGCGCAAAAATCGACTTCTGCGCTTCGTGGATGGCTGGCGTCAGCGCCGCTGTCAGACGACTCACAGCTCGCCCCGATCGAGTTGTCCTCGAGCTGGTCTTCGCCGATCTCCATCGTCTCGTCTTCTCCCGCATCCCCGTCGTCCATGTCGTCGTCGTCGTCCATCGGCTCGCCGCCGTCGTCTTCGACCACCTCGGCAATCTCCTCGTCGGCCAACAGCTCGTCCTCGAGCGCAGGGTTGTCGTTCTCGCGCGCGGCCTGCATGGTGGTCTGTGTAGATGTGTGTCATCACAAAATCTTGGACCTCCACTTCTTGGTCATCCAGAGATGTGGGACCGTGGGAAAGTATCTCGCGTGCACCTCCACTTCTCGAGATTTTGAACTCCGCCAGCTGTTGGCTTTCGGTAGACAACACTTACACAACAACCATGGGCAAGAAGCGCGCTGGACCGAGCGCGGCCATCGCACCCGCCGCGGGCAAGAAGATGACGTTTGGGGACGATGACGACTTTGACTATGCTGCCCCGTCGTCGCCTGGCATTCCTTCCGATGTCCCTTCGGACGATGAGGAGGAGCAGTCGGGCTCCGACTCAGACTCGGATGCCGCGCCCGAAGCGGTCGGCATGCGCGCCGGTGCTGCAGATGAGCGTAAGCGTGCAGCGGCTGAGGAAGAGTGAGTCTGCCCCGGAACGAGCTGACGACAGGGAGCGCAAGGCCAAGCGTGAGGCAGCTAAGCTCCGCGCAGCGCGAGTCGCTGAGGCCAAGGCGAAGAAACCGAGCAAGGAGAAGAGGAAACGGTCCGATCCAGAAAGCGAAGACAGCGAGGACAAGGATGACTCCGAGGCGGCGCGCTTGAGGCGGCGAATGGACGCGGCAATGGTGGCGGGCGAGGGCGACTCGCAAATGGAAGAGGAGGAGGAGGAATCGGACTTCGACGAGGATGGAGACGACGACTTCGATGCGCTCGAGGACGAGGACGAGGACGCCGAAGAAGATGAAGAAGAGGAGGAGGATGAGGCAGAGGAAGAAGAAGACGAAGAAGAAAGCGACGAGGAAGGCCTCTTCTCCCGCCCCGTTTCTTCCGCGCTCAAGAGCAAGATGGACGCGATGATGGCGGCGATGGAGGGACGCGCCATGGCGGCGGACCCCAAGTTTGCAGATGAGATGGCCTCGCGACGCAAGAAGGGCCCCGTGCTCGAAGTACCGGCGCTCAAGTCCAAGAAGGCCAAGTCGCAGTCTGTCGGCACCAAGACGACGTTCGACGACTTTGGCGAGCTCGACGCCGCGCCGCTGTCGGCGGACATGCTCGCCGCGGCCGACGCGCAACTCGCGACGGAGAAGTCCCAGGAGAAGACCAAGGGGGAGGAGCGGGCAAAGAAGCGCCGACGGAAGGGAGGCAAAGGAAAACAGGCGCCGACGGTTCGCGTGCTTGAGTGAGTCCCATGGAAAGAGAAGAGCTGACATCAGCGACCGCGCCGTGCACCTCCTCCCGCCAGTGCTTGCGGGCACTGCTCTCCCGCCTGTCGTGGGGCCACGAGAGCGCGTCGTCGCCGCGAACAAGGCCAAGCAGACGTTCTACAAGCGCGCAATGAAGGCGAGCGGCAAGATCCCGGGCAAGGGCGTTGTGGATGGGCGGAGGCGGTAGCGGGCGGATGTAGGCATGTAAGTATACCTCGACGGCGGAGCGGCGCCTGTATGGGGGCGCGAGAGTAGCCGGGTACGGCAGAGGAGGGTAGGAGACGCAAGGGGAAATCAAGTGGCTTGCTTTGCGCCGCCATTTCTCACCACTGCACGCCACTTACCGCTGACATTTCTCACTCACATTTACTTACGCAGGTGACATTCCACAGTGTCATTCCTCGCATCTCTTTCATGGCAATCTGCCTCCTCGCACACTTCAAATGGATCCCCCACTCATTGCTTATTACTTCCTACCATTCCTCTAGGTCACCGTCGCAAGCGGCAGACGCACAGCGTGCCTCAGGAGCCAGCAGCAGCCATCAGCTAGCGCGTCATAGATCTCTCGATCTCAACGGGGCGCTCTCACAGCAATCGACGCCCTTCGGCGTCCTCTCACTCTCTTTCCTGCCAATATAAGATGCTACACGTATCCCCTCCCACATCTACCCCCACCCCGCCCTTCTTCCTGCTCTTCTCGACGGACTTGCCCTCCGAGGACCCCTTCTCACTGCTGAACGCCCTCGACCTCGCCATCCCAACCAACCCCATATTATCGGACGACGGAAGCCCTCTGCCCTCCCCACAGTCACCGGACCTCCGGGATTCGAACTCTGACTTTGACCACCCAGCGGGCACTCCCTTGCTGCTTTCCCACTAGCAATACGATCTAACGCGCCGAGCCCTCAGCTATCCCAATCGCACAGAATCCATCCGTGTCTCCATACTGCTCAAACATCCTATAACCCCTATCCGCCAACACGATAAACCTACGTGGCAAGAGGCCACTTTTCCGCCCCTCACGTCGTTTCGTCACTCGACCGCAAGCCTCCGCGCTCCCTGTCCCCGTCATCCGCAGAGGTCAAGTCCCTCGGCTCATCGCCCTCCCCAGCAACTCACATCTACCCCCCCATGTCGAGCAAGACCAACATCCTGCCGAGCGAAGAGACACCCTTCAACCAGAGTCAGAACTGGAGTCCTATGGACCGCTACGACATCCAATACAGTGGGTATGCGTGGGGCTGATATTTCTGCTTGGCCACTGACCACCACTATGCTGTCGTGCACCACTCACCCCAGCCCCCGAGCGTGCCATGCGTCCCCGATCTGGAGTTGGCAACGTATTCCTCTTCATCCTCGCCATCTTCCTCCCGCCTGTCCCCGTGTTCATCAAGGCCGGATGTGGCTGTGACATTCTAGTCAACATCCTCGTGAGCCTGAGGCGTCGGCGTGCTATCTGACTTCAGCTTTGGGCGCTCTGCTGGATTCCTGGTGTGCTGCACTCGATGTTCATTATTGCGACGCGTCCGTAGTTTGGGTGTCTAAAGCCTTTTGTACACGTCTCGCCGAATGCAAGGATTATGAGTGGTATCGCCGCGCTTGATACTTTGCGTGAACCCGACCGTTCTCCGTGTGCACAGGAAGCCGCGCGGTCACGTGCCAAGATTTTTCACCTGACGTTGTCGATCATTTGCCACCCAACACCTCCATCTCACCCAGATACCCAGGCCACCAAGCACTACATCGACCCGCGCGGCCCACGCGCGATGCCTGTCGAGATTCAGACCCACGAAACAGCGGCTACCGGCGTCTCGAAAACGACAGACGATGCCAAGACCGAGCCTAATGGTGTCGGTCCGACATCGTCCTCCGTAACCACCGCGCCGTGTCAAGAAGACATTGACACGGCGCTGCGCCAGCGCGCCGAGATAACTGCCCGCCTCGCCGATTCGCCCTACGACCTCGTAGCGTACCTCGAGCGTGCCCGCGTGCACGCGACCCTGGGGTATCCCGACCTCGCAGCCGGGGACGCATACCGCGCGCTTCTGCTAGCAGATGAGGCGCGCACCGAGGGCTTCGAGTACCACGAAGAGGCCGCGGCCGCTCTAGCACCCTACGATGCGCCATCTGTGCTCGACGGCCTGCAGGGCGAGATGGCAGACCGCGGCGCGGCCGCCGCATACCGCCTTCTCACCCGCGCTCTGCTCGACGCCGGCTGCCTGTCGTCAGCAGCGACATTCCTCAAGCGCGGCCTGGACGCGTCGCCGAACGACACGGAGCTAGCCTCCCTGCGCGCCGCGCTCGAAGCGGCCGTCGCGAAGCGGATGCCCGCCCCACCAGCGGACATCTTCGCCCCCGATGTCCTTCCCGACACCACGCTCGTGCGCCGCGAAGTATACCCGTGGAACGAGCACGAGCCGGACCGCTTCTCGGCCGCGTCGCTCGCCGAGCTGAACGCGACGCTTCAGCGCTTTGCGCCCAAGTGCGCGGTGCAGGTCGCGACGCTCCCGGTGCTCTTGGACGGAGTGGCGCTGGGCACGACGTGCTCGCAGCTGGGCGTGTTCGCGACAGCGGACATTGCGCCCGGCGAAAAGGTGCTGGAAGAGTACTCGCTCCTCACCGCCAACAACCGGATGAAGGACAGCGTGTGCGACGCGTGCTCGTCCGAGCTGCCGCGCGACCGCGCGGGCGTCGTGCTGTGCGACGAGTGCTACGACACCGTGTTCTGCTCGGCGGCGTGTGCGGCGCACGCAGAGCGCTACCACCCGGCGGTGTGCGGCACGGGCGCGGACGAGATCGGCAAAGACCCCGCACCGCACGAAGCCGACGAGAGCCTTCATCTCCTGTTGCTCGCGCGCGTGCTCGCCCTCGCCGCGCAGGGCGACGTGCACCCCCTCGACGTGCCCGAAGTCAAGTATATTTGGGGCGACTTTACGCCACACCCCACCCTCCCGTGGAGCTTCAAGTACAATGTCGAGGTGCCGCTGCACATTTTGGAGACGATGGATGTGGACGTGTTCGCGGCGCCGCAGTACGATACGTGGGTCCTCAATACGTTGTACGCCAAGTTTAGGGGCACGGCGAGCGCGCGCAAGAACCCGCTCGACGGCAAGCCGGACGTCGCGGCCGTGCACCCGTACTGGTGTCTTGCGAACCACGATTGCGACCCCAACGTGTCGTGGGATTGGGCGGGGACGATCGTATTGACGGCGCGGGAGGAGCGCATGGCGCAACCGGCCGGCGTTAAGGCTGGCGAAGAAATCCTCAATCATTACTGCGATATCCGGCTGCCCGTTGCTGAAAGGCGGGAGTGGGCCAGCGGGCCCCTCGGCGGCTGGTGCATGTGTGCGCGGTGTAAGCGGGAGGCCAAGGAGGGGGAGTGGGCAGAGGAGGGGGGTGAGGGGCAGGGCGTGGAGGCGCAGCTGGAGGAGGAGGCCGCGCGGAAGCGCAACAAGGCTCCGCCACCGCCTGCTGTCAAGGTCGCCGTCGTGGAGGTGGCGTAGACAGTTTTGTATCAATGCATCTATAGACGATATTACTCTCCACAAGGTCTGAGGATGCCCGTCCTTGCGCGACTGGCAACTAGTGGCAAGCACCTTATCTAATTGTCTTAACGTTCGGTATTCTGCATCCCGGACCCACAACCTTCGCAAGAACGATACCGCATGAGGAAGCTTCTCCCGAACACCTACGCCAACGCTGTCTGAGCGGCCCCCCAGACTCAGTGCGCAACGTCGCAATCGTGCGCTCATGCCCGATGCCCAGCCAGCCAGCCAGATCGGACATGCCCTGACCCGGTGATTAGCGCTATCCGCCTCCGAGATTTCTGTAATCGCCGACCGCATCACGGCAGCTATCATGCGGGGAGGGCTGAGACTATAATCTGGCTTGGCATGCGCTGGGCTGCACTAGATCCGAAGAGTGACGCAGAGAGAACTCAACGAGTCCTCTGCCGCCACACCCCCACAGTCAAGCTCAGCGGGTAATCACATTTGCTTCCGCGCCGAGGCTGATGACCGGCGCCGTGCCGTCCGGTAAATGCAATTATCCAGGCCGGACATCGAGCACCAGCACAACTCAATGTAGACGTCTCCCGTCCTCCATCCCATCTCTCATCTCTTCTCGCAGATCAGGCCGCCGCCGCCGTCTCCGTCTCCGTCCGACGACATCCTCCGGCGCTCCTCCACGTCGCGAGGGCGGGCAGAGTAAATGCTTCTCCTTCCCCCACTAACAGCAGTGTCCCTGCACCGCCGCCCCGCCGCACAACATGTCCTCTGAGCTCGTCGTGCGCCAGTCCGAGGACTGGACGCGCGTGCTCGTCTCCTCCTATCCCTCCGGCGTGGACTGGGTCCTTGCCTTCTCTCGCGATGCGAGTGGCGTGAGCGCGGGCGAGCCGGCGGCTCTCGCGCTCCTGCGCGACGCGCACACGCTGCACCTCGAAGGACGCCTGGAGCCCAACAACGCGGCACACCTCGAGACGCTGTGCCGCCCGCACACCGTCCACATCAACAACGACTCGCGCGGCCCGCGCTCGTCGCTGGGCGCGCCGACGCTCGTGATATCGTGGCGCACCGCGTCCTCCTACGTCCTCCCCGACCTCCTTATCTCGTCCAACACCAACCGCCTCGTCGTGGCGATCAGCGACGCCGGTGGCCCCATCTCCCCCGCCAACCGCCGGTTTCTCCCCGCCCTGCCGACGCTCGATGTCGCCGACGTCGTCCTAGATTTCAGCCGGTGGGACTCCGCCGTCGTGGACCCGTTCGTCGCGCGCGCGCTGTACGCCGCGCTGGCTGGCCTCCTCGTCCGCGGCGTGCGCATCACCCTCGTCGACTTCGCCCGCGTCTTCGCATGCATGGCAGACGCATCGACCGAGATGCGCCCAACGCGCTGGACCGCCCTCCCCCGCCGCGCCGAAGACGCACTCAAGTTCCGCGTGCGCGAAGCCCTGCGCGCCCGCGCATCCCCGCGCCGCGCGAACGCGCGCGCACTCGAACTCGCCGTCCGTGAAACCCTCGGCGGCATCGCTGTCGTCGACACTCCCCCCGCCAAGTTGTGATCACCCTCGTCTGTAGCATGGCATGTACGTTTCTCAGAGCCCCAGGGCCTCTATCGCAGATATGCCGGCACCGGAATGTGGGGATGCCGACGTCTCCGGTTCTCCGGCACACGCCGAGAGTAGCATCTCCCTTGCTGTAAGACATTTCCTGTCATGGTTTTCCGTCTTCACCGGGCTGGCGCCGCGTATCGTACTATGAGCTACGATGCTGCGGCTAGCAGCTGTTACTGATGGCCAGTTGTTAGGAATTCCAGCGATGGCGGGGAACGACGTACGGTGAGGATGGGGCGCTTAGCAGATTCCCCTATGCTGGAACACATGCCACAGTTTAGGAGATCACGCGGAGAGGCCCAGGCCGTCTCTGACTCATGCTCCTAGGCTATGCCCTACGGCCTCGACGCGTGCATGTTCAAGGCGCTGTCAGAGTCCCCCGAAACAGTTGCATGTCAAGTTATTGTTTGTGTGGTTGATGCAGAAACGCGCAAGCTATACGAGACGGTGCAGATGCTATGACACTAGGCATGACCTCCTCTCACACACGCCACGTACTCGGTGTGGCCTATGGGCTACTACGCAACGTGGTACCCCGTTCTCATCCTCGTCTTCGACATCAGCAGCGCTGACCAATTTCCGCTGGGTGGTGCACTAAAGCATCACACAGTCCGCGCGGCGTCATGGGTGACACGCACGCCTGGGCAGAGCAAGCCCCGCACCCATGCACATCTTAGATGCATGCTATTCATCGGCCCATAAGTCCGACTCTCGTTCCTCATTGAGGCCGTCCAACTGCCATCAGCGACACCGGGCGCGTGCCTACCTCAGCCATGTCCTCCGGCGCAATCTCAAAGTCGAACACCTGAGCATTGGCCGCGATATGCTCTGGCACCGCGCTCTCGGGCGTGACAATGTGGTCCTGTAATCAGCCCCGCCTCCGTCCTCCCTCTCCCACTCACATGCTGTATCCCCCACCGAAGCACAACCTGCTCCGGACTCTGGCCATACTTCTCCGCCATTTTGGCAATCACAGAGTGCTCCACTCGCCCGCCCGCCTCAGCATACACCGCCGTCCCCATCTCCGCACACATCTCCACGACGTCCATCTTGCGCGCGAGCGGATGCACCGCGAGCCGGTTCACAGCCGGCATTGCCGCGCCAGGCCCGTCCTCCCCCGCGCGCCGCACCATCTCCACAACCTCGGCGAGGTGCAGCATGCCATACCCGCTGACGCCGACGGAGCGGGTAAGGCCCTTGCGGCGCGCCTCGACGAGCGTGATCCAGCCCTCGGCGCGCGCGTGTGGCCCCCCTTGCGATGAGAGGAGGGTGAGGTCGACGTAGGAGAGGGCGGCGCGGTCGAGCGCCGTCCGCAGCGACGGAGAGAGGTAGGTGAGGAATACGTCGGCGCGCGGGATGCCGCTGTCGCGCAGCGCGCGGCCGACGGCCGCGTCGGAGCTGTGCGTTAGTTAATAAAGGAGAGGGCGCACGTCTCCGACATCGCGATGTGGCGATAGCCCGCATCGAGCGCCGCGCGTGTCGCCGTGTACGCTTCGGCATCGCTCATCTTCGCCGTCCCAAGCCCGAGCTGGGGGATCGCGCAGCCGTCATTCATCTGTGTGAGCTGGGATGGGGCCGCGCGTACCATTATGCGGCGCGCGAGCGACGCGAGGGGCCTCGAGGCGCGCATTTTGAGGATGTTGAGAGTGCGGATTGAACTTTCGTCATGACGGTCGGCTGACCTCCACTTTTGGTCTCGATGGCTCTCCCGGCCGCTACAAGTTCCGATTCCCTCATCCGACCTGCCATTCAGATTGAGTGCATGCCTAGAGCCAGCACAGAGAGTGCGTAACTACCACGCCGTCTCGATCGCGTACTGCTCGTCGCCGATTTCCGCCTGACACTCCTCCGTCGACAGAACGCGCACCGTGCTCCGCCGTCCCGTCGACTCGCCTCCCGCGCCCTCGTAGCGCACCACAACGCGCTTGTGCGAGTACTGGGTGTACCGCGGCTCGAGAGCGGTGTGTCCGTCAAAGGCAACGATCACCTCGTCCGCCGCACAGTGGAGGACGGCGGGGCCGCCGCGCACAGCCGCGCGCGGGAGGAGCCAGAAGAATAAGCTCCACACCATCTGCAGACCCCATTCAACGTCGGCGTTGGCGTCGATTGCGCGCGTGTGATGCAGCCTGCCGTAAAGCGGGAGGCCCGCTTCGTTACGCACGCGCGCAGGCCGGCTGCGCGGACCATCCAGCCGTGCCCGCACAGGACGATTTCCGTGTCCGCCGTGTCCGGGCGGCCCCCGCAAGGCCCGAGTAGGGAGCGGCAGGGCGACGGGCGCCACGGAAGTAAGGAAAGAGTGAGCGTCTGCGAGTCGAGCAGCTTGTCTGTCACGGAGAGGAAGTGCCGCGAGGTGAGGCCGATGGCGCGCAGCACGTCGGGTGAGGCGTGCGAGAGGATGGCCTCCATAATGTGCGGGTAGGCGGTGTGGTCGAACATGGGGGATGCATCCCCGCACGGCGAGGAGAAACGGAGCATCTAGAGGGATGGGATAGAGTACGTTGATAGAATACAAAGGACTATGGCGTGGGAGAGACGGTGAGGCGGCGCAGAATGTGTCTGCTAGCCGCTAGATCGACCAATAAGTCTCGGCGGCAAATCCGTCTCCAGCACTCTGGCGATACTCTGCGAGCGAGAGTACGTGTAGCTTCTTTTTCGCCGGGAGACGGAAGGGGGCAAGTAGCGTCTCGACCGTGCGGTAGTCGAGAGGGACGAGTTGGCTCTCGTCGTCCGTGTCATCTGGGGGTTGGGACCACGCCCACACCCTCCCGAACTCGACGAGGACAACGGTGCAGCGCTTCAGCGCTTCCGCAATGTAGGTGATGAGCATGGTGCTTTCGACAAGGGTCATGTATTTGACCGTGCCGTGGGGGACCTCCCATGCATCAAAGTTCAACACCAAGCACGGGGGGTAGCTGAGCTTGGGAAGGACGGTCAGCAACGGCGACACGTGAGCTCCCGAGGAGCCGCGAACATTCACCACCATGCGCTTACGAGGAACATGTAGTCGGGAACGCTTAGCGCACTCGGGCAGTCCAAGTTCTAGATCCAGGAAAATGGCCATCTTATCCATTACACGGACAAGTCGCTCTGGTATGTCGGCGTGGTTGCGCATGCGGACGATGACTGAGGGGAAGAGAGTCCGGTACGTCTCTTGCGAGATGAGGGGTACCGCATGCCAGTGTTTACCCCGGAAGGTCTTGAGACATGTAGGGAACTCGAGGGCGCGGACACGCCTCAGTCGGTTGCGCAGGCGGGGGACGTCGGCGGCAAGGAACGCTGCGATCGCTTCCTCATTTCCTTTCATCGTGGGTAGCCCCGAGTTGGGCCGACCTTTGACGCAGTTGAAACTGACATAGGCGACTGTTTGGCTGGGTGCAAGGAGGTCCTCAACGTAGTCGCGGTAATATTTGCTGGTCGCGCCGAAGACACTGAGGACACCGGCCTTGGCATAGGAGAGAATGGATGCGATGATATGTGGGTACACGTCGTGGTCGATGGTGACGGGAGGGCGGGTGGCCGCGTCCTCGACATCCTCGGGTACGGTGTTGATGATGTCTTGTTCGGAGAGCCGGCAGAGGACGTTGAAGCGCTTGACGGTAACGTGTCGCCTGCGCGACGAGACTTGATGGGCGTAAGGGTGAGGGCAGATGGGGTCGAGAGTTGTCATGTGGACGTGGAAGGAGAGCGCGACAGAGAGAGAGAAAGATGGAGAGGATGGAGAAGAGAGATTATGAGAACGACCGAGTATACCAGTCGTGGGAGTGATGAGCGGGTGGGAAGTGGCGGAGTGGCGGAGTGCGAGGTGAGGAGCGACGCGGTTGCATGGATCCGACAGGCTTTGCTGTATTGTCTGTGTCTCACGCGCCATTCACACATCCCATTCATCACATTCACAACATCCTCTTCTATTCCCACGAGTCCCTTCCATAACGAGCGGGGCGGCTAGTCCACTTCCGGAGCGTGAGTGCGTGCAGAACACGTCCTTTGCATTCACGTGACAGCACACCAGATCAATGCATCTACTCGCCCTCCTCTCAGAGCGAGCACTCGAACTCCCAGTCCTCCTTGAGCTCCGTCTCCACCATCTTCTTGACCTCCTCGCTACACGGCCCGAGCGGAAGACGCGACCGGCCCCCAAGCCCCTTCTGCACGAACGTGTCCAGCGCATACTTGGTCCCCTGGATGCCGGCCTTGACGATGATGAAGTCGGACCGTGCCACACGGTCCTGCAGCTTGAGCGCCTCCGCCATGGCCGCCGCGTTCCCCTGCAGCCCCTTGACGGCCTGGTCGTAAAGCCGCGCGATCGTCTTCGGGAACACGTTACCCGTGCCCGTGATGCATCCGGTGTGGCGTGCCACGAGCGCCGGGAGTAGCGACTCAGAGAAGCCGGGGAGGACCTGGAACTGCCCGGTGGCCGTCACGTTCTTGAGCTGCGGGTGGGCGGCGACGTACGCATCCGACTGGGCGTACGCAGCGAGACGCTGGCCCTTCCCGATCATCGCGCACGTCAGCTTGGCGCCGAAGCAGTTCGGGTGATCCGCGAGCTTGATCAGCTCGTCAGAGGTGAGGTCGATGCCCGCGGCGGCGCCACTGGCGTTAGCGAGAACTACACAGGGGCTCACGGGAAGTTGTAGATCATCACGGGGATGGGCGACGCGTCCATAACCTGCTCGAAGAAGCCGACAATGGCAGCGCGGTCACGGCCCATCGCAAAGGAGAAGTATCCTGGGCAAATAACGATAGCGTGCGTCGCACCAGCGGCCGCAGCCTCCTGCGTCACCTCGATCGTGGTGGCGGCGGAGCCGGCTGGCGTCAGTACGGCCGGGTGGGGAGGGGGTGTTAAGCCACCACGAGTCGGAGCAACTCACCACCAGTCCCGACCAGCAGCGGCGTGTTCTGGAACCCGGCGCCGTCGAGCGCCTTCCTGCCCGTTTCGACAACGAGGCGGCGCTCGGCCTGCGAGAGATGTGACGCCTCGCCGTTTGTGCCGAGGAGGACGATGCCGACACCGGCCTTGGCGAGTCGCACGACCTGTGTAGCAAGGGCGCCCGTGTCGACGCTGTCGTCGGCCTTGAACGGCGTCGTGAGGGGCACCGAGACGCCGTTCGCCCAGAGCTTGGTTGCGGTTGTCATTGTGGTTCTGCGGGAGGAGAGTGAGACGGGAGGTGAGAGGCGAGAGGAGTGAGTGGGGGTGTGAGCATGAGGACCGAGAGCGGCGAGAGGCTTTGAGGGTGAGAGCGGCACGGCGGGCCGGCACAGCGCGGTCTAAGCCGTCTTGGAGACGTAGGGTAGAAGTGCCGCGTCCGGCTCACCGAGCCGCCAGATGCCGCCCTGTACCGCTATATGCGGTGGACGGCTCTATTCCTCGGGCAGGTGCAGGTGGATATGTCCGGTGCTGCGTGCACGTGTAGGCGGAGATTGCGAAATACGCTCAACGCTGATGCAGGCCGGAGGGCATTGCGTGGCGTCGCGATAAAAGTGGGTAGGTGGGTCTCGTCGGGCCGGAGGCGGCCCGGCGCACGCGTTCTCCGGGGCGGTCCGGTTGATGCTCCTTGGCATTTGCTTGCTGTTCTGCATGCTGAGCCTGCCTGCGCACAGTGAGCTTGGACTCTGGTAATTCTGCGCAACGTTCTGGGACGCTCTCTCCCAAGTGGATAACTGTCCCAATCAAGTTCATGCCGCCCAACACCACGCCGACTTACGAATGCCATCCAAACCCCCTGTACCGCCCACCCGGAACGGATGCGATCCGTGAATAGTTTGCGGAGTAGCCCATGAAATGTGGATGCACCGCGACTTGCCCACTCATCAACATCCATGAACCCCGACTCTCCTCACACCCAGTGCGCTTATCTTACACCAATCTCATGTTGCGCCGCGTGTAATTGTGCAACCGTCCTTCGCGGCAAAGCACGGCTCAATGTCGTCCGCTTTGTCACTTGGTAGACTACCGCCGGAAACGAGCACAACAGGCCAACCGCCCGCTCAAAAGCGATGAATGCAGCTTGCTGAGTAGCGCAGAAGGAAGCGGCTGTGGCTGGTGCTTGGTTCCCAAGACCCATGTCAGCAATGAATTACAGAGCATAGTTTGTCGGCCCGTTATTGGCAAGTGTGGCTGCCCATAGTCGCATCTAAACGGTGTGGGCGGTGATCTGACGGGCATCTCGGCCCGATCACTCCACCACTCCATTCCGCATCTCCCATCTCATCATGGACGCGTCCAAACCTCGCCAAGCGTGAGCGCACTCGTCTCCGTCCTGACAGCAGCTGTGTCGGCTGCCGGCGGATCAAGGTGCGGCGTCCGCGAGCGAGCCGACTAACCCAGGTCGCATGCGACAACCCGCAGACTGGCGACGCATGCAAGCGATGCGGTACGCCTCGGCATCGTCTGAGCTCACCCAGTCCGCCTCGCCCTCGCCTGTGTGTACACCAAGAGTCAGCGCGGCCGGCGCAAGTGAGTTTGACGAAGGTTCGCTCACACAGTGACCGGCTGAACGCCCGCCGCTCCGCCTCCCCCGGCCGATCTAGCCCAGCGACAGCGGCGACACCGAGCACCCGCTCGTGGGCGCTCGACGCCGCGCGCCCGCGCACGAGCAACCTTGACATGGCGGAGCTGCTTGATCCTGAGATCCCGTCGGCGTCCGCACCAGCCTCGGCACCGGGACCGGTGCGCGCGCGTGCGCCGTCCGTTGACGCCGAGACGCGCAGGATGTTTGAAGATCCCGTCGACGTTGGCTATGTCACGCTCGCTGAGGCGCACTCGCTCGTCAAGTTGTGCGTCGTCCTGCGCCGCGCGCTGACCGCAGCTTCCACGACAAGCTGAACCCGCTGATCGCGATCCTTGATCCAGAACGTACGCTTCATCGCAGCCGGACTAACACCAGTGCACACTCTCACCTTCCTCCGCACCTCTTCGATCCTGTTCACGACCCTCCTCGTCACCGCTAGCAAGTATGTGCTTCCGGAGCGACACTCTGTGCTGCTTGCGCACGCAGAGAGCCTGATAAACCGCGCGACCAACGCAGGCGACTGCAGCACGGCGCTCATCCAGTCCCTCCTCATCCTGGTGTACTACAAAGGCCCGACGGACCGTAGTGCGTGGCTGAAGATCGGCATCGCGATCCGCCTCGCATTTCAGCTCCGGTGGCACGAGACGCCCCCCACTCTCCACCTGCCGGCGGACGAGGCGGCTGCACGCCGCATCCTCGACCCAGAACGCACGTGGTTTTGCCTCGTCTGCTTTGACCGGCAGTACGCGGACATCTTCGGGCTGCCCCCCGCGATCCGCGCGACAGACTACGGCGACGTACGTCACCCGCTGTGTGAGCTAACGCAGGAAGTGCGAGGCGTGGGCACGCGCGCACGCGCACCTCGACATCCCCGTCGACATCCATCTCGCGTGTAGCCTCGCGACGCAGCAAGCCAACGAGTTCTGGACGCGGATCCGCAAAGAACACGAGTCCATGCCCCCGCGCCTCACGGCCGTCCTGCTTACAGACCTCTACGTCCAGATGGAGCGCTACCGTGCCAAGTGGTTTCCGCGCGACTCGGCGCCGGCGCCCACGCACCTCGCGCCGGCACGGCATCTCATGGAGATGTTCGCGCTCTCGCATCAGCTCACGATCAAACACCACCTCCTGGTGCTCGCGGCGCCGGGGGAGGCCGACGTCGTTCTTACCGAGTGCGTGGAGCACGCGGCGCGCGTCGTGGCCGCGCTCGAGCTCGTCAGCGCCGACGGATCGCTGCCGTATCTGCACGACGCGGGGGCTACGACGCTCTCCAACTTCGGCGTGGTCATGTACAAGCTCTTCTGGCGCCTCGAGGCGCATGCCCGCCCCTACATTATTGAGATTACTGCCCGTGTGCGCGAGTGCTGTCCTCCCCAAGGCGCGCTCGCGTATACTGCTCGCTTCCTTGACCGCGTGCTCGGCCTGTTCCGCGCCGCCGTGGCTGAAGACGCCGTGCCCCCCGCCGAGGCCGGCCTGCCAGACCAATCCCAGCTGGTGAGTGTAGTCCGCGCAAAGCTGATGGCAGGACGAGTTCCTGCGTCTCGCAGGCGCCGATATGAACGAGCTATTTGACGACGACTACTGGTGCGGCTTGGAATGGTGCAGCAAGCTGACCACAGGGGAAATCTGTTGTCGTCGTCGCTGGCCGATCCGGTCTACCCCGCACTCGGACCCGGGTTGTAGCCTGAGTTCTATACATTCTATGTTATATAAGAGTACATTGTGTTTCAGTTCAGCGTCCTGGTGCCGCCTCATTTGCCACTCCTGCCTCCGAGTCTTTCGGGGCTGGGCGTACGCGGCGATAGAACACCATGAAGCCCAGCAGCCATAGCAACACCCACCCGAGCTCGAAGTACATGCTTGCGCGGAAGTTGGTGAAGTTCTCCAGGCCGCCGGGTGCCGTAGTAAGCAGGCCAGCCTGGATGGCGAGCGCGACGACGGTAGACGTGTGCATGGCGGTCTGGAGGGCGCCGCCGACGACGCCCGCCATATGCGCGGGACAGGCAGCCATAACGCCCACGCTAATGTCAGCGCCATCCGAGCCGCAGCGTAGACTTACAGCGTCGCAATCAGCGCGACCTGATTCCCCGCCGAACCGAAGAGCATGCCCGGAAACACGTGGGTCCAGTACCCCTTCCCGACGACCTCCGGGGCGAACGTCCACAGCAAGTTTGCGCCAGCGGCGAGGAGCATGGCGATGCAAATTGGCCATCGCGGACTGGAGATGATGCCGGGGAAGACGATCATGGCGATGCTGCATGCCATCGCGGCCGCGCCTTCGGGCAGCGTGCGCACGGACGCGAGAACCATGCTGTCGCCGCCGAGGAGGAACATCTGGATGAAGGGGAGGAAGTTGGACGCCCACCATCCAAGGATGACGAGTGCGAAGGCGAGGAACGCCGCGAAGTTTGGCACGGCCCACAAGCTGGGGGGGAGGAGGGCGTGTGCGTCGTCGAGACGTGTTTCCCACCAGAAGAAGGCGGGGAAGGCGATGACCGAGATCACGAGCGGCGCGATGAAGCCCGCGCTGTGCCAGCCGTAGGTCGCGCCGAGCGTGAGCGCGAGAATGAGGAGGAGGACGGCGGAGAGCATCACCGCGACGCCGGGGAGGTCGAGGCGGCGCAGGCGGTGCGTCTCTTTCGCGGCGTGAGCGCGAGGGATGAGGACGAGCGCGGCGGCGCCGACGGGGAACGCGAGCGCGGCCGTCAGGCGGAAGAACCAGCGCCAGCCCTCCATCTGTCCTGGCTTGTCGATGAGGCCCACCACGCCGGCCAGCACCGTGCCGAGCGAGTTCGCCATGCTCCCCGTCATCCCGTAGAAGGTGTATGCGCGGGCGCGGGCGCGGCCCTCGGGAAACGTCGCTGCGATGAGGCGGTAGGCAGAGGGCACGAGGGCGGCGCCGGCGACGCCGGAGAGCGCACGCAGCGCGTAGAAGGCGTACGGGTTCGTCAGAAAGCTGATGGCGAGCGAGAGCGCGCCGAAGGTTAGGAAGCCGTAGGTGAACACGGCTGAGGCGGAGAATAGGTCCGAAACGCGGCCCCAGAAGAGGAGGAAGGACGCGAAGGTGAGGGAGTAGGATGTCTGGGGTCAGCTGGGTGAAAGGCGGAGCTAACAAGGCGCAGGTAGGACTCACAATGATCCAGCTCTGCTGCTCGAAGACGATGTTGAGCGACGTTGTGATCGGCGCAGCGAAGACCGCGAACGCGGAAGCCGAGAGGACTGTTGTTAGCGGGCAGGTCGGACAGTCAGGCATAGAAACGTACCGTCGATAAAGTATGAGAGCGACAGAATAAGCAGCACGACATACTGCTTGCGTCTGGGCGGGTAGATGTCCTTCTCAAGCTGATTATCGCCTACTACCGTTTCTGTCGGCGATGGGCAAGACGAGTCGAGCGACTTTTCGAGGTCGGGCGACGCTGCGGATCTTGCTGTAACCGACATGTTAGAAAGATGAGTGTGGCCATGCTGTTCATGTCTTGTTGTCGTTTATGTATACAATGCTGCATGCAGATGATGGCGGACAAAGTCCATACAAATGCGCGAGTGACGAAACGAGTGACGAAACGAGTGATGAAACGCCGGCACCGACCGGCGACCGGTCAAGTTCGGCCAAGGGCCCTCGGGTCAAAGTCATGCCGCCAGCGGGGTGCAGACCTCGCTTGCTGTGCTCGCTTGGTGATATTACCAGCCTGGCCGGAGACAAGACTTATTCTGGTCTTCTGATCATCTAATCCTCTCGTCATGTCGTCATCCCGTCATATCTCTTCACCGGCGTACCGGCCTCCACCCTCCACTTCCTCCACCCCACACCCTCCACAACCTCCCCTCCACCACTCCAGGTCGGATCCGGATCCGAGCCTCCACCACAGAGAGCTCAAGACTTGACACCCAGGCGCGCATGCAATCGCCCCCATGCCTCCTCGACGTCTTGTGGGATGTCGACGTGAGCGATATATCCTGCGCCCTTGGGCCCGTACCCGTTCTGGTCGTCGCGCAAGCGCGGAATCTCGCCCAACACGAGACTCACAAAGCGCGCAGGCTCCCACAGCTGGTCGTCGTCCACCTCGTCCGTCTTCCACTCGAGCACGCCGCCCTCCCCGCGCCTGACCTTAGGCTGCAGCGTCCACCCCTGTATTGCGGGCATGCCGTCGCGCGTGGCGCGCGGGTCCTCGGCGTACACCTTCTCAAAGGAGGCGAGGGTGCGGCGGTGCATCGTGGGGTCTTGCACGACGAATATCGTCTTTGGCCAAATTCCCGCTTCGTCAAGCAGGCGCTTGGTCTCGATAGCGTTCGCGCCGCAGTTGGTGCTCTGCGGATCGAGGAGAAGGCGGAGGGACCCGTTGCCAACAGCATAGTCGATGTCGAACGTTTTGCGCGCGACTTCGACAAGTATGTCGGCCTCAGTCTCGCCCTCTGTTGTGATGCCGCGCAGGTGCTTGTCGCGCGCAACCGCGTCGTAGAGATATGGTGTCGAGTGGCCGCGCCCGCCGCTGATGACGAGCGTAACTGGCTCGTCATCCTGTAGGTACTCGATGTGGTCAAAGAGTTCGTATGCGAGGGGAAGGATGGCGTTGCCGGCGAGCACGAAAACCGTGCCCGACTCGTCGCCTTGCAATGGGGGAGGGAGGCAGGGGGAGGTCAGGAACTTGAAGACCTTGTTCAGGTCGTCGATGTCGGCCTGGTCGAGGCGCGGGAGGGCGGGGAGGAGGGGGCGTGGGGGCGCTGTCGGGGCAGCGGGCTGGATACCAGAGAGGTTTAAAGGCGAGGGCATGGCGCGGTCCGTGTGATCGCGCCGCTTAAGGTGGAGATAGCGGCCAGACATGAGCTCGTCGTATTGTGTGACTGCGCGCTGGAACCAGTCGTCGACGAGGGCATTTTGTGGTTCGTCGGCAAGCATTTCCATTATGCGCGTGAGAGTACGCATGGCGTCTCGGCGCTGTGGTGGAGAAAGACTTGCCATGTCGAACGAGCTTGAGCTGTTGCTCATGGCGGGTGGGACGACTGGGATTAGGATGAGAGAGAGATAGAGAGTGAGGTGATGCGAGACTACAAGATGAGATCAACAAGTTGTTGAATCATTTGCCGCCGCTAATCAGCTCCGGCTAATCCGGCTCATCTCCCGGCTTGGCTTCCTGTATAATCTAATACCATCACGTCGAGTTTGTTTTGTATGCAGGTAAAACGATGCATTGTGCACTACTCCAGCTCCCATCTCTCATGTACACAGCCAACATGTTACAACTCATGGCCCTCCCGATCCATTCACCTTGACCGACTCTGACGCCGCCGTAGACCCATTTACTTCCTTCTTCTTCTGCAACCCGCGCGGCATGACTCGCGCAAAGTACTCGCCCAACTCCTTGGTCGCCGTGAGAGGCAGGACCTGCGCAACGTACTGGTCAGGACGAACAACGACAACCACGCCGTCCCGCGACAGCCCGCGCTCCTCGAAGATGTCCACCTTGGGATGCACACCGAACACGCGGTCGTACTGCATCAGCCCGAACTTGCCATACTTGGGACGGAAGACGGGTGGCGCATCAAGGAGCTCGAAATCGTTGTGCCGCTGCTGGTATATGACCTTGACGTCGAACCAGTGCTCGCGGCCGGGAACGGGCGACGCTTCGTCCTCTTGCAGCCAGCGCGCGAGGTCTGCCGTGCGGCTCGGTTGCCCGGCCTTGGGCGGGTCTGCGAACACATACACGCGGTACTTGCCGTCCGCGAGCGCAGTGTGGCCGAGATGCACGGGGTTGCCGTCTGAGCGGCGCGACACCAGCGTCGACTTGAACCGCTTGCCGAGCGTGTATCCGCGCGCGAGCGCCTGGTGCTCCGCGCCGCCCGTGAGGAAGCCGGGCTGGTACTCCGTCATGAAGCCGGCGGGGAACTCGGCGGTGCGGACGTAGAAGTCTTCGAGCGCTGTCGGGCTGTCAAAGTCCTCAGGCTTGGCGGCCATCAACGACGACCACTGCATGTCAAAGTCGATGAGGTTCTGCGCGATCACCTGCCGCTCGCCCGTGTACGTCGCGAGCAGCGTTGGCGGCGCCACACCCATGAGCACCTGGCCGAGCTTCCACGCCAAGTTGAAGCCGTCTTGGATGCTCACATTCATCCCCTGCCCGGCCTTGGCCGAGTGCGTGTGGCATGCGTCGCCGAGAATGAAGACCCGCGGGTCGCGCTTCCCCACCTCAGCAGCGGGCACGTCGTCGAAGCGGTCCGTGACGCGGTGCCCGACCTCGTACACCGAGTGCCACGCGACGTCCTTGACGTCGATCTTGTACGGATGCAGGATGTTGTTGGCGTACTGGATGATCTGCGTGATGGTGGTCTTGCGCACGGCGCCGGCATCGTTCTCGTTCTGGTCGCCCAGGTCGACGTACATGCGCGTAAGCTGCCCGCCTTCGCGCGGAATTAGCAGGATCGAGCCGGCGCTCGACTGGATCGCGCACTTGGTCCGCAGGTCCGGGAAGTCGGACACACTCAGCGTGTCCATCACGCCCCACGCGTGCAGCGCCTGTTTGCCGAGGCGCGTGGCGCCGATGTCGCGGCGGATCTGCGAGCGCGCCCCGTCCGCCCCGACGAGGTATTTCGTACGCACAGTAAACTCGTGCGTGCCATCCCGCCGCAGCGTGACCTCGACGGGATACTCATGCCCCTCGTCGAGGCGGTACGAGACGTACTCTATCCCGTAGTCGGGCACGAGCTTGCTGGGTCCGTTGCGCATAAAGTCGCCAAAGTACTGCATGACGCGGGCCTGGTTGATGATGATGTGGGGGAACTCGGAGATCTCGGCGGGGTCGTCGGGCGCTATGGCTGTGCGGATGATGTTCTTCGGGTTGGCCGGGTCAGGCTTCCAGAAGGCCATCTCTGTAATGCGGTAGCTCTCCTCGACGATGCGGCTGCCGAACCCGAACGCCTGGAACGTCTCGACCGAGCGCGCTTGGATGCCGTCCGCTTGGCCGACGAGGAGCATGATCGGCCGCTTCTCAACGAGACGCACGTTGAGCTCGGGGAACGCGCTGAGCTGTGCCGCCGTCGTCATGCCCGCCGGACCCTCGCCGACTATGAGCACGTCGAGCTCGGCGGGGAGGTCGACGCGCTCGGCCGCCCCGGGGTTGCGGTTAAGCCCATAGCCGCGCGCATGCTTGATGCGGGGGTCCTGGACTTCGTATCCGTTTTCGTGGAACTGCAGTGTCGGCGAGGTGTACTGCATTGTGGTGTCAGTGGTGTCAGCGGGGGATGAGGAGAAGCGAAGAATGGTGCCCACCTAATTTATAAAGAGTTCTCGAGACTAGGCGAGCATGGCGGCCAAGCCCTTGCCAACAGCACTGACACCTCAAGTTCTACGAGCCAAAGAGCAGTTCCGTTCCTCGCAGGGGAGGGGAATGAGCGGATGTAGCAGCACGCGCGCCATCGGGAAAAGCAAGATTGGATTCCCCGCAATCAAAAGGTGGGCACCACATCTGCCCCGCAACTGCCCCCACTCGCAAATCGAAACAATTCAATCATTTTGTTTTGCCGATTGGTCAGCACGTCGGTGTCAACCGCCTCGCGCTCCTCTTCAACGCCGTCTTGCTCGCATCTACTCAACGCCTCATCACGCGCCGCATCGCTTCTCATTTCTCCACAGTTTCTCCAATAATCCCCATGGGGCAGCAGATTGACCGCCACGAGCCACATTCATGACCCTCGCCGCCAATTTCCACACGATCAGCATGATCTGCATATACAAGTGCCGAGCTGATCACAATCGCCTGAGGCATGCCACTCTCCTTGCTCTACATCTACTGCCCCTCAGAGCTTGGCCTTGGGCTCCTTGTTGGGGTCCCGCGTGTCAATGAGCGGCCACCAAGGGTAGACCTCCGGCGCGTTCTTGGGCAACGTATCCGTAAAGTTGGTCTTGCGCTTCTCGAGGAACGCCTTCACGCCCTCGTTGTTGTCGCCGCCCGAGAACATCGAGTACAGGATCCGGCTGTCGAGGAGGTGCTGCTCCTCAGCGCTGGGCGTGGGGCGCCACACCAGGTCGCGCATCAGCGCCCATGCAACAGTGGAGCAGTTGTCGACGATCTCCGTTGCGAGCTCGAGTGCGCGCGGGAGTACGGCCTCAGGCGTGTCCATGACCTCAGTGAAGAGCCCGTCGAACAGCTTGTGGTTGGCGGGGTACGTGGCGCCGGTCGACACGAGGTGCATGGTGCGCCCGTTGCCGATGAGCTTGGGGAGGAAGAACGAGCTCGCCGCCTCCATGACAAGACCACGGCGCGCGAACGGGAAGCCGTACTTGCCGCCCTTGTAGGCGACGCGGATGGCCATGGGCAGCGTCATAGTCATGCCGACGCCGACGGCGGAGCCCTGCATCGCCGCGATCGTCGGCTTGCGGCACTGGTGGATGGCCACCGACACACGTCCGCCTCTGCTGTCAGCGCTGAATGCCGGGCACGCACCCGTCCCGGTGGTCGTTGACCTTGCCGCTCAGGTCGCGCTTGAAGCCGAGCTGCAGGTCGGCGCCCGCGCAGAACATCTTGCCGTGCCCCGTCATCACAATCGCCTTGACGCGGTCATCGCGGTCAAAGGTGTTCCAGAGGAGCACCAGCTCCTCCTGCATGACGCCCGTGAAAGCGTTGTGCGCGTTCGGGCGGTACAGCGTCACGATCTGGATCGGGGTGACGCCGGGCGCGTTGGCCGGGTGGTTCGAGACGCGCACCTCCTTGAGAGGCAAGTCGGCGTAGGACTTGGGCGGTGACATGGTAGTGATGATGAGGAGGCGGGGAGTGGTGGGCGAGCGGAGATGTGACGAGAGAAGTGCTTATGAGAATGGGAGGAGGTGGTGCCCCCTCGGCAATAACATGCCGCACCCCCGGCAGCCGGCAACAAGACCTCGTCGGCCGTGTCCGATCTCGGCTTTCATTCTCCCCTCCAACTCCACAGGCACCACTGTCGCGCTCGGTTGTTCAATCATATCAGCAGATAATAGGACCGATGGTGTGGGAATATTGGGTGGATGGTGGATATGGGAGGCGGGTAATGGTGCAGAATACTCGGTGAGTAGAACCCGTTGATCGGAGGTTCCGCATAACCGGTGATAGACATCCTCAACCAGCTGGCGAGATGTTTGGTTAGAAGGGCATGAACCTCTCTCACTCGTTAACGCGATACATGTCTATAGAACCTCTATGCACTTCGGCAGCACCTAAGGCAACACCCGTGCGTCGATCAGCACCGGCCCCTCGGCCGCCAAGGCCTGCGCGTATGCCGTCTCAAACTCCTCTCTGCTCGTCGTGCGGGACGCAGGAACACCATACCCTTGGGCAAGCTGCACAAAGTCGATGCCGGGCACGTCGAGCCCCGGCGCATTCTCCGCGTCCATGGCAGCCGCAAAACGACGGAGCGCGCCATATGTCCCGTTATTCACGATAACGAAGACGACACGGGTTCGCCGCTGCGCGGCCGTCCACAGTGCCGTGATGCCGTAGTTCGCGCTGCCGTCGCCGACGGTTGCAACGACCGTGACCTCGGGACGTGCCAGCGCAATCCCAACGGCGGCAGGTAGGCCGAACCCCAGCCCGCCCGACGCGGGGAAGTGATACTGCCTGGGCCTCGAGAGGGCGACGCGGGACATCCAAATCGCGTCGAGCGTCGTGGTTTCGTTCACGTATGTGATGCCTTCGTGTGTGCGCGCGTTGAGCACTTCCAACACCTCTTCGCCTGTCATGCCGCGGGCGTCGCGGTAAGCTGGTGCGATCTCGCGCACCGAGAACGGGCCCTGTGCGCGGTCGCGCACGCCGTCCGCGAGTGCGCGCAGCGCCGGCGCAATTGACGCAATCACCGCGTCGCCATAAGGCGCGCGCGTAGCCTCCGAGGGATCGCACGTGATGTGGATCACATCGGGCTTGCCGGAGAGGTACGCGCTGGGCTCCCATTTATGGTATCGCATGACCGGGGCGCCGACGACGAGGACGGCATCGTGTGGCTCGAGGCGCGCGCGCACGCTCTCCATCCCTGCGGGGAGAATGCCGGCGAACAGCCCGTGCCCGGTAGGGAAGGGCGCCCGACACGGACTTGGGGCAATCCATACAGGGCAGCCGAGGCGCTCGGCGAGCGCCGTCGCGGCGGGCTGCGCGCCGTCTGCGTCCGGACCGAGGACGAGTACGGGGCGCTGCGCGCGGTCGAGGCGCGCCACGAGCTCCGCGACGAGGTCTGCGTCTAGCGCGCCCGCCGTGCGGACTCTCCGCGCCGGGAGATGCTCGTCGTCCGCCAGCGCGCCCTCCTTCCAGTCGTCGTATGGTACCGAGAGGTACGTTGGTCCGCGCGGCTCCGTCGACGCCTCGAGGATCGCCTGGCTCACGGCGCGCGGAACGTCTTCTGCCGCCAGGGGCTCGTGTGCCCACTTCACGAGTGGGCGCGGTAGTGCTGCCGCGTCGACGCTGCTCAGCATCACCTCTTGTCCCACAGTGCGCCGCACCTGCTGTCCCGCGAGAAGTACGAGGGGCGAGTGCGCGTAGCGCGCGTTGGTGAGCGCGCCCATCGCGTTCCCACTGCCGCTCGCCGCGTGCAGGCTCACAAGCACCGGCTGCCCCGTCGCCTGCGCGTACCCGTCCGCCATGCCGACCACAACACCCTCGTGCAGCCCCAGAACGTAGTCGAAGTCGGCGGGCATGCCCGCCAGGAAAGGGAGCTCGTTGCTCCCCGGGTTGCCGAACATGACCTTCATGCCATGCGCGCGCAAGACGGCGAACGTCGACTCGAGAACAGTGCCTCGCTTGGACATGTTGAGGAGGTGGGTGAGGCGCATGGAGAGGGGGGGGGAGGTGAGTTCAAGTAAGGAATGGGGATTGCCGGGTAATCCGAGTCGGCGTGTTGATTCTCGGCCATCATGTCGTGCGTGGTCAACCGGAGCATGTTTCTCGGCTTGGGCAGCTCGTCCGGTCCTCTGGTCCGCGCGTTCTCAGCCGCCGCAGCGAACACATAGTCGCCGCAGTGACCAGACTGAGAGGAGCTGCGATATCGTCTTGTTTCGTGCCGCGGTAGATGATGGATGTTGCCTGCTGGCTTACGGTGTAGGGGGTGGTGCGGGGTTGACGGGGCCTAGCGCTTACAGAGTCTGATTGGGAAGGGGGTTGACCAGACCGGGTGCTCGGGCAACCCTTGAAGGAACAGTGAAATCACAAAAATATCAGAATCAACATGGGTGACAGGTCAGGCTACAAGTCCTTTATAGGCGACTTTGGGCGGGGGCTCAAGTGGTCGACTGATTGTCAGGCGAGAGGGTTGACCAACAAGGGGCCATGACACAAGGCCTCCGTGCTGCCCGCTCTCTCGCCATGGCGTGTTTTGCACTGCAGTGCACGACAGTGTGAGGAGAGCAGCGCACAAGGCGCCGCCCGCCTCAGTGATCTGACCTCCAGCTGTGGCCATCCGAGCGCATCATCTCGCTTGCTGTCGAAGATACTGCCTCGGCTGACGTGAGCGCATAGGTGAGGGGACACAATACGCGGCAATCGCCGGCTCATAGCGAGCTATTTCGACTCGACGGACCAAGATGATCTCGACGACTCTCCATCCCCATGCCAGACTCGAGCGCGCCCCCCGATCTGACCTTCGAGACGGTGCCAAGCACCAGCGCGGCAGCGCAGGCAGCGCAGCACGCGTACTTCGCAGAAATGGACGCACGGTTCCACGAAGGCTTCGACATGTCGCTGTACTCGGGCAAGCCCGCGACCGACGACGAAGACGAGTTCGCGCCCCCGCGCGGCGCGTTCGTGCTTGGCTTCCTTGGGCACGATCGCGACGCGGTAGCATGCGGCGGCGTGCGCCTCCTCGAGCCCGGCATCGCCGAGATCAAGCGCATGTGGGTGAGCCCCGCAGCCCGCGGGCGGCGCGTAGCCACCCGCCTCCTCACGCACTTGGAGGCGCAGTGTGGCGCGCTCGGCGCGCATACGATCCGCCTGGATACCAAGGACGTGCTGCATGAGGCCATCGCCATGTACAAGAAACACGGGTATCAGGAGGTGCCGCGGTATAACGACAATCCGTACGCGACGCATTTCTTTGAGAAAAAGACTGCGTAGGGTGCGCAGCGCGCGGTATAGCGCCGTAGTTATGCATGGAATTGGCAGAGCGGCGTCGGCGAGGGCGAGAGTACGTCAATCGCTCTCGCGCCGTTGTCATTTACTACTGACCCGACTGGCTCGTCCGAAGCACAAGCCAGCATCGAGGGGTGACCTCGGTCATGTCCGCTCCGGGCTAGCGGTCCACAATGCCCCGCACACCGTTTGTGGCGCATCGCTGTAGCGAATCCCGCTTCTCCTCGGTCGAGCGTGTGCCAGCTCCGGCGGCGCGTCGAGGCTTCCGCATGTAATCAGTCGCCTAGCGGAAGGAGGACTCGACCGCTCGGGACACGCCACCCCAACCACATATCAAACAGGAGGATGAGGCACATCAACTGGTCGCAGACCTAGACTGGGGACCGACTATGCGCATGTCAACAACCCTCGATGACGACGAGGAACGGTAGCTGTGTCATGCATAGCATGAGAGTGTGGCTTTCATCGGCCCACCGCCGAGGTCCCCAGCTGACGTGAGCAGCACATGGTTCTAACGGTGTCACGCGGAGCTTCACGTAGAGCAGGTGACTCGTAGAGGAACGGGCCGACCCCTGCCCTCGTTTCCATCCGATTCACTCCATCACTGTCCGCTGCAGACTGCACGCGCATGGATGATGCGGAAGTGGAAGTGGCGCAGCCCCAGTGAGAAGATTCCGATGATGTTCCTGGATTTGGCATGTTTACAACGTTGAATGACGAGATCTCGGCACTCGGCCGATAACTTTAGTTTGTTAGCGTCTCTTCATCGTCATCTCAACAAGCTCGTCAGCTGCGTCTCGTCCTCTTCTCAGCTCTCAGCCATGCTACACGCGGCTGATATTGTGCCCACTCTAGATCGCGGCCCGCTCGCCGAGCTCCCACGTAGGTTTTGAGATTGGCATCCGCATGGCAACGACTAAACTTCACAGGAACTGCTGCTAACAGGAACGGCTGCTGTTAGGTGGCGCTGTTCCATCTGTTCATTCCACTAGCATGGAGCATGCGACTCGCTGCAGTTGCGCTAGCTGACGATCCGCACTCGTGACTGGGACCTGAATGCTTGATGACATCCGCCAAGAGCGTCGAGCTTCGGCCCATCCTCGCCCCACTACATAAAGGGCGCCATCTCACCTCCTTCCTCCATCCAGCTTCGACATGAAGCTCTCTACAGCGCTCCTTGCGCTTGTGGCGGCCTTGCAGGCCGTCGCGGCGCCCTATCTCCATGCTCAAGGCCGCCTGAGATCCCGACAGGCCGACAATGGCATCATCAACATCCCCTCGCCCGTCGAGCACACCGGCAAGCCCGAGCAGTGTGCAGGCTACAAGCTGGACAAGATGCACGAGCACGACTCCGGCTCGGGCTTTGACGGCACCTTATCCCTCATCAGCACATGCAACGCCTACGGCCCCGACTACACGACGCTCAAGATCCAGGTGCGGCACGAGACAGCGGACCGGCTGCGCGTGCGCATCACCGACGCGGAGGGCAAGGCACACGTCGTGCCCGACGACGTGGCGCGCTGGCCCAAGATTGACGAGCACACCGTCACAGCCGACGAGAGCAACCTGCACATCGAAGTGCAGCACGAGCCCTTTGGGTTCAAGATCACACGCAAGGCGGACGGCGAAGTGCTCTTCGACACGGTTGGCCACCCGCTCATTTTCGAGGAGCAGTATGTACGGGTACGCAGCGCACTCGCGCCCGGCAGCCACATCCAGGGCCTCGCACAGCACTCGGACAACTTCACCCTGCCCATCCACGAGGACGGGTACACGCGCACGCTGTGGACACGGGACGCGTACGGTGTACCGGGACGGACTAATCTGTACGGCGCCCACCCGTTCTACGTCAACCAGAAGGTCGGGGAGGGCGCGAGCGCAAGCGGCACGTTCCTTCTGAGCAGCCAGGGAATGGATGTCAAGTTCCCCAACGGGACGCAGGTCGAGTTCAACGCGCTCGGCGGCATCGTCGACTTGTTCTTTCTCAACGGCCCTACACCGGCCGACGTCGCGCGCCAGGGGTCCCAGATATGGGGCATCAGTGAGCCCGTCCCGTACTGGAGTCTCGGTTTCCACTCGTGTCGCTACGGATACATCGACATTGCGTATGTCGCTGAGGTCGTAGCCAACTACACCGCCGCGGGCATCCCCCTCGAGGTGCAGTGGATGGACATTGACTATATGAAGGACGTGAGTTTGCCGATTGGAGTAACAGCCAACCCCAGCGCTGGATCCAGACGCTCGATCCGGCCCGCTTCGCGCTCGACAAGGTCCGCTATGTTATCGACCAGCTGCAGGCCAGCGGCCGTCACATGATCGTAATGGTCGACCCGGCGACGTTCAGCGGCAAGCCCAACGTCTCGGTGGAGAGCTACGAGACGCTCCGGACCGGCAAGGAGCAGGGGATCTTCCTGGCGTATGACAACGGCACACTGTACGAGGGTGTCGTGTGGCCCGGCCCGACGGCGTTCCCAGACTGGACGCACGAGCGCGCCCAGGCGTGGTGGGACGCCGAGTTCGAACGATTCTTCAACCCCGACACGGGTGTGGATGTCAGCGGCATCTGGCTGGATATGAACGAGCCTGGTGAGTCGAGTGGCGGGCTGGCTGACGATCAGCTAACTTCCTCCCCTACCTCGAGGCTAACATCTACCGTGTGTCCGCGGAGCGGGGAATGCCGCCTCTTCGTCCACTACCGCGCATTATCCCCCGATCTATCCCCGGCTTCGAGGCCTTCACGGCGGGGGAGAATATCTCGGCGCCGCTCGGCTCCTCCGGAGGTGGTGGCGGGGCCAGTGGAGCGGGAGGCAGTGAGGGTTCCACCTCCATGCAAACCTCTGGTTCGCCCAGCGCCTCACAGTCTGCGGATGCTGCGCCAGCAGAGCCAACCGCGAATGTAACCCGCCGTTCGCTCACCAAGCGCCAGACCCAGTCACCGTTGCCCAGCACGCTCGACGACTATCTCTCTCCCGCACTCGACAGCAAGTGGCTGTACCCGCCGTACCGTATCCAGGACCGGCGCGCGCCGCCATCCTCGGCTGGCGACCAGGCGGGCCTGAAGAACATATCCGACTTTTCAGCGCGCACGGACCTCGTACAGGCGAACGGCGCGCGTACGTACGATGAACACAACCTCTACGGTTCGAGGCACGCGATTGTGACGCACAACTCGCTCCTCAAGCGGCGCCCAGGGAAGCGGGCGTTCACAATCGCGCGCTCGAGCTTCAGCGGCACGCCGTCGTCCATCTGGATGGGCGACAATCTGTCCACGTGGGGGCAGTACATCCAGACGATCCGGCAGATGCTGCAGTTCGCGGCTGTGTCGGGAGTGGGGGTGGTGGGGGCCGACTCGTGCGGCTTCGGCGGCAACACGACCGAGACGCTGTGTGCGCGGTGGGCATGGCTCGGGGCCTTTAACACGTTCTACCGAAACCACAATGAGGTGAGTGGCGCGCTGTCGGCGCTAACGTCCAGATCAGCAGTATCAGCCAAGAGTTCTATCTCTGGAACCTGACGACGGTAGCGGCGCGCGCCGCCGGCCACGTCCGCCTCCAGCTCCTCGACTACACGTACTCGTTCTTGCAGCAGCACGGGGAGGACGGCACGCCAGCACTGTGGCCCTTGTCGTGGGTTCATTCAGAGGACGCACAGACAATTGGCGTTGAAGCGCAGTTCTACTACGGTCCGCACCTCCTCGTGTCTCCCGTAGTAGAGGAGAACAGCACGAGCGTGACATTCTACCTCCCCGCGACGCGCTACTACGACTTCTTTACGCTCGTGGCCGTCGAGGGCGCCGGTGCCAAAATTACCCTCAATGGCGTGGGATACGACACTATGCCGCTGCACATCAAGAGCGGCGCGGTGGTGCCCCTGCGCCATGGCACGGCCATGACGACTGCCGAGAACCGGCGCCTACCCTTCCGCCTCATCGTTGCGCCGGACGCGCACGGCGCCGCGCACGGATACCTGCGCCTGGACGACGGCGAGAGCGTCGACATGGGCGATAGTGTGAGCGACATCCGCTTCGACTTCAAGGACGGCACGTTTCGCGTCTCGGGTACGTTTGGATATGGAGACTGCCATGCGCTCGACTCGATCGTGTTTGCGGGACAGGAGGAGAAAATTGCATGGATCGACGGCAAGGCGTGCGAGGCCGACTACGATGCCAAGGCCAAGACGCTGACGGTGTCGAATCTCGGCCGCAAGTTGGACGGCGAGATGACAGTCGAGCTGAAGTAGCCGACCACGACCGAGCCCAGCCGGACGGGGCGTCAGTAGTTAATAGACGCGCAGTCACGCGGAATGGATGCTGTAGTTTGCCTAGATCGCAGAGTACGATGGACAGGACTGCGCTCGGAGTGGGGCCGTGGGAGGCGTTGCGGGGTAATGGGGCCAGCAAGCCGTGCCGTTCGGAAGCGGCAGGAGGCATCGGCATCCATGGTGGCTGAGGCGTGCTTGGTGGTGGCGGCGGCCTTGGCGTATGGCGACTGCGCTTGGCGACGGGGGAGGCGGAGGGAGGAGATGGTGTCAGCTTGACGCCCCGGACGCCGGGCGGGCGCCCTCCGGCGTCGGCGTGTGGAATCAGCTCGGTATCTCGGGGTGGGGGAGGCGGGCGTCGTCCAGAATCCTCCAACCGCGATTTGATGATCGCGATTCCACCCTCCGACAATCGCGGCCCCACTCTGTAGGTGCGTCCACCGATCGCATCTGGACCGATGGCGTCAAGCACGTGTTGAAGCCTGGGGAAACGACGGATCAGATGCACCTTGCGGGCGGCAGGCGCCGATAACGTGAGACTCGTCGAGCATCCGACTGGCTAAACCGTACCCCGGACTGATCACGACCGCCCTCCGATCCGGGGCGCCCTGGGCAGCTGATGGGAAGTGGCATGTGGCAGTGGAGTCGGGCATCACATGCCTCAGCGTGGCTTTCAGGAGCAGGGCCGGTTGTGAGCGGCTCCCCCGGGGCCCTCGGGGCCCTCTGGTCTGCATCGATCATCGCATCACATCGGTACTCTCACGACCGCGCGTTGCTCAAAACGCAGAGCGAGAGCGGGGGCGGGGTCTCCTCATCCCCACGCTGGAGCCTCTTTGACTCTTGACTCTTGACTCTTGACACTTGCTTGACACTGGAGAAGACATTCGCTACTCGCAAACAAACTCTCGATCATCTCACCTCATCACCACCCAATTCCTCCGCCCCTCCGCAGCCCCACCCACCCATGTCGGCCCCACACCCTTCGGCCGCAGAGCACGGCCAGAACGGCGGCCAGACGTTGGAGAAGCACGACGAGAAGGCTAGCCATGTGCACGAGGAAGACGTCGTCGACGCCGCCGCGCGAGGACATGCCGCGACCGACGCCCACGGTAAGTTTTCACTCCGCCTCCCTCCCCATCGCTCATCCCAGGCCACTCGCTCGTCCACTTCGACCCCGAAGCCGAGAGGCGGCTCGTCCGCAAGATCGACTTCTACGTCGTCCCCACCGTCGCAATGCTCTACCTCTGGTGCTTCATCGACCGCGCCAACATCGGCAACGCCCGTCTCGCCGGCCTCGAAAAAGACCTCGGCCTCAAGGGATACCAGTACAACATCCTCCTGACGTCGTTCTACATCTCTTGTGCGTTACCAGCCTAGGCCTGTCGCTCGTCGCCCGACACTAACCGCAGACATTGTCTTCGAGATCCCGTGCAATCTGCTATGCAAGGTCGTCGGGCCCGGCAAGTGGCTCCCGTTCCTCACCTTCGGCTTTGGTCTCTTCTCGATGCTCACAGGTTTCGCGACGAACTTCAGCAACGCCGCCGCCATCCGCTTCCTTCTCGGCATCTTCGAGAGCGGCATGCTCCCCGGCATCGCTTACTACCTGTCCCGATGGTATCGCAAGGCCGAGCTCGGCTTCCGTCTCGCTCTGTACATCGTCATGGCGCCGCTTGCGGGCGCCTTCGGAGGTCTCCTCGCCTCGGGCATCCTCAAGCTCAACGGCATGGGCAAGGTCCACACGTGGCAGCAACTCTTTGTCGTCGAGGGCATTATCACGATGGGTGCGTTCTGTCGGACAGTTGCATATTGGAGGCAGTCTGACCCCAGGCCTCGCAATCATCTCCTACTTCACTCTGACTGACCGGCCAAGCACGGCGCGCTGGCTGAGCGACGAGGAGAAGGCTCTCGCTATTGCCCGCGTCAAGTCCGAGAACGTCGGCACGACCGAAGTCCTCGACAAGATCGACACGAAGAAGGTCATGCGCGGTATCTTCAACCCAAACACCATCCTCACGTCCGTCATTTTCCTCTTCGACAACATCACCGTACAGGGCCTCGCTTTCTTCCTCCCCACCATCGTCGCGACCATCTACCCCAACGCCACCGTCATCAAAAAGCAGCTGCACACCGTGCCGCCGTACATTGTGGGCGCGTTCTTCGTCGTCGCCATCCCTTTCATGACATGGAAGACAGGGCGCTCGCTCCCCTTCTTCGTCTTCTCCGCGCCTCTCATGATGATCGGCTACATCATGTTCCTCGCCTCCAAGAACCCGCAGGTGCGCTACGGCGCGACATTCCTCATCACCTCGGGCGCGTTCGTCTTCGGGCCCCTCTGCAACGCCCAGGTCGCGACCAACGCGCTCACGGACACGGCGCGCTCATCTGCCATCGGCATGAACGTCATGCTCGGCAACATCGGCGGACTGATTAGTACATGGGCGTTCCTGCCGTTTGACGGGCCGAACTACCCTATCGGCAACGGGCTGAATCTCGCCACGTCGAGCATGATCCTCATCCTCTCCCTCGTCCTCTGGGCATACTTGATCGCGGACAACCGCCGCCGCGCCAAGATCGACGTCGACACAAAGCTTGCCGGCATGACCGAGAAGCAGATTTCGGACTTGGACTGGAAGCACCCTGGGCACCGCTGGCGCTACTAGTCGGGAGCAGGATTGGATTGGCGAACATTCGGAGGTTCACTTGTACATTTGGGCACCAGGTAGGGTGGCAGTGGCATTACAGACAGTTGTAGACGTATATGAAGCACATCCAGTCATTTCTCCGGCCGTCTTCGTCTTACCTCCTTTCCTTCTCTTTTTTTTTTGCGCATTCATCAAGCCGCATCTACTTCCATCGTCTCGCGCGACTCGAGCATCACGATGCCGTGCTTGAGCTCCCACTCGTGCACGGTAGCGACCTGCGTGGGGCTGAGTGGCGCGCTCTCGACCATGCTTCCGCGGCGGGGGGCGACCGGCCCACGCTTCTCGGCCCCGGCCATCTTCTCCTCTACCGCCGCGTGCGGGTGCGCCGCGTCGAGCGGCACGACGCCGTGCTTGAGCTCCCACTCGTGCACTGTCTGCTTTTGCGCGGGGCTGAGGGCGTGCTCTTCGCTCTGGCTGCCGCGGCGCAGCGTGGCGGGGCCGCCTGGAGTTAGGGGGTGTTACAGCGGATTGAATAGGCAGGGCGGCGATGGGGGAGACCGGGGCTCACGATGGGATTGCATGTGTGGGCGATAAGTGGGTCGGAGAGGAGAGGAGAGAGTGGAGCGAGGGAGGAGAGTGAATGACTGAAGAGAACGAAGGCAAGGGAGGCGAGACACGCATACATAGCATCGAACATGCTGGCTATGGCGACAAGATGGAGGACTGAACAAGACTGGGCGTCAGCTGATGCGGGCCGAAGCATACGACACGGGCATACCGCAAATGACGGCAATGACGAGGCTGATATGGGACGGATTCCGCCCTACTCGTTTACAGCCTGTCCTTCAATCCGTTGCTGCTGGAGTAGCGGTGTGGCAATCGAGGTCTGCCTCCAAGACCAACAACTGCTGGCCCCAAACCGTATACATTTACAACTACTTCAGATAGATAAGAGGCGCACCGGGGTTGACGGCGTCGCCATTGGCCACGACAATAGCGCTGACCTTCTTGCCCTTCATATCGTCGCCGGCGGCGACGAACACACTAGTCTTCATCGCCTCGAGCTCGACGACGTGCTGCTCGTCACTGTCAATCACGTCGCCCTCATTCACGAGCACCTTCCACACACTGGCGGACAATGGGGAGATAACCGGCTCGCCCTCGGCCTCGGTCGTCACGACCGGCTTACCGCTGGCCGCCTCAGCCTCCTTCTCCGCGAGCCATGCCTTGAACATCTCCTCCTCCTTGGCCGCGACGCGTGCCGAGCACTCGGCCTGCCGCTTCTTGAAGTCGGCCGTCGCGGCCTCCTTCTCGGCAATGAAGCGTGTGTACTCCTCCATGCGGAACTTTGACGCGCGCGTTTCCGGCTTCCAGCTCCCGGCCTTGAACTGGCGCTCGATGTCGACAAACTCATCCTCGCTGACGGTGTAAAACTCGATCGAGTCAAAGTTGTTCAGGATAGAGTGCTTCTCCGCCCACGCCTGCCATGTCGACAGCGTGCGCCCCAGCAGCTGGTACCCGCCCGCACTGGCGATGGGGTAGATGGCGCCGATGACGCCCGCGAGGCCGATCGCGCCTTCGCACGTCTTGGTCCGCGACGGGTTGTATTTCTGACCCAGGACGCGCCGCGTGGGGTCCATCGGGATGATGAAGGGCAGCATGACGAAGAAGCCGTGTGCCAGCACCAGCCACGGCGTGCACGTCAGTGTCTCGTGCACGTCCTGCAACGTCATGCCGTTGTTGTCGGCGATGTACTGCGTGTTCGATGGCAGATAGACGGCCTCCTTGCGCGCCGTCTTCATGTAGTACTCGATGGACTCGTGCGTCCACTTGTCATCAGGGACACACGGGAACTTGTGGATCGTCACGTCGAGCTCGACGTCCGAGCCGGCGGGGAGGCCGGCGTCGATCTCGACCATGCGCTTGAGCAGGTCGCCCTGGCTGATCTTCTTCGGGTCGAAGTGCACGATGGAAGAGCGAACACATGCGTTCATGTACACCAAGCCGTCGATGTTGGCCTCCTTCATAGCGCGCTCCCAGAGCTCGACGCGGACACGGTCCTGGATAACCAACTCCATCGGGCCGACCTCGTAGATGAGGTACTCGTCCGCACACTGGCGGAACCAGCGGGCGGGCGTGTCCTTAGTCGCCGCGACGTGGTGGAGCACAGAGGACTGGGTGATGTCCTGGATGTCCTTCGAGGCGGTGAGCTCTCGCAGCGGCTGCGCCTTGGGTGTGGTGCACGCCGCAAGCCACGCCTCGTTGTCGCGGTTGATCTGCTCGGCTTCGGCGGGCGAGACGAGGACGAAGCGGATCGAGTCCTGCGGTCGCATCTGGCCCGACTTCCATGCGGCGCCGACCGCCATGGCGAGGACGTTCGAGAAGCCGCCCATATCGGGCGAGTCGACAGCAAACAGCACAGGCGTGTCGCCGTTGACGTTGAGCGAGCCGAAAGCGTAGCCCTGGTCAAGAACGTTGGAGGGGTGAGCGCCGCCCTCTCCACCATCAGGACGCGACCACTTAATGCGTGGGCCGTCGAGGCGGAGGCCGGAGCGGTTGGAAGAAGTAGACACCTTCCATGTCGCGCCGAGCAGCGTCTCCATACCCTCCTTGTCGAGGTACTCGAGGTCCCACTGGGCGTTGGCCAGCACGGGCACGGTCCACTCGTTAGTGAGGGGGATGCGCGCAGCGGGGGGCACGGTGAGCTCGGGGCCGTCGTTGGAGGTCGGGATCTCAAGGAGGTCGCCAGGCAGCAACGTGCGGCCCTGGTAGCCGCCAAGAGATGCGCCGGTGAACGTAGACTTGGAGCCCATGAACTCGGAGACGTTGCCGAAGCCGCCACGGACAGCGATGTAGCTGCGCAGGCCGACACCGCCCGTCGCCATGCCAACAGCCAGTGTCTCGCCGGCCTTGATGAATAGCGTAGTCCACTGAGGCGCCTCCTTGCCGTTGATCGTCACCTTCATGTCGGCGCCGGTTACGGCGACGACCGCGTCGACGTGGAACAGAAGCTTCGGGCCCTGCATCGTGCATTCGAGGCCCTCGGTGTAGCGGTCGTTGCCAACAAGGAGGTTTGCGGCTTGGAATGAGAGCATGTCACCCGGACCGCCGCGAGGCAAGCCGAGGCCGACACGGCGGCCAGGAAGGTCTTGGACGGTAGTCGAGATGCCGGGGCTCAGCACCTCAATGGCATTGGGGCGCCACTGGAAGCGCGAGCACCACGTCGTGGTGACGGTGGACTCGCGGAAGTCCTTAGTGTCGAGGATGGCGCGGCAGTAAGCGATGTTGTTGTGGGGACCGACCACCTTGGTCTCGTCAAGGCACTTGATGGCGTTGTCGATGGCCTCTTCGCGCGTCGCACCCCACACAATGAGCTTGGCGACCATAGGGTCGTAGTATGGAGACACGAGCGAGCCGCTCTTAACCCACGTCTCGACGCGGCCGCGTGGCCCGACGTCGCCCCAGCGCACCTCGAACAGCTGGCCCGGCGAGGGCTGGAAGCCTGCGTTCGGGTTCTCACAGTAGACGCGCACTTCGATGGCGTGCCCGTCGATCTTGAGGAGTGGCTCTTGTTCGAGCTCGTCAGCCGGCAGCGAGCCGTCGGGCTGCATGCCCTGGCGGATCATGAGCTCGACGAGGTCGAGGCCGGGGTGGATGACCTCAGTGACGGGGTGCTCGACCTGGATGCGGGCGTTGAGCTCAAGGAAGTAGAAGTCGAGGTTTGGCGAGAGATCATCCAGCACAAACTCGACGGTGCCCGCGGAGCGGTAGTTCATGACCTTGCACAGGTCGACGGCGGCCTTGCAAATGGCTTTGCGCACCTCCTGTCCCTTGGCGCTGGCGAAGAGAGCGCATGGCGCCTCCTCGATGATCTTCTGGTGACGGCGCTGCACGCTGCACTCACGCTCGCCGGCGTGGATGACGTGCCCTTGCCCGTTGCCGAAGACCTGCACCTCGATGTGTCGTGCGCGCTCAATGTACTTCTCGACGAATACGGCCGACTCCTTGAAGAGCACCGCGCCCTTCTCGCGCGTTGCCTCGAAGTTGGCGCGCATCTCGCTCTCGTTACGGCAGACAGTCATGCCCATGCCACCGCCGCCGCCACTGGCCTTCACGATAACGGGGTATCCGATCTGAGCGGCGATCGTGACAGCATCCTCGAGCTGGTCCACAACGCCTTCCGAGCCGGGAACGATGGGCACACCCGCCTTCTTAGCCACGGCGCGAGCCTCGTGCTTGAGACCCATGCTCGAGATCTGCGTCGGCGTGGGACCGAGGAAGATGATGCCGGCGTCCTCGACCTTGCCAGCAAATGTCTGCCGTCAGCCATACACGTACACAGTGACTCACCGCGTTCTCCGAAAGGAAGCCGTAGCCGGGCGCAATCATGGTCGTACCGCTCTTCTTAGCAATGTCGAGAATCGCGTCCATGTCAAGATACCCGCGGGGATCGGTGCCGTCGCCGATCATGTACGCCTCGCCTGCGGCGGTGACGTGCGGCGTGGCGGCATCCGCGAGGGTGTAGATCGCGACCGTGGGAACGCCGAGCTTGTCCGCCGACCGCTGGATGCGGAGGGCGATCTCGCCACGGTTGGCGATGAGGATCTTGTGTTGCACAGTCATGGCTGGCGGCATGATGGGAAGGGATTCGCGCTTCGCGCTTAAGAGTGATTCGGGCTGCAAGTAGTTGAGGCGATAGAGACGAGCGGTGAGCGCTTCACTCCTTGCTGCCCCATCGAGAGTCCGCCGATCCGCCGGACCGGGATCACGGATCAGAGGCGGGCGAGCGGCGGGGCACGGCTATCGTTTCGGATTGGACGTGCGTACTCATGCGGTGGCTGAGGTGGGCGTACACGATAGGCGGTAAGGAACAGGGCGCGAGCAGGCAGTCGAAGACGAACCTGGGGCCGAGGTGGGGCCAGAAGCGTCGGGTGGCGGCCGGTGGTGGCAATGGTTGGCTTGGGAGCGTGGACAAGGATAAGCGGGTTGTGCAGCGTTTGGCGACGGAGAGCGAGCGATGGGAGCGTTGCGGGTGATTGAGATGCCCATGGAGATGGCACATGATATTGAGGGTGACGAGATACTGGGCTTCGCGTAGTGGCGCCAATCCCGCCAATCCCTGCCACAATGTGGCTATCCCTCCCTTGGCGCTGTGGAGCGACCGGACCGACATCGACAACCCTCTCGTATCTCCGCCGCGCTTGTCTGCTCCCCACCTCTGGGTGCCCACCTGTACCTCTGGTTCGTTCCTCTGTGGGGCACCTGGAGCGCGTATGCAGGGCGCCGAGCGTCGGTGACGGATCTCCTGGACGGGGGCGCGGCGGAAACGTTGCCACGGATAAGATGGATGGTCGACAACAAAAGTCGCCCCTCTCATCTTTGGCCTCGCGCTCGCCACTTACAGAAACACAATCACAATGGTCACGAACAGCGCACCCGTCGCGCAGGCGTTCAAGGACGTCGGCGTCTCGCTCAACTGCGACATGGTGGGTGCCGAAGATGAGTGTGCCGCCACTGACACCAGGGCGAGGGTTACTACCGCTGGAACCTGGGTCCGGATGAGGAGCTCTTCCCTTTGATCGACTTTGCCAACGTCGCGTGAGTAACATTGTTAATTTAGCTGAGACCAGGTGCGGGATGCACGCCGGTGACCACGCAACCATGCTCCGCATGGTGCGCCTGGCGAAAAAGCACGGCGTCGGCATCGGCGCGCACCCTGGCCTAGACGACATCAAGGGCTTCGGGCGCCGCAAGCTCGACATCACGCCTGACGAGGTCTACTCCCTCGCGCTGTACCAGCTCGGGGCGCTCAAGGCCATGGTGGACGCCGAGGGTGCGAAGCTCTCGCACGTCAAGCCGCACGGCGCATTCTACTTTATCCTGCGCGACGACGAGGCCGCCTGCCGCGCCTTCATGAAGGCGCACCTGTCGCTGACGCCGAACGGCTCGCCGCTCCCCTACGTCGGGCTGGCGGGGACGACGCACGAGAAGGTGTGCGCCGAGATGGGCATCCCATTCGTGCCGGAGATCTTTGTGGACATCGATTACTCTGCGGAGAAGACGTGAGTTGCAGGGATGACCGAGCTTATGCCCAGCCTCCTCTCCGTGCCCATGAGCAACAAGCCTACCGTGGAGGGCATCGGGAAGAAGATGGAGAGCATCCTCAAGACGTACACCACGTCCGACAAGCAGGGCAAGCCGCTCGAACTGCCCGAGACGCGCGGGTACTACACCGTGTGCCTGCACTCGGACATGCCAACGGCGCTGGACAACGCGCGTGCCGCGCGCAAGGCCATCGACGCAGCGAGGAAGTAGTGCTCAGCCGGTTGTATCTCTGTTCGCGGGTATCGCAGGTGATAGGAAGTAGAGGCAATTGAATGAAGGGATCTGGGTTTGTGGCTGCGGAATGTCTCAAACGCAAAGGTAATCAGAGGTGTTCAGCGGAGCATGGCGGCGTACACTCCGTCCAGATGCAGCACACTCCTCGTGAGCGCAAATGGCCTTCACGACAACGCATTCAGCGCTAAGATCGCGCAAGCACCGGTGGGGTCGGCCACTTATCGGCGGACATAGCCGAGTGATCGGTGGTCCCGCAATCACAAGACAAGAGCGCTCCCCGCTCCTGCTTTGGCGAGCTTGCCCCGGCGTAGCGGGGCTTCAACTTGGTGAACTCCAATCGTCCACACCGCAAGCGGCCCCGAGGGGCCCAGAGCGGCTTCGCTCTGCGGCGCCAAGGGACGCCTGTGCTCACACAACCGAAGAGTCGTACGCGAATCGGGTCGACTATCGTCGCCGCGTGAGCGGGTTGTTTGGTGTGTGCGTCTCCAGCAGCCGGGCGTCGTGTGAGGTTTGATGCGGTCCAGAGGGCGCCGTGTCACAGCATCCCCGGTCGTACTTGCAGTCCTGGCCGGTGTCGATCCCACGCGTCTGATCTGCGTCTCGGCCATCGGTGAGATCGGCAAGACATGTCAAGCATGCACAAGTGATCGGCGGTCGGCGATCCGGTGCGGAACGTATGAATGTCAATTGAGGACTGCAAGGCCTAAAGACCGTACACGGCTGAGGCCTCGACGGAGCACATCGCCACACTTCTGGATATGCACCAACACTCCCAGCCGATCATCTGAAGCTACACCGCGCTCACTTCAGTCGCGCTCACCTCAAGTCGACATCAGTGGTCCCCCTTGCGTCAACAGCTGATCTGACAAGCGCGATATAAGCTGATCGCGAGCTGTCCAGTTATGAGGATCGTTTCAGACGAGCTTCTTTTGATCCTCAGCCGCGTCAGATGTGTACTGCCACTTAGCTCACTCACCACCACCGCTCACTCTTAAGCCAGATCGTTGCGCCAACTCACCCACCTGACTCCAACCAGTCTGGCCTCTCGAACACCCCTCACCATGCTCCACATGCTCCTCCTCCTCGCAACCACCGGTGCCAACCCCCTCGCGCACCTCGCCCTGGTCAGTCCCGCTCTCTCCGAACCTAACCCCAGCGCGCGGACTTCTACACCCCTTCCGACCCCGCCGGCCGTTGCGCGTGGGGTACGCCCTCTCCAACCCCATCCCCGCCGCGCACGGATGGGTGCTACCTCGACGCCTACGTCGGTAAGGGCGACGCCGCGCACGCGGCGCGCATCGCGGCCTTGTACGCGTGCAACGACCACGCGAAGTGCTACGCCGACTGCGGCAGGACCAAGACCGACTGCGACGCCATGCTCCGCGTCGCACTGTACAACGTGTGCGGCTCCGGCGAGTGGCAGACGTGCGACTTTGAGGCAATCGCGGCCGAGCAGATGCGCGAGGACGTGTGGGCCGACGCGAATCTGCGCCACTGTCCTTATGCTTGAGGTTGAGCTGCGCTGGGGAATACTGGTTCTAGTCACGCTCTCTCTGACGATGTAGATGCAAGGTCCTTTCAACACTCGGCGCCCGCTTGGCACCCTACCTTGCCAAGAGGGAGCCCAGCGCCTGGCGTGGCGTGCTTGACGAGCAACGCTCGAGCCGCGCCAAGTCGTCTGCTTGACCTGGCTTTCGGAGCACCGCGGCGCGGAGCGCGGAGCCTAGAGCCAGCGATCACAACACTCCACGCTCGTACATGCAACTGCCGTCAGCATGTCCGTACTCCAGCCTACTCTATACGTGCTACACAATCATCTTCTGCTCGTGCCGCAGCCGCTCCCATCTCAGACAGCGCAGGTGCCACGCCGAGCCTACGAGCGCGAGCACCTGCGCGACGTACACGATCACGATGCCGCGCGATCGCCATTCTGGGCCCGCGAAATGGGCTGCTGCCATGCTCGCCGACCAGCCCTGGCACACGAGGCTCGGCAGGAGCAACCAGTCGACGCCGTCCGCTATGACGCGGTACTGGAACCTGTGGAGAGTCGGGGGCGGGAAAGAAGACGGGGACGGGGGCGGGGGCGGGGACGGTGAGGAAGATGGGGAGGGAGGGGGGACACGCATCAGACGTGTCAAGTACCCTGCTACCGCGGCAAGGAGGAGGTACGCGCCAGATCCAGCGATGTGGGCCGCAAACGTCAAATTCAGCTCCCGGTGCCCGTAGGCCACCAAGAGGCTCGACATCGTTACCACGCCGAATGACAGGCCCGTTAAGACGAGCGCTGGGGGCAGCGCCCAGAACGGTAGTGGGGACGCGAGGAGGTAGTGCCGGTCGCTGTCCATGGTGAGTGTATGGTCGAGCGAGCATGTGTAGCACATGCATCAGGCCGCACATTGCGCTGCGAAGTTCGCTGCCTGGCATACTTGGCATACGAGGACGAGAGATACGCAAGAACTGGAGCTGGACGGGCTTGGCTACCAAGTGCCTGGAGACTGACGTCGACACCACGCAGGCCGCAGTCAACAACCTGAAACGCCAAGACGGTTGCGTGGTGCACACGTGATATTTGACTGTGTAGTATCCTTGTGTGCCACATGTCCACGCGGATGATATGCTGATATTCTGATATGCTCGCGTTGTATAAAAAGGAGGCGCATGAGTGAGGAGAAACTGGAGACTAAACAAACCTCGCTGCTGACATTTGCATCACATCAACATACCCGTCTCATATGACGCAGCCACTGAGAGCAGCCGGTCTGGCCGGGGACTGTGCGAAGCTACGGACCAGGGAAGTCTCTCGCATCGTAGGTCGCCCGAGATGCTGGTTACCCCCAACTCAGCGGCGGCCGGCGACGGCCTCCTCATCGCCGAGTGCCGATGGGCATGTCCTATTGTCGCGCATCTTGTGATGCCAGGTCAAAGCGCTTGGTATTGCCGGCAGGGCGACTACTATCACTAGCGCCTGTGGAACGCACCAAGATGCTTGTGGCATGAAACGCCTCCTGACCACCTAATATCCAGTTGTCAGCCTCTGACGCGCGATTAACGACCAACCTCAGAAGCGGCTCGTGCATCAGCGCCTACAGAGCAGCAATCATTGCCCACGTTCGATGCGCCATTACCGCGGCTCATCGCGGCCCAGGGGCCGCGAGCATGCATATAAGCCGCTTCGCAGCATAGCCTTCAGTAGCCAACATGCGTCTCGCACTCCTCTCCTTAGTTCTCGCTCTCGGCTCGGCCGCAGCCTCCGATGTCAACAACCCCGACCAGTGCAGCTCGGTCGACGCGGCACTCTTCGCCGTCCGCAATGTGCACCGCACCCCGAATGTGGCTGACGGCAGGACCCCGCACTCTCGCACCGCACCGCGGAGCTCGAGGCGCGCGAGCTCGAGAAGCGCGCATGCTGTGGCCGCTGCTCGGGCAAGTGCACGACGGGGCAGAAGAAGGCCGCCGTAACCAAAGGCAACGGGTGCGGGCCTGCGGGGTGGTGGAACAAGGTCGTGCCGGAGTTGATCTTCAACGGATGCTGCAACACGTGAGTGTGACTCCAGGGCTCACTGACGCCAGCCACGATATGTGCTACACCAAGTGCGGGACGACTAAGGCCAGCTGCGACCAGGCGTTCGCGGGATGCATGCGCGGCCGCTGCTATGCCCAGTACGGCAAGCTGAATCCCGTGCGATACGTGTGCACGGATCTGGCGGATAAGTACGCTTCGGCTGTGGTGGTGGGCGGATGCCCCGCGTTTAAGAGCGCGTCGAAGCGGCACTGCAAGTGTTAGACGTCGCGGTATTACAAGTGCTCGCAGGTGGCTAGTTATAGAAATTGGAAGTCATGGCAGAGGGTCTGCCACAGTCTATTGACTGTAGATCAGCCGAGATGAAAGCTTAAGTCTGACGTGTGCCAAGACTTAGCCGCGACCAGCAGGCAAGTGGCCATGGTCGCCCGCCATTGTCGCCATCGATCAAGCGAGGCTTCGACGGCCCGTCCCATGCGTTACTTCGTACCAGAATAGGAGCCTGCTCGCTGAATGGTACTCCGCGGACCGAAGAGTAACCTTACGTGTTAAGCTCAGCGTGCCGCGGAGACGCATGTGACCACTGCATCCGTCAGCATGGGCATGGCCGCAGCCATGGGTAAGACTGCAGCCACAGGCGGCCGCGCATGGGCGTGACAGTCAATAAAGCTACATAAGCTGCGTGCGGCGTGATGAGCTCAGCTCCACGACCCACTCACGACTCGCCATGCGCATCCTCCTTCTCAGTTTGCTGGCGTTTGCCACCGCCCAGGTGGACACCAATTCGAACGTTCCCCGCGACGGTATGGAAGGCCAGCCGCCCCAGCTGCCTATGCGCGACATTGCGGCCAACGTGATCCGGGATGCAAGTGTGAGTGCGACGTTAACCCCTGGCCGCAGACTCCGCGAATGCTGGCGTTGGACTGGCTCACCCCCGCCTCTTCTCCAGGCCCCCCCCCCCATCTTTCACCTACCACTCCCACTGCTACTCACCCTCGCCTACCCTCCCCTCCCTTTCCGCCAAGCTCCCCTGCTAACCCAAGGCCCAGCTAACCACCCGCGCCGTCGAGAAGCGCGACGCCTCCGGCCGGTGCCCCGCCGGCCAAACGCCCGTCCCCAACGGCGTGCCGTCTACGCCCAACGGCTGCGGTCCCGAGAAGTTCGAAGGCCTCGTCCCCGAGCTCTGGTTCAACGCCTGCTGCGGTCAGCACGATATCTGCTACGGCGACTGCCCACGCAGCAAGGCCGAGTGCGACAGCGCGTTCCTGACATGCATGAACGCGGCTTGTGACAAGGAGTTTCCCGGCACATGGTCCGCCAAGCGTCTCGGGTGCCGTGCCAAGGCTGGCCTCTACTGGGGCGCGGTCAAGATTGGGGGGCGTAGCTCGTTCGAGGGCGGCACAGAGGATCACTGTACGTGTGTTGCGGCGTGATGTATGTTGTAGTGGATGGAGTAATGCTGCGCGGCGCAGTGCGAAAAGCAGGCGCGGGTGAGACACGCCACGCGCAGCGCATGGATCGCCGCATCACGCTCGGGTCGAGCATGCCACATACACGCGGCATGCGTGCCACGGCGTACACGTCGAACGGGTGTGGGAAGCACTTATGACATGCCGAGCGACGTGCGATGCGAATAGGGAGCGAGGTGAGATGCTAAATGACATGAGAGGAATGACAGGCGTGTGGTGCCGATCGACTACCTTGTTATGCCTATGCGCTTCCTTGTCATGACGATCTGCCACCATGTCCCGGAAATGCCGGGCACTGCTCTGTCGCACTGTGCATGCTGCGGCGCTGCATGATCGCAGGATGGCATGAGAAACCTATGAGCAATTGAGCAAGCGAGTGGACGCGTCAGGTGGGCTGTGCATAATAGATTACGGATGCTATGACAAGTCATGAGAGGCGTTTGCACCGCCTTGCTTGTCCCCGTGCCTGGATCCCTCCCACACCGCCCACTCCTCCCATTCTTATACTCTCTCTTGTCATCTCATCTCATCTCTCTCATCCATCTATTCAGCTCTCCTCGACCTCTCCCCCTCTCTCTCTCTCGCTCACACCCACACCCCACAGCACATCTTCCACCATGGGTATTGCTATGGCTCTTGGTTAGTCTCAACAACACAACCTCCACGCCTCCCGCAGCACCCTCAACTAACTCCCAGCCGCCGCGGGCATCGCGTTCATCGTCGTCAAGAAGATGACAAACAAGCCCAAACCCGTCGCTTACGGCGGCGGTGGCTACGGCAAGCCCCCGGGCTACCGTGACCAGTCGAGCGGCTTCAACCCCATGGCCGCAATGGGCGGCTTTGGCGGTGGTGCGGCATCCAGCTTCATGGGTGGTGGTGGCGGCGGTGGCGGCGGCCACGCGGCGTCCTTCTTCGGCGGCGCCCCCGGGTCTCGTGACATTGGTGGCGGCGGCTTCGGCGGCGCCCCTGCTGGCCCCGACCATCAGACGATCGTCCGCACTCTCAACCAGTGCATCCAGGAACAGCGCATCGGCTACTTCTACCAGGACCCCCGCGCCGTCGACGCGATCGCTCAGCGCATCGCTGCCAGCGGCGCCATCTCCGAGATCTCGCAGGAGTGGCGTCTTACCCCCGACATCGCTATCGACCTCTGCAAGCTTGCTCTCTTCGACATTGTCGTGCTCTGTGACGACTCGGCTGCCATGCGCGGCGAGCAGGGCGGCGAGCGCATCAACGACCTCCGCGCGTGAGTAATCCCTCCCACACGCGAAAGACATCGCTGACATCCAGCACCCTCTCCAAGGTCGCCTACGCTGCCACTCTCTTCGACGACGACGGCATCGAAGTCCGCTTCCTTAACGCCCCCTTCGAGGGCAACCGTATCAACTCGGACGAGGCTGCCGTCCAGCTCCTCGACCGCATCGTCTACGACGGCCCCTGTGCCCTCGGCTCGGCGCTCGACTTCAAGGTCCTGCAGCCTCTCGTCCTCGGCCCCGCCCGCGCCCGCGCCCTCCACAAGCCCAAGCTCATCATCATTATCACCGGCGGTACCGGCGCGCTCTACTCAGAGCCCCCCAACACGCTCAACCAGGTCATCGCACGCGCTGCGCAGGAGCTCTCGCAGAGCGTCGGCGCCGATGCCATCTCATTCCAGTTCTGCCAGGTTGGCAACGACATGCAGGCCGCTCAGTGGCTAGGCCACCTGGACGCCGACCCGGCTATCGGCGGCCTTATGGACCAGACAGGCGACTTTGACGCCGAGCGCGACGAGATGATGCGCAAGTCTGGGCAGCAGCTCACCCCCGTCATGTGGCTGCTCAAGATGATGCTCGGTGGCATCGACAACTCGTACGACTCCAAGGATGAGTAAACTGGGTCGGATCTGTGTCACGTGTTCCGCGTATCTGAGTATCTGAGGATCTGAATAGAGGGATTGTGATGTACTGTTATCGGTCGTGATGATGCGGAAAGACACCGGGTGAACGGCGTGATCGGCGTGTGCCGCACGATAAGAGGCCGAGAGGCGGTGCAGCTCGGGGCCGGCGATAAATGCGGTGCAGCTCGGGGCCGGCGGCACGTGTCGTATCACGCGGCGACTGACGACGCATATGACGCGCAAGCGCGTCACGAGCGTACGCAGCGTGTCGCACGCCACTCCAAAATCAGCTCTAAACCAGACTAGTGCATCGCATCTCCGCCGGAGCGTAAGGAAGTCGTCAACTTTCAGGTCAATTTTCAGGTCATTTACTAGATAATACGGCACCCACCCCGTTTCAGCGTCTAATCGTGACCAGCGTCCTCGTCGCAAGTCATCTTGGCGCTCGTCAGTTGCGAACAGCATCTCGAGGTGTTATTGTTTGTCAGGCCCATTCTTGGCGGACGGTGGGCGAACCGCGCTCGGTGACTGGAGCGACCTGTGGAGCACGGCGCTCTAGCACTGGAGCGACTTCTGGAGGATGGCGTTCTGAAAGCTATAAAAAGGCGCCAGGAAACGGAGTCAGCACCTACCAACAACCAACATGCGTCTCGACCTCATCTTCAGCACCCTCGCCTTCAGCGCCACCGCGTTCGCGCTACCCACCGAGACAAAGGTATGCCGACCCCGTCCCCGCTGACCATAGGGCTCGGCACTTGCCTTCGAGGCGCTCGGCGCCATCGGCCTGCAGGATATCAGTCCGCGCAGTGACCTTACGAGGCGCGACGACACCGGCCGTTGCCGGTGGGGCCGGCGCCCCGAGAGCCTCGGCTTGCCCCACGAGTCCAACGGGTGTGGCAGCAAGTCGACGCACTGGGTGCCGGAGATGTGGTACGGCAGCTGCTGTGATGCGCACGACGCGTGCTACGCCGACTGTGGGCAGAGCAAGCGGGCGTGCGACGACGCGTTCATTGTCTGCATGCAGCGGAACTGTCACGACCAGGTCGGCGGGCTCGGCCATGGCGAGGAGTTGCAGAACTGCATCGGCGCATCGGCCATTTACTGGGCCTCGGTCAGGCTTCTGGGAGGGCGTGCTTTCTCCGATGCCACGGACAAGTACTGCCGATGTGTGTAAGCCTGTGTGTGTAGATACGACTGTGAATCTGAATACGTAAATTAGATCGGCAGGTGCGGTTCTGGCGCATTGTGAGACGGAGGCATGAGGCGCAGGCTATGTCATGCGTCTGCGGTCACGGGAATCAAGAGGCATTGCTTCTGCGAACCTCACACACGCTCGGCAACACATCACATATGCGGACCTTCATCCACTATACCTGCACACACGTGCAGTGGCGGGCATTCATGGCCTCAAAGTTCGCCTGAGTGATCTGGGGGGCGATTATCTCGTGGAAATCGCACTGGTAATTGCCACGAATCCACACGCTGGCCGCATTCGCCTCGGTGGCCTCAAAGGTCCCCGGCTGAAGGTTGCAGGACGCGAACGTGTCGATGAGCAGGCGCACATCGCACTCTGTGCGCGGCGATCGGCAGTCCGCATAGCAGCGCGCGTGCTCCTCGCAAGCATGGTGAATGCGAGCCGCTGCGTCGGGGTGCATCTCCCCGGCCCAAGATGGCCCGTTGTAGTGGCACTGGGAGCGGATAATGCCGCCGTCCTTTGGGACAGGGATGCCGTTCGCACAACGCTCGTTGCGCTTCGCGAGCTGATGTTAGGGGGAGAGAGATGAGACGTACCTGCTGCTCTGTGGGTGCCGCGAGGGCCCCGAGGAGGAGGGGGAGAAGAGCGAGAGTAAGCATGGTAAAGAGTAAGGAGCGTGGGTGGTAGGGGGTGAGCGTACGTTTGCTTTGCTGAACCGTAGAGTAGTTATAGGCTAAGAGACCCGAAACGGGCCGCTTCACGCCGCTCCGCGCGGCCCATGCATGACAAGGAAGCGACCCCAAATTAGTGTGGTCTTGCCGCAATGAGTGCTGTGAGCGGTAAGCATGCAGTTTAGCAGATGGTGAGACAGGGGTAACGGGTGCGGAGATTCGGCTTGTGCGCCGTCGCAGCCTGTCCGTCTGTCACAAGTCTGGCCGACACCAGCGGAGGTCCGAGCACGCTTCGCGGAGACAAGCCCGACCGGCAGCGTTGACGGTGACCCATCAACTTTCGGGCCCGCGGAGAGGCATGAATCGGCCCGAGGAGTGTGGTGGGTTGGTTGAGAATCGAGTGTCCCTGATGGCCAAGCTGGCAGAGCACCGTACAGAAGAGCAAAAGCTCACGTCCAGCATGTTCAAATGCTGCGCACACTCCTCCGTTTTATCTCATGCAGCACAGTCACACTGCTGCAAACTCCGTCGGAACAGTCTTGAAACGGAGTGATCGTGTCCATGCCCGTAGCAGCATGTCCACCGTGGCTTGTGCTTGCACAACTAAAAAAGGAGGAGTGGTGTGCATGAGAGCTTGGCGGCTTGCTCTATCCGGCAAAACCGACACTATTGGGTGTGCCGAGAACGAGAGGACAGCGATGCTCTGCAACGCGGCCCTCAACAATAATATGTCTGTAGTGATTTATACGAGCAGGCCTATGTGAACTGAACTTATCACTCTCGTACGCCGACGTCTTCGTCCCTGTCATTATCTAACCGACGCCGAGTGTTGAGCGTGAGCTCTGTCACTGTGAGTGCGGAGAGGGGCTGGGTCTCTGAAGCTTAGAGTGCAGATGTGATGGCTTCCGGTATCGCGAGTGAGATTAAATGTGCCAGCTCAACGCGACCAACGGCAGGTGAGCGCCAGCACTTTCATTTTCCCGCCGGTGAGCTTTGCAACGCCATGCCATGGCGGCTCATCTTGACTGAGGAGTCAATAACGCGGTTCAACTAACCGAAGAAGTGGACTGGATGGGGAAGGACGACGACAACAGTGTAAGAGGCTTGACAGAGTGACTTACCAGATTTCGCTAGCCGACACTGGTGTCTGAATCTGCTCAGGCATGCCACAGCAAACGAGGTAAACATCACGTGATCTAGCACTGATATGACTCGAATCAACTTGTAATGCTCAATTGAAATAGAATCATATACATTTGAGTGCCCTTAACAGCCCGCCCCACTCGCCCCCGCCACCACAGCTTTAAATACCTTCACTGCCCCACAACCCACCACCCACTCCATCCACTCCATCCATCCAAACATCCATCCACCATGAGCGCGACGGAGCACGCCTCGTCAAAACGCAAGCGCAGCAGCGATGGCGAACGCTCTTCCGCAGCTCCGGCCAAGTCAAAACGCAGCAAGGTGCCGCCCCCCACTCTCGCCGCAGCTCTCCCAGACCCCGACCCGGAGCCAAACACCGAGCCTGAGGCTGAACTCGAGTCCTCGGATGACGAGGGGAGAGACAAAGAGGCGCGCAAGGAGACCAAGGAGGAGCGACGCAAGCGACGGGAGGAGCGCCGCAAGCGCAAGGAGGAGCGCCGCAAGCGTCGAGAGGCGCAGGCCGCGGAGCGCGAGTTGAAGCGTAAGCGGAAGAGCGAGGAGGGCAAGAAGAGCAAGAAACACAGACGCAGCGAGGCTCCCGAGGCAAACTTGAGCGTCGTGTCTGAGTTTGAAAAGGTCGTCGAGCAGTATATGGAGACGCCCAAGAAGGAGAAGGAGAAAGAGAAGGAGAAGGAGAAGGAGAAGGAGAAGAAGAAGAATGAGAAGGAGAAGGCGCCCGCTCCAGCCGCACCGGCTCCTTCAACCCCCGCCCTTCCCACCGATGACCCAACTCCCGCTCCCACCGCGGACTCAATTCCAGTCGCGTCAAGCTCGCGTGAGGCTTTGGCGTCGCCAGAACCTGAGCTCGAAACAGTGAAGCCCAGCAAGGCAAGAGCAAGCAAGGCTACTGCCGCAGCAAAGTCAAAGCAGCCCGCAGCCGATGCCGCCGACTCTCGAGAAATCCCCAAGCTTACGCGTCAACGCAAGAAGAAGGGCGAGGCAGTCGACGATGACATCGAGGACGAGGTGCTGCGCGAGAAGTTCAAGGACCCGGCAGTGGCGCAGGAGTTCCTCGCATCGCGCTGGGTCGACATCCCCGTCCTCCTCCGTTTGGAGAAGAAGGGCAGTGAGTCTTGCGCCGCACATCCTAGCTAACACTCTAGTCATCACATGGAAGCGCGGCAAGTACACCGAGGCTGAGAAGGCTGCGGTGCGCCAGACTCTCGACACATTTGCCCTCACACACAAGCTGTCCCACCAGAACATTGTGGATATCATCTTCGCCAAGGGTCGCAGCTCGGAGCGTAGCCGGTATCCCGGATTTTGGGCAGACGTTGCGGCGTCCGTGCCGGGGCGGCCGCTGCGGTACGTCAAGGAGGCCGTGCAGCGCATGTACCATCCCAACGCACACAAGGGCCCGTGGACGAAGGAGGAGGACGAGACGCTGAAGCGGTGAGTCACCTCTGTGGGGTACTTTGACTGATTTAAGTGCATACACAGAGAACCCGGGGCAGTGGGTCAAAATCGGTGACGCCGTCGGACGGCCATACACCGATTGCCGCGATCGTTACAAGAAGCAGATCGAGGTGTCCAAGGACCGTATCAGCGGTCGTTGGACCAAGGAGGAGGAGGCAGAGCTTACGGCGGCGGTCAAGAAGGTGGCTGAGGATCTCGGGCGCTCCATGTTGGACGGCGATCTCCCATGGCCAACAATCGCGCAGCTGATGAACGGCAACCGCTCGTTCCACCAGTGTCGCGTCAAGTGGTGAGCAGAGTGTGGACGATCTATCGCTGACTGGCAGGCAAGAGAGCATGGTGCCGCAGCTCACGGGCGAGGGGTACAATGCCGCGTCAAAGCCCGTGCTCGAGGCAATGAAGAAGTTCGGTTACGAGCACGAGAACGACATTGTGTGGCGCGACGTGTCGAACTTTGCCAAGAGTCACTCTAAAGGTGCCCAGGCGACGTGGAAGCGCATGCTCGCGACTATCGGACCGGTCGAGGGCAAGACATTCAAGGGTGAGCCGTTCAGATTCCAACGCTGACATCAGAAATACTGGACATCATGGAGGAGAACATGGACGCCATCATTGTGGCCGAGCAGGAGGCCAGCATGCCGACGACAAGGAAGACCACGAAGAACGGGGGGCGTAGCCGTGCCTCCAACAAAAGCGCTGCGCACGTCGATGACAGCTCTGAGAAGTCTGGGCCTGACTCTGACAGAGAGGACTCTCGCGTGGGGTCCGCCAAGAGCAATGGCGCTGCCCGGGAGACTCAACGCGTCGAGAGAGCCAAGAGCAACGACCAGCGCCCTGAGCAGCGCTCCGAGCAGCGCCGCGAGCGCTTCGCGGCTGCCCGCGGACAGAGTAATTGGCTCGAGGCGGCCGCGCTCGGGCAGCAGGCCGAGGCGTGGATGGACAGTGTCGTGGCGGGCGGAAGCGGCAGCGGGCGTGACCGGAGCGCAAGCGCACGCAGCAGCGCCAGCAACGAGGTGCGCAGTCGCAAGGTCAGTTTCGATGAGGGGGAGTGAAGAGGCGGCGCGATTATGCATTGTTGTAAGCTTGCTCTTCGGAGGGCTAGAGTGATCGTCGCAAGCGATCATTGCCGTGGCCTTCGACTTGCAGGTATCGGACGAGTCCTTACAATAAATCAGGTGGCCTTGTCGCTTGGCGATGCCGACCAGCTTGTTCATATAGTATCCCATGGGTGGCGGCGTGGCGGATGACAAGGAAGGATCAGCAAGCGTACCGACAGAGGACGGGCTCACATCTATACACAGATGAGTCTTGATGAGCCCTAGAAGAGAGTGTGTAAGGGCCTGTCATAGGGGGGTGACAGGACCTAGCGCAACAGAGGCTGAATGGAAAACAGGGACAGAGTAGACAAAAATTGAGGTTGACTGGACTGCGTGTAAGGGCAGCCCTCCAAAAAACAGTGAGTTAACAAGGATAACAGAATCAACACAGGTGATCGGTGGAGCTGTATGTCTATATAGGAGACTATGGATGGAGGCCAGAGTGGTTGACAGATTGTCAGGCAAGACAATTGACTGACAAGAGGTTGCAAGGTCGAAGGGTGGTTGACCTGACAAGTCTCGCTCACGTTGCTCGCGCCAACGTCGTAGCTTCTTACACGGGACTCTAGAGTGCAGGCGTTCACCTGTCGCGGGTCAGCTAACGTCGACGTAGGTTGAGTGGCGGCGAGCGGACGGATATCGGCAGAGCGCCGATCCAAATGTACAGAACTCTACAACGGAACATATGTACCAGCATTACAATAGAGATAACGACAATCACGGCTAAGTCTGAAGGGGCGACTCCCCTGATGTATCCCGGTAATGAGGTATCGAGATAATGCACAGATCGGGGTGGGGCGGGGGGTTGGAGCCTCGGTCCTGAGGAGTAACCTGTATGGGCTGACCTGTGTAGAACGATGTGGGTCGCTCAAGACTCTCGCTGAATGTCATTTCGGTCCCGTCAATGAATCGATCTCTCATCAACATTTGTGATGGCCCGGACCCGAGATCTAGCTCAAGTAGAACTGCTGTTAGGGCCATTAGGCTTATTATTGTGCCTCTTGTGTACCGGTTGAAGCATTTAGATCGGGCCATCACATCATTCGGGTACGAAATCCAAGGCAACTACTCTAGCGAGAGGGGGTCGCAGTCGACCGATTGGCGATCAGACGTGAAGGGCACTTGTTTGCCTTAACATCGAAGTTGGGAGATAAGCCCACGGCGACCATCTCTTGCGATGACCACAACGCTGACGCCCTCTGGATATGAACCCGCGGGTAATGTTCTGCAATGACACAACTGACGTGGACGCTCTGCATCTGCTCACGCATGCACTCTCACGAATGAGCACTTGGGCCAGCCGAGAAAAGAGTGCGCACAGAATGTACCTCGACGCGACCGATTGGCGCTGCTTCGGGAATCAAATCAATTCACCGCTGCGGAAATCATAATCATCGGTAACTTGACATTCCGCGGGGTCGCCACTTTTATGCCGTCGACATGCTACGTCCGCAAAGCATATGCTCCCAACGGGTCTACGGCGCTCGCATTCGTCCTGAGCCATCTTCTTACTACAAACAAGTTAAGCCGGCGTCTTGGATCCCTTGGGCATGCGCGCCCCCTTCGGCGGAGGGTTCCGCCTGAGGAAGTCCTCGGCAATCTCGGCGTACGTGACCCACTCGACGCCTTCGTGCCCGTTGACCCACTCGATGAAGCGCTCGAGCATCTTGAGTACGTGCGGACGGCCAGATACGTCGGGGTGCACGGTGAGCGGGAGGCAGAAGCCCGTGTCGCGCTCATTCTCGTACAGGTACGTGAAGTGGTCCTTCCACTTTGACTCGATCGAGCGGACGTCGACGAAGCCGTGAGAGTTCGCCGCGCCCTTCATAAACATCATAGGAGGCAGGTCGTCCAACTCCCATGAGACAGGTATGCAAGGCAGGCCCGTCGTCTCGCCGCGCTGCAGCGGCTCCATCCAAGTGCTGGGATGCTTGTCGTAGTCGATCTTCTTCCAGGTGTCTCCGATGCGGAGATAGTATGGCTGACTGTCTCGGTGCATTGAGGAATGGTCTGGTGTCAGGCACATTCCGGAGGCTCACGTGGCTGCTCAGAAGAGGGTAGGAAGCGCTGGGAAGCATGGACGCTGCCTGCGTCTCCATTGACTCACCGTAGAGGAGCCCCTTCTCAAGGAGCAGCTCAGCCCCCTCCTTGCTAACCTCCCACCACGGCGCGACGGACCCGAGGGGCGGCTTGCCCCAGAACTTCGTGATCTGGTCATACGTGTGATCGAGAATAACCTTCTGCTGCTCGAGCGAGAGGGACGTGGGGTTCTCGTGCGAGTATCCATGAAGGCCGCTGATGTAAGCGCGCGTACAGGCCAGCACCCCGCACATCCCTCCCCCATCCTCTCCCTCATTCGTCTCCACTCACATCTCGTGCCCCGCGTCGCGCACCTTGGCCATCTGCTCGGGGAACGTGTCGAGGCTGTGGCCGGGGATGAACCACGTCGTCTTCATGTTAAACTTATCAAAGAGGCGGAGGAGGCGGAGCGAGCCGACCTCGCCCGCGAAGAGGCCGCGCGAGATATCGCTCGCACTGTCTTCGCCGCCGTACGAGCCGAGCCAGCCGGCGACAGCATCGACGTCGACGCCAAAACTGCGTGAGCGGGGCGAGGGGACAAACTTACGCGCAAAGGATACGCGGCTTGGAGGACATGGTGGATGGGACGGAGGAGACGAGACTGGGACCGGCTTATATGCAGCATAGATAGCGCTCGATACGACTGCCCACATTGCGGAGTGTCAGCTGATGCTGTCGAGCATGCGCGGCTGGAGAACTGTGAGAATGTGAGACAACAGTCGGGGCTGAAGGCACTGTAGGGGTGGACATGCGGGGTGGAGGTTAGGCACGCCTCGTATCGAGCTGCGGAATGCGGAGGCGTTCCGAGCGCCGCGTTACGCCGCCGCAAGGTGTAATGGCGGGGTTGGAGCTCATTGCATCGGGTAGCTTGCAGCTTGCAGCTGCCTCACAGAATTTATTGGCGGCGCAGAGGCTTGGGCTTGGTCGACGTCAAGATGGGATACCGCACTGCTGTCTGGTGTTCAGTTCGGCCCGTTTTCCTGTTTGGTTCGCCACGTGAGCGTCCCACGTGACTGCGGCGCTTACGCCGAAGGAAAGTCCGGCGTGTTCTCCTCCTCGCCGGCGGAGTGAGCGCCCATGCGGACCACGCATAATTCTCGCAAATACCCTGTTACAATGCATGGTTTACAGATGTCGTTCCTATGTCTATGCTTGGCCGCTCGGCCCGCGCGCCGTGCCGCTGGCCGCGGACTTGCCCGCGGGTCCACCATTCGCTCTTCAGTGGGACCACGGTCACTTGAACGTGACCGTCGCGAGGGCCTTCGCGCCCTCGCCCGCGGCGTCGTCGACGAGCAAGACGTCGCGGAAAACGACGCCGCGCTCCTTCAGCCCTTCGAGAAGGAGCTCGCGGTATCCCGGCGAGTTCATAAGTCCGCCGCCAAGCGTGACCGCGGTGTTTTCGGGGCGCACGACCGTGCCGTCCCCGAGACACTCGATGGCGAGCTTGACGAGCGAGTCCATCGCGAACTTTGCGATGCTGAGCGCGACTTCGTGCGAGCGCTGCGCGAGCTCCGAGTCGAGCGCGACGCCCGAGTCCGCCGGAAACGCCCATTTGAAGACGTGCCGCGCCGCGCCGGCGAGGTACGCGTTCCGCTTGGAGCTCGCTTCGCCGATCGTCAGGCCGTCCACGAAGTCGGTCATGAGCGCGACGATGCCGATAAGCTCAGTCGGGTCCTCGACCTCGAAGTACGACAGCAGGTCGGTGTGCAGCGGCAGGCGCGGGGGCACGGGCGAGCTGTAGATACCCGCGCATTGCTCGCGGTCCCATTGGCCTAGGAGCTCGCGGATCGCCAACCGTCCGATCCAGAAGGCGCTCCCTTCGTCGCAGAGCATGTATCCCCAGCCGCGCGAGACGCCTACGTCCGCCAGCGGCAGCCCGCGACGCTTCCGCTCCGGCGCGCCGTCGACCGGCGGCGATGGCGGCAGGTGCGCTGCGTGCTCTTGGATGCGGATCGTGCGCCCGATCGTGCCTGTGCCGCACACGATCGCCACACAGTGGTCGATGCCAGAGAGGTGGAGGGCGGGCGCGGCGAGGAGGTTGACGTCTGGGGTTAGCGCGAGCAAGCGGCAGAGCTGCAACTCACCGTTAGTCATGGAGATGCGCTCCGGCGCAGTGCACAGTACTGCCGAGACGAAGGGGATAAACGCCGTCGCATTCGCCGGCGTCGTCATGCCCGCCAACGCGATCCAGCAGTGCTGGAACAGTGGCTCAGCCAACGACGCCCATTTGGCCCGCGGTGTGTTGTATCCACTCGGCGTGGGCGAGCCCATGCGGCTGCGCACGCCCGCAGGAATAGCTGATGGCGAGGGCGACGCGATCGCGAAGCCCTCGGGGAGGTGCGAGGCCGGCAGCTGCGCGAGCGCGCGGTACGTCGCTTCGAGGATACGGTCGGCGGCGGTGATGTGCCCGATGGATTGGCTGAAGTCAGCGATCTGCGCTGAGTGCTTGGGGGCCTCACACATTGCACGGCCCCGCGGTGCCGCGCACTTCGCGGCCGTCGTCGGAGCGCACGACGACCATGACCTTGCTTCCGCCGCCGTCGGCGCAGAGGATGAGCTGCGGGCGCGTCGGCGTCGGCGAGCCGGGGATGGGAGGGGTAGCTGCGCGAGACATGGGTGGGGGGCGAGGAGGGGGGTTGCGGAGGTTGGTGCGGAGGTGGGTGCGGAGGGGATGGCGGTCACTGGTGAGTTATGCGATGAGGCAAGTTATAACGGCCGGGTTTGAGCTGCAAGTCGTCTGGGGATGGGTATCGGTATCGGTGAGGCTGGCTGCTTTGTGGCTCGGATGGGAGACATTGGAGGGTGGCCAAGTTGAGATCGGCGTGGTCGCCGACGGCGATCGCCCCGATTGTGCCTGACCATGCCACGTGACGTGCTCGGCGCTGGCCTCCCCCACATATCGCGCACAGTGACGGAAAGTTGAGACATGCATGCATGGATCCTGTGTGTAGAGCGGACTGGATCAGTGGGAGTGCATGCTGCATTGCAGCCGCGGCTGGGTGAGGGCTGCGAGTTGCAAGACAGAAAGTCAGGTGCTGGTGAGGCGGGCCGTGCGCCGAACCTTCCATAGTTCTGTGAGGTGCATATCGCAGCTTCCGCCGTGCCCACTGACCACCTCAGTCGCCCGGCCACCCCGTCACCGCTGCAAGCCTCCTGTTCAGTCTGGGTATGGCAGTTTCCGCCGGAGCCAGTGAACGGACGTTGCAGCGATTTGCCACATAGTTGGCCGACATGGCCGGAGGCACGCACCCAACTCCATTCCACAGATCTCGGCGGCAGCGGACTTGGCATCGCGCCTCATCCTCGGATTTTCGCCATGGCAGTCTCAGATCTCGGGAGTTCCCCGATCGATCCCCCATCCGTCCTCAGCTACAGACTAAAGACAGCCCGTACGCATTGACCAGTGACTGCCGAAGGTAGAACGGTAAAGCTTGATTGGAGGCCCACGGGGTCCGGGCAGCGCGCCGCATATTCCGCCGAGATCGTGCCGAGTAGACGCACAATCGGCGCCGTCCCCCCGCTCCATTACAGGTTCATACAATGTTATGATATGGCTAGGGCTACGACCACGTCTCCTTGACTTTGACGCCAATGCGCTCGAGCTCGTCGAGCACGCCGGCCCAGACGTCCTTCGTGTATGGGCCGGTCACGCCGCGGACCTGCACCTGTCCGTCGGCAACGCGCAGCGCCGCGAACGCGAGGGTGCACCCCACCGTCGTGGCCATGGCGGATGCGCGCTCGTCGCCCGTGCACAGCAGAGACGCGGTCACGGTCTGCTCGCCTACGCCCCCGCTGTCTGCCGGCACGATCTTGAACGCGTGGTGCAGGAGTACAGCGTCGCGCTCGTCGGATGCATACGCGAGCTTCTTGGAAAGAAGGGACGCGAAGGTGTCGATCGGCGCCTGCGGCTGCTTCGGGAGGGCAGGGGGCGCGGGTGCGCCCAAAGATGAGCCTGGCAAGAGCGAAAAGTACTGCAGCGCCTCGACCAGCTCAGCGTCTGCCCCCGTTGCCTGCTCTACCTCGGCGAGGAGGTTCTCCTCCTTCACCTCGCGCCCGAGTGCCTGGCTCATCGACGCAGCCAGGAATCCGGGCCAGCTCCCCGCTGCCTCCACCTTCTCCTGGCCCAACAGCCCCAGAGTGCGGAACCCGTCCATGAGGTGCGCAAAGCCCTGGTACCGCAGAGTGCCACGGAAACAGTCACGCAGGTCCTGGATGGAGCCGAGCCCATACTTCTCTGCGTATGGCAACGAGTCGCGGTTCGCCAGACCCTCCAGTGCCAATCCGCGCCACAGCTTGACGTTCGGGAAGTGCTCGCGCAACAGGTCCTGGCCGGCGACCTTGCGCATCTCCCCGTTGAGCTTGAACTCGGCGTTGTTTAGCGCGGCCGTGAGCACCGCCTTTGGCGACCATGAGAATTTGTACGCCAGAGGAACGTTAGATGCGGATGCCTCTGGGAGGCCACCGCACCACGAGACGAAAGACACGACCTTCTTGCCCTCCTTGTGAACGCGCTCCATAATACGCATGGCAGCCATGCTGTCGATTCCAGGGTCGAGGCCGCACTCGCCGAGGAGAAGGACATCCTTCGCCTTCGCTTCAGCGTCGAGCTCCTTCATCTCTGGGCTGACATAGGACGCCGTGACGAGGTGTCGTCCATGGGTGATGCAGTGGCGCGCGACCTGAACGTGCATTGGCGCGGGGAGCAGACTGTAGTTAGTAGCTGAACTTGCACGCGACCACCGTGGTCGACCTACCTGACAATAACATCGGCGCCTGCGACGGTTTCGCCGAGCGCGGCGTCGTCCGACACGTCAAGCGAACGTGTCGACACATTTCGCCGGTTGCGTGCGAGCGCCTCGGCTTCGGCAAGGTTGTTGCTCGCTGCTGTCAGCTAAAGTACTCATTGGAGACGTCCAAAACTCACCGATGACAAGCTGCACATCTGGACGCTTGAGGAACGCCTCTACAGCTGGACCGGCAACAAGGCCTGATCCAAGGAGGAGCACTCTCTTCTTCTGTGGCAAAAGGCCAACCGATTGCGTTGCGCGCCACTTGTCAACATTCTCCTGCAGCCACTCGTGCTTCTCCAGAAGCTCCGAGTTGGCGACAATGCGCGCCCTGTTGAGTGTCTGGTCGATCTCGTCGTTGACCACGGGCTTTCCGTTTGCACGATCGACCGCGCGCTCAACATACGGCAACAGCTTGCCAGAGAAGTAGGTGGACGAGTCGGCGGCTGGGATCAGGACTGTCATCATTGAGAGATTACTCACGCAGCTCGGTGGGGAGAACGTCCGTGGAGCCGATCAGAATGCCGCCTGGGCCCTCAAACACGGGCTCGTCAATCGTCGTGTAATGGTTCATAAACTCGAGGGCACCCTCTACGTCGCAGGTGACATCCTGCAATGCGATCATCTTGTGCTTGCCCTTTCCTTCCGCAAGGTAGCGCTCCATGTCGGCATTCGTCATGATGCGTGGGAAGCCCTCCTGCCACCCAGCGCCGTGGATGAGCGTCGTGATGTAAGGGGCGATCTGCCATTAGTTCCGCGAAGCCTGAATTGCAACTGCTTTGAGACTCACTCGCTCAGTGAAGGTGCTCTCGTACAGGTCGGGGTTGGCATAGTACTCGATACGGTCGTAGCCGCCGTCCGTCTTGCGCTGAAGGTACGAGTAGGGAGGGAGAGCGCAGGCGTAGATCTGTCGTGAGCTCGAGCAGAAAAGGATGGGCAAACCTTGGGGCCAGGCTTGAGGTTGGGAAGCTGCGTCCAGTCGACCCATTGGACGCCAGCCTCGTCGAGCATGTCGCGAGAGCCAGTGGAGACGTTGCCTGCGCTTCCAGTCAGTTCCAGGGCTGGGAGATCGGCTCACCCAGTGAGAGCAATGACCACTGGACCCTCGGCATCATGTGAGAGGGAAGGGTCGCTGGCTTTGCGGAGAGCCGTAAGCTCAGCGGCATCACCAGCACGCTTTAGCGCCGCTTTGAACTCGTCGAGCGAAGTGTAGGTGTATGGCCTAGCAAGGTGCTGCTTGTTAGCCTTCTAGAAAGTCAGATTCATCTCACAAGAAGCGGGTGCGACACTCCGCGTCGAAGCAGAGCCTGCCCTGTAAGAGAGAGAGCTTCGCCAGCACCAACAGCTGCTTGTCAGCCTACTCGCTTCCCGACGACTCACCGCCTGCGAACCAGCCAAATGCGGCGACGCGACGGAGCTTGCCGTCCTTGCCGGGGGATGTCAGAAGCTCGTGGTCAATGAGAGTCTGCCCCTTGCTTGGAGGCAAAAAGGCGGACAAGAGGGGGGTGTTGTATGGCTGTCCCTTGTGAGTGTGGCTGAACATCATCCAAGTGCGCTTGACTGAGGGGTCAGAGTCAATGAGGGCGTGCACATCCTCGACGCGGGGCTCCTTGATGCCCAGCACGAGATTGACGTCCTTGGACAGCTTGGGGACGATCTTGGCGCCAGCCTGGGCAGTCAGTGACTACCTCGAATGGAGACGTACGGCGGCATAGGCAGAGTCGGGGAAGCAGCGGCGAGAGCAAGACTCGACCTCGACAGCGGCCTTGTCAGTCAATGTGGCGACTGCCTCGGGAGTCAGAGGAGTGCGGCGCTCCCAGACGCGGCGAGGGTCCTCGCGGCGGATGCCGAGGGTGGCGAGAGAGCGGGTCATGAGAGACGCGCTGGTGCGGAGGGGGCGGAGGGGACGGAGGGTAGGTGGACGGATCATGATGGGCAGAGGGGGAACACCATGGGCTCTTGTAGGCTAGAAGCGGAGGGGGAGCGCGGATGATGAGGTGGGAAGAGTAGTGAGTATGATGAAGAAGAGATACGCGCTGTTGTGGAGAGGAGAGAGCGAGAGAGAGAGAGAGAGAGAGAGAGAGAGATGGTGAACGAAAGAACGCTGGATGATCACATGCTCATCGAGGGCTACGCGGCGCGCGGCGCGTGCATCGGACAACGGGGAGCAAGGGAGGAAGGGTGGCAATGAGATGGAGAGGGAGGGGAGGGGAGGGAGTGACGTCGCGCGTCTCTTGCTAGCCGCGCTTATCCGCCCTCTGGCTTCGGCATGTGCCGACCGATTAGTAATCAGTTGTAATCAAGCAATACTTTTACTAATACTTGTTTGGCTCCAATTAGAATAGATAATGAACATTAATCGCGGGGCCCTATTGCTTGCCGCTCGGCCATCCCCGCTCATTTCCGCCCATCCCGCTCTGCTTGGATCACTCAGACGGTCCAGTCATCCGCTCAACCTTCCTCTCTCCATCTCTCCATCTCCATCTCTCCATCCATAAACAATGGTCGCCCTCGACAACCTCCAACAGCTCCTCTATGCTCCGGATGGCACACGCTACCTCGTCCTCTCCCGCGCGTCTACTCTATGGCAAGTCAGCATGTGGACTCCCGCGGGCCCCGGGCATCCAATTCCGCGGGTTTGGAATGGCATCGGTGAAGCCGTGAGTCAACCCCCTCCCATCCCATGATCGATGAGGGTGTGAGGCATGTGGCTTTGCGGGTGTGGCACAGATACAGATCACCAGATGGCAGCATGGTAGATGGCCAGATACGCCGGATCTGCCAGATAGCAGCGCGCTTAGATGTCGAGCGCATGGAGCTCGGGGTTCGTGGGTGTGTGGCATGCGGACGATGTGGAAGAGGCGCGCGGATGATATGCTTCCGAGAGCGGAAAGATTAGATGCTGATACCAGGGTACTGGGGAACGAGCCCGCGAGATTGCGGATGGTGTTTTGGCTGGCATGCTGAGTGTGCAGACCCGGGACAACGGGGGGTTGAAGGTGGGTGCGGAGTGGTGTAAGAACGAGGAGAGGATTTGGGCGCCCTTGTCCCGAGAAACTCCAGCAAACTCCTTTCTGCTCTGAGGTCGGTGACTAACTCCAGCTTCTTGTCCATCTGTCCAAAGGTGCTGTCGGCGTGTACCTTGACGCCGCGCAGCTCAGCGACAGCTGCGTGGGCGATCTACTCGCTGCAGCTTTTAATGTGGGTGTAACCTCTACGGGTTCAAGCGCAACCATGCTGATATCTACAGATGAAGGAAGCCAGACCTGCGACGGCCGATGCGAGTGAGTCAATCCCGTCTTCCACTCGTTACGGCCGTGCCGATCTTGCCAGGTCGTATTCGAGATTTGAGAGCGTTGTCGCCTCCTCAATTTATCGCCCGCCACTTCCTACTAACACTCACTCACACCAGACTCTACACGCGCACATGAGGCACAGATTGAGGCGCTGCAAGTACGTCCTTCACCCGCCAACCTAACTCCAGGCCGAGATTTCCTCGCTCCAGAACCGCAATGCCAACCTCAAAGCGCAGATCCAGCGGCAGAACGGCAGCTCTGGGCGTAAGGACGGTGAGTGGGGTGCAGGCGGGCCACTGATATCAGCCCAGCCCATCGTAAAGCCCACCGCGCCGCCCAAGAACGCGAGTGTTCTGCAACCTACACAGCGGCGGTAAGCTGTGCGCAAGAAGTGTAAGCTGATGACAGACGCAAGGTTGTGGAAGACGAGTTCATGGGCTCCAGTGGAGACGAGGACGACGAGGATGACGATGATGAGGCATACGACGATGACGACTGACGACGACGACTGAAGACTGACATGTGCCCTTCTTCGCGCTTTTTGTAGATGCAATACAATATAATGTACATGACTGTGTGAACTGCTCGCGAGGTACACGCCAAGCTTCCCGCCTACGCTCCAACACCCTTGACCCCCCACTTCCGCCGCACCTCGCGCCCATCCGCACGCCGGTAATCCACCAACCCCAGTTCGGGGGGAATATCTCCACGCTCCGTCGCCGTAAGTTTGATGAAGTCTAGCACGCCAGTGGTGACCTTACCAGCCGGCGCGCCAGGCGGAGGCACCGGATCAGGCTTGTACGTCCACGGCTCCGGCAAGCCCGGTGCGCCGTCCCACGCATACTCCGGCGACGCACGCAAGCTAGGCTTGACATCCTCTCCTTCCGGGAGGGTGGCGAGTGTCTCACTCTGCACAGGTTCCGGCGACTCGGCGCGCGTCGGCATCGCAATAGCTGCTTTCAGTCCACGTCCGGGCAGCGCCAGCGCTCATGACTCACGGTGACGTTTCCGCTTCGCAGCCCGCTTCAACCCCTGCTGCGCCAGACACTCATATGCGTCCCGCGCATGCGGGACCGCGCGCCCCGCGTGCGCGGCGTATGCGCCCGCCTCCGCAAACACGCGCTGGATGTCTGGCGTCAGTCGACGCCGGCGGTAAAGAAGAGAGGGGGGAGACTCACGGTGCTCCAGTAGCCGCTCCATCTCAGCCAGTGCACCAGCTTCTGCGCCGTCGAAGCCGCGCTTTTGGAGCGCTATGCCGACGAGCCGGGTGAGGTAGTGCCGCGTCGCGTCCGGTGGGAGGTGTGTATGGGGGATGTCTTTTGAGCGGGACATTTGGCGCGCGGGCGAGCGAGTGAGCGAGTGAACGAGTGAGCGGAAGTGGGAAGTGGGGCTGAAGTGCTGCCGAAAAGCGCTCTGTGCAGGCCGGATGGATAAAGACGAGTCCGAGTGGATGAGGACGAAGATGGGACGAGGATGATCGAGAATCAGGACGAGGACGAGGAGACTGGATCAATCAACAACGCAGTTAGGTGGCAACGCGGGACCAAATACACGTGCACACACCTACATGACGTCCGTTCATCCACGACATTCCACTTCCAATCTTCCACTCACCATGAGCCAGACGGAAGCCCAGCGCCGCGCCGCCGCGCGCAAAGCCAAGATCCTTGCCCGCGGAAACGCGGGCCTCGAGCGCCTCGCGCACACCGCGCGCGGGGACGAAGCCGCGAAGCTGTACGGCGCTAGCGCGCCCTCCGCATCCGTCCCCTCCGTCTCCACGCCCTCCGCTCCCTCCGCCCCCACCGCCTCTCAATCCCCCTCCTCCACCCCCGCCCCCTCGCAAGCTCCCGTGTCCGTCTCCGCCTCTTCTGCCCCCGCCTCATCGGTGCCTTCGGCTCCCGGCCCCACCGACAAGCCCGGCTGGGCGCGCCCCACCCCCGGCCGCACCCCGACACCCGGCACGCGCGCGGCGGCCGCCGACCCCGCGAACATGGACCTGAACGCGCTCATGCAGATGATGGGCCAGGGGGACGGCGATCCGTTCGCGGGCCAAGACCCGTTCGCGGCGCTCATGGCGCAGATGGGCAACATGGAGGGCATGGGCGGCGGCATGCCGCCCATGGGTATGCCGGGCATGGGAATGCCTGGTATGGGGATGCCCGGCATGGGCATGGCGCCCCCCGCCGCGCCGCGCGCCCAGCGCCTCCTCCCCCTCATCCACGCCGCGGCCGTCGTCGCCTTCACCTTGTTCGTGGTCGTGTGGTGGGAGCCGACGATGCAGCTCGTGCGCGCAGGCGGAGAAGCGGGCTCGTGGGCTGCGCGGTGGCGGGGGTTGGGCGGGCGCGCGGGAGGATTCGCGGCCAAGACGTTCGGGCATCTCGTGAGTTGCTAGTGGACTGTGCTTACCCAGCCCGTTTTCTACGCTTTCGCCACGCTCGAGTGCATGCTCCTTGCGCTCCGTGTTGTCGTCGTCCGCCCGCAGGCGCGCCTGCACCCTCTCCTCGCCAACGCGCTCCCGATCCTCCCGCCGGCGGTGCAGCGCGCCGTCGTCCTCGGGTCCAAGTATCTCGGCGTCGTGGGGCAGACATACGCCGACGCGTGCCTCTTTGTCTTCGGGCTCGGGTGCGCAGTCGTGGTCGCGGAGTATCTCTAGCTATATGCATGTCCTACACTAACCCCACACCGTCGATGCCCTTGCTCGCCCACGCGACACAATAGTGCGAGAGCACGAGCCGCAGCTCTTCGATCTCGTCCAGAATCTCGAGCTTGCCGATACTGGCGTCAGCTTACCCACGGCAAACTCACCGCGCAAGCTCTGCGCGTGGCAAGCCGCCGCGCACGTCCCACAAGCTCTTAGCGCCGGCGTGCGTAAACGCGCCCGCGCCGAGGCGCGTGTCCGTAAACCGATCCGCTTGGGCTTGAGGCGACGCGAACACCGCGCCGGGCAACGAGAGATTCCGCTGCGCGAGGTTACGGTGCATGACGCGCCCGAACGCGTCGTCGAGCCCCACCATCTCATACACTGCTGCGGCGGCGTGCGCAAACGTCGTCCCGAACCACTGGATGACGCGCCGCGACTCCTCTTCCGACATGTAGCAGAACACGCATTCGGCGAGGAGGAGCGTGGGCCGCGAGGCGTCGAGCAGCGGCGTGAGGGCGTCGAGCGCCCCGGGCGCCCGCAGGTCCAACGGGACCAGCGCATACTGTGCGGCAGTAAGGGCCGCGCCGCCGTGCGAGACCGTGTAGGGCGAGGAGGGAGATGGGGAAGACGTGGAGCCGAGCGCAGCGCTGAGCTGCCGGTTCCGCGCGATGCGCTGCGCCTTCAGCGCCGTGAGGTGCGGAAAGTCGACTTCGACGTATCGCGCGATGCTCGCGTCCCGGCTCTGTCATTAGTCGGTACGCGGTAGCACGTACGTGTAATCGCCAGAAACGCGTGTCGCTGCCAGCGCCCAGCGAGATGATCTGCGCTTCGCCGCCCGCCGACGCCAGGAAGCTGTCGACGACGGCGTCGAGCGCCGCGGTGCGGTGGTGCGTCCCCACGTTGATCAGCGGGGCTTTGCGCGCGCTCCCGCCCCCGAAGCTCGGGAGCTTGTACACCAGCGACGCGAAGGGGTCCGCGAGGTATCCGAGCTGCACGGCCGAGCTGCGTGAGCTTGGACGGAGGGCTGACTCACATCCGCGAGACGGCTGCGTCGTCGTCCGTCGAGCGGATGGCGTCGTCGGGATGTGTGGGCGCGCCTCGAGGTGCTCGGGAGGGGGGAGGGGGTGGGAGCATGGTGAGTGACCAGGACAGGGGATGGACGAGCGAGAGGACAGCATCAAGAGATCGATGATCGAGCTCGATCCTCAATCCTCAGCGGGGTCCCCGGCTTACCACGTGGCCGCTCGTCCGCCCAACTCGTGTATTCTGAGTGCGTAATCCGCATGCTGCGGTGACTCCCTCAGCCGTGTGTAGGCTTATCAGCTGTTTTACTGGAGATCCGGGCCGGCCCTCGGCGTCGGCGATGCATTGGCCCACAATTCCCACAACTAACCCGGGTCGTCGGAGACCAAGCGCCGCTGATGCTGCAGAGATGGAAGATGACGACGATGTATTGGTGCCTGACGATGACACTTGCCGCACCCCCTGACCCCATCTCTTCAATCTCCCCCTTTCTTCATCTCGTCTTGCAACTTCATCTCTTCTCTCATCTCACTTTTCATCACACACCATGACCGCCAAGAGACTTCAGAGCAAGCTCTTCGGCGCTGTCAAGGAGGCTGCGTCGCGTGAGTCATCTCCCAACCCGGTCCCGTCTGACATTCCAGTCCCCGGCCGCAAAAAGGACGACAAGGACGCGTCTTCCAGTCCGACGCCCAGAGATAGAGACGACGACAGCGGCTCCGGTTCTGGCGCAGCGACGCCCGTCCCCGCCCATCCCGAGACCAAGCTCGGCGACAAAAACATCCACAAGCTTCCCGAGGCCGTCGCTGCCGAAGAGACCAAGCTGGCCGAAAAGACTGGGGAGAGCGGAGGAGCGGCCCCGCTCCGTATTGACATACCTGGCCAGCGCGAGAAAGAAAAGTGAGAGCCTAACGAGAGACGGAGTTGACCCAGCCTGCCGAAAGTCAAGAAGACGGAGAGAGATGAGAAGAAGGACGAGCACACGCCAGTGGCTGCGGGGCCATCGCGTAAGCCTTCCTCCCAGCCTTCTCTACCAGACCATGAAGCTGACACCCAGCGCGCCCGGCCTCTGGCGAAGAGACTCCCCGCGACAAGAAGCCGCTGCGCGAGCGGCTCATCCAGCAGCTCGGCTCTAGGTACCGCTCAGTCGAGGACCACCGCCTCCATCAGGCCGACCTGTACGAGGTGCACTGGAAGCGCTGGGGACCGTATCTCTCCGAGCGGCAGTGGGGTACGGTGCGCGAGGACTACAGCGCAAACGGCGACGCGTGGAACTCGTTCCCCTTCGAGATGGCCAAGTCTCGCGCGTACCGCTGGGGCGAGGACGGCATTGGCGGTATCTCTGATAACCACCAGCGCCTGTGCTTTTCGCTCGCCCTGTGGAACGGAAAGGACCCTATCCTCAAGGAGCGTCTGTACGGTCTCACGGGCGAGCAGGGCAACCACGGCGAGGACGTCAAGGAGCTCTACTATTACCTCGACTCGACGCCGACCCACTCGTACATGAAGTTCCTCTACAAGTACCCCCAGGCCGAGTACCCGTATCAGAAGCTATTGGACGAGAACAGTAATCGCTCCCGTGAGGTGCCCGAGTACGAGCTCAAGGATACTGGCATCCTCGATGAGGACCGCTACTGGGACGTGTTCGTCGAGTACGCCAAGGACGAGGAGGACCCCAACTCGATCTCCATCCGCATCACCGCGTACAACCGCGGACCAGACGCCGCGGACCTCCACCTTCTCCCACAGCTCTTCTTCCGCAACACCTGGAGCTGGCCCAAGGAGCTTCCCAACGACATGCCGCAGATGAAGCAGGTCGCTGCTGGTGTTATCGAGGCTACCCATGAGACACTTGGCGTCACCCGCCTCTACTGCACGCCTTCTCCCAGCCCAGCGCAGCCGACCAAGGGTGGTGTCGTTCTCGTTGACGGCCCGTCCGTTATTCCTGACCTCCTGTTTACTGAGAATGACACCAACTTTGAGCGTCTGTACGGGGGCAAGAACCGCACGCCGTACAACAAGGATGCCTTCCACGACTACGTCATCCCCGGCCACCGTCCGAAAGTCGAGCAGCACCAGGCTACGGAGAATGGGGCGGTCAACGGCCTCACGGAGAAGGTGGACGGGCTCGACATCAATGCCGCAACAACACCTTCTTGCTATCCCGCCGAAAAGTTTGTCAACCCCGAGAAGGAGGGCACCAAGGCTGCCGCCCATTACGCCTTCAACAACGTCCCAGGCCATGGCGGATGCGTGGTTGTGCGTCTCAAGATGACCCCCAACTCGCCGTCCGAGGACCCTACGATTCTCGACGAGGAGGCGTTTGACGACAACATCGAGGACCGTCGTGTAGAGGCGGATGAGTTCTACTCGAGGCTCGGCCGCGGCCCGCTTCCCGACGACCTGCGCTCGATCATGCGCCAGGCCCTGGCCGGTATGATGTGGACCAAGCAGTACTACCAGTTCATCCAAAAGGAGTGGATTGATGGCGACCCGGGACAGCCCAAGCCACCGCCCGAACGCAAGTACGTGCGCAATCGTGAATGGCGCCACCTGTACATCAACGACATTCTCAGCATGCCCGATAAGTGGGAGTACCCTTGGTTCGCAACGTGGGACACGGCGTTCCACTGCATCCCGCTCGCCATGGTTGACCCATCTTTCGCCAAGAAGCAGCTTGATCTTCTCACGCGTGAGTGGTACATGAAGCCCGACGGCGCGTTGCCTGCGTACGAGTGGAACTTCTCAGACGTCAACCCGCCCGTTCACGCGTGGGCGACGCTGCGTGTCTTCAAGATAGAGCGACAGGTGCGCGGCGTCGGGGACCTGGACTTCCTTGAGCGCGTGTTCCAGAAGCTGCTCCTCAACTTCACGTGGTGGGTGAACCGCAAGGACTCGGAGGGCAACAACGTCTTCGAGGGCGGCTTCCTCGGCCTTGACAACATTGGACCCTTCAACCGTTCCGAGCCCCTCCCGACTGGCGGCACCCTGCGTCAGGCCGACGCGTCTGCGTGGATGGGGCAGTACTGCGTACGTACTAGTGTCACAGCTAGACTGACATCCAGGTCCAGATGCTCATGATCGCACTTGAGCTCGCACTGCACAACCCTACGTACGAGGACATTGCGTCCAAGGTGAGCCGACTGATCCGAAGCCTAATTTAACACACAGTTCTTTGAGCACTTCCTCTTCATTGCGGATGCCATGACGTACCGCAGCGAGGACCAGGAGATGTCACTGTGGAATGACAACGACGGGTTCTACTACGACGCTATTCAATGGAGCAACGGGCACTCGCAGCAGATCCCTGTGCGCTCGCTCGTTGGTCTCATGCCTCTTTACGCGACGGCTATTCTTGAGCCGCATGTGCTGAAGAAGTTCCCGAGCTTCCGCAAGGTAAGCTAGTCAACGTGCGATGATTGAGCTGACATTAGCGCCTCGACTGGTTCGTCGAGAACCGCCCGGACATTACACAGCGCAACCTTGCGTCAATGAAAGCGCGTGGTCGTGGTGACCGTCTGCTTCTGGCGTTTGCTAACAAGGATCGCCTCGTGCGCATTCTAGAGAAGATGTTGGACGAGGACGAGTTCCTTAGCGATTACGGCGTTCGCTCGCTCTCGTTGTACCATCAGAACCACCCCTTCTCGATGCACGTCGACGGGCACGAGTACGGCGTGGGATACTGGCCGGGCGACTCCAAGTCGGGCATGTTCGGCGGCAACTCGAACTGGCGCGGCCCAATCTGGCTGGCACCAAACCTCCTCCTCATCGAGTCCCTCCAGCGCTTCCACCAGTACTACGGCGACGACCTGCAGGTCGAGTGCCCCACTGGAAGTGGGTACTACATGAACCTGGCCGGTGTGGCGGAGGAAATCCAGCACCGCATCATCCACATCTTCAACCGCGACCAGGACGGGCGTCGTGCCGTCAACGCCGGCGACAACAAGCTCGACCGCGACCCCTACTTCCGCGACTACGTGCACTTCTTCGAGTTCTTCCACGGCGACGACGGCCGCGGTCTCGGTGCCTCCCACCAGACAGGCTGGACGGGTCTGATCGCATGGCTCATCCACCGGTCAGGCGAGTACTGCCGCCTGCCTAAGACGCCGAAGACGCCACGCGCTATCGCCAACCACTACTTCGGAGACTCGATGCCGACGCCGTACACGGCTGCCAGCACGCCGGGCATTCCCTACACGCCGAGCGAGGGGAGCGGGCCGCGCTCCGCGTTCCCCGGCACACCGTACACGGACGCGTCGGGCTTGGATGAGCCGGAGCCGGATGAGCTCTAAGTGGCGGTCTGGGCGATTGTAGATGGGAGGGCGAGGCAACCTGTGAAAGAACATTTGAGGCGACGTGGTTGATAACTTGATAGATGGCATGTAAACATTCAGATTGTGCTTGCTGGAGCTGGGAGAGACAAACGATTGAGATGTATGCTAACCTAATCGCGTGGTGCGTGGTATTTGGTTCATGAAGTAAAGTGGCGCATGTCGGCAGGGATGTTGGATTCACATTCCGCGGTATTTTGATGCCTGCTCTGGCTATCTTCATCTTCTTTCTCGCCACTCCCCCATCCCCCATCTCCCCTTGCCACTCCATCTTCATCTCCTCCATCCTCTCTCTCCTCGATCACTTCCATCTCCCTCATCTCCTCGCCGCTCCGTCACCTCAACCATGGCCCGCCCATGACCCCAGGTCTCTCGCGCACGCAATTCACCGCAATGTGGTGCTCACCCATCAACGCGCGCGCCACGCGCGCCTGGGCATACTGGATCCTCATGGTCACTGCCACCGCCGCCGCGTTCGTCAACGTCGCTTTCCTTCCGCTGTACGGCACTGACCAGGGTCCCGACGGCATCGGCTCGCGTATCGGGCGTGAGTGGTTCTCAGTTCCGTGGATGCTTAGTATCCCCTCTCCCCACCCCATTCCTCTCTTCCTCCTCGGCCCTCCCTTCGCGCCTACGCTCCGCCTTGACCTCACATCTACCCGCCGCGCCTCACTGCCCGCATCCGCTGGCCAGACACGGCCCATGCGCGGCCGTGAGAATGTGGCCATGTGAGCCATCGGCAGGAGATCCGTGCACGGACGCGCAGCCCTCTTGACTACCCGGCTTGCCCGATCATGCGCCGAGCTGACATGCAGCCATCATCGCGCAGCTCCCGTGGAACCTCGTGATCATCGGCTACACCATCGCCTTGTGAGTTCGTCTTGTCAACGAGTGGTGTGTGCGTGCAATGGGGGAGAAGGGGGGCCAAGACAATACCTGCGAGCTCGACTGTGCACGACTTCTGCACGCGCCCCAGTGTTATCTGCTGCGCCGTACTTCTCCCCTGCCTCCGATGCGCCTCCCTCCTGTTCTGCGCCGTACGCACGCCCCACTTCAGTCCCAGTCTCACTTGCAGCTCAGCACTGATTCCAGCCTCGTTGTCCGTGGCAAATGGGCTCACGGACGGACATTCACCTCCCTTGGCGCCGACTATCTCATCCTATCGGCGCTCTCCGCTTATGGTCTCGGGACCAACATCGCGAAGTCGGCGCTTTCACACTACGAGTTCTTCTCCAAGCCGCTTGAAGGAGATACAGTGACGCGCTTGGCCTGGAACATGGGAGCCGCCTCCTTTGTACTGAATTGGGCCGCCGCGGTTATCTTGATCTTCACTCTCGCTTTCGAATTCCTTTGGACTACTCGCGCGAGGCGTGTTGGTTTCGCCGCTCCTCTGAGAAGACCATTCGCTTACGAACCTCCCGTCCGGGCACAAAACTTTACAGTCGACGAGCACGAGGAGAAGGTGGAAGAGGTCGCGCTCGTCACGCCGCTTGACAAGGCCGAAGGCTCAACATCGCGGCTACAGTCCAGAAACTCTCCGACAAGCCCCTCCACTGCTCCCACCCACTCCCAACTTGAACCTGACCCAAGCTCATCGACAAGAGCGTCTGCCACTGCCCAGCCCGAAGAGCATCACGAGGATCTGCCGGGTTACTTTGAGGGCAACTCGACCGCTGCCGCCTACTATGCCGCAGCGGCCGCGTATATCGCAGCGGCGGAGATGGCCGCCAGCGGCAGAACCAATACGTTCACCGCAAGCGCTTCGGACATCACGGGGCAGCACAGCGAGCAGTCCCTCGCAGTGACAGAGAGAGATAGAGACGCGCCGATCGACGTCTCGAGCATTGGGCACAGCCATAAACGCCCATCTACGGCCTCCGGCTATCCACCCGCCGACCCTCCCTCCCCGACTAGGCTGGAGCGCGACCCCGCCCGCGCAGTCCGCCGCCTCTCGTCTCCTCTCGAAACACTCAAGCGCGACACGCTCGCGCTCCTCCGCTCTCAGTCCACCGAGACACGACCCCTCCCCACGCCTCCTAAAGCGCCCCCGTCCAACACGCCGAGCGCCACCTCGCACCCAGATCAACCCCTGCCACCCCCAACCCTCTCCACCCTCTCCACCACTCTCTCCACCTTCCCGTCGCTTCCGACTACCCCGAGAACATCCCTCTTCAACCCACCCCATCCCCTTCCGCCCCTCCCGCCTGCTGCGGCCCAGGCCGCCGCTGCCGCACGTGCGAGAGCCGAACCCAGCAATAGCGATGAGCTTCGCGCGTGGAAGCAAGCTGTGCTCGATGCCCTGGAGCGTGAGGGCAGCGACGTGCCGCAGTGGAAGCGCGATATGCTTGACGCGCTCGAGCGCGATCCGCCACGGCCAGAAGTCCCGCATGTCACACAAGTGGAGCGGCGGCCGGAAGCAAGAGGGCCGCTAACGGATGAGAGAGACACGGTAGAGATGGGGAACGTTAGAGAGAACTCCACGGCGTAGACGCACTCACGGCATGTCGATCTAGTCACCAGGTGTACTATACAGATGCATACAACAATTGTACAGCCTATAACTCCATACAGGCTACATACGCAGGCCCGCCCCCATCCTCTCCCTCACGGCCTCGTCCACAGCGGCCCGCAGCCTCTCCCACACGTCACTCCACTCCTCCTCTACCATGACAAGCCGCATGGAGCGGAGCAGGGCGGTAACGTGCTCGAAGCCAGTGAGGCCATTGAGGCACTTGAGAAGATATCCCTTGACACGCTCGACATCCCTATGCGCTGGCGGTCCGCTAGCCACCCACGCCGCAAGCACGCCCGCGACACCAGCCGTGCTCCGCTCGCCAAACAGCGCCGGCTTGGACGCCAGCTGCGCGACGGGCGCTGCGCGTCCGCCACCACCGCCGCCGCCTCCACCTCCGCCATTGCGCCGCTTAGCCCGGACAGGCCGCCGCGCGCGCTCCTGCGCAACCACCTCGGCCTGCACGTCCTCCGGCAGCGCGGCGAACACGTCGGGATCAATGCCGAGGGCGCGCAGCTCTGACGTTTCGTCGTCCTCGTCGTCAACCATAATGACTGCTGCCGAGGACTCTCGCGACTCCCGCGCCTGTTGTGCCACTCGCGGCTCTCGCGCAGCCCCGGCTCGCCCCCAGGCCGAGTATAGCGGAAGCTCGGCGATCTCGCCCGCGCGCAGCTGCGTCTTAATCTTGGGCCGCAGCTGCTTCGTGATGTGCGCAGCGGCGTTGAGTTTGCGCGGCTCGTCGGGCCCGGCGGGCTCCCGGCGTCGCTTGGCAGCACGTAACTGCGCGCGCGCGTCGGCGTGCAGCTCCGGCGGGATAGCGGCGAGGAGGTCAGGGTCGAGCTCGGAGGAGAGGTGGCCTTTCGCAGCAGGCGAAGGCGAGGGCGGCGCCGTGCCCGTCGGCGAGGGCGTGTTGGACACGAGGGCGCCGGGCGAGCGCTGCTCCTGCTCCTCACTCTCTTCATGCACAGGAGAAGGCTGGCGCTCCGCCGCAGGCCGCGTCAGCATCGCCGCGAGCGGCCGCTGCCCCTCCTCGACTTTCGGCGTGCGCTTGAAGGGTATCGTTGGCTGTCCCGTTCCAGCCATCTCGCTGCCAAACTCGAGCTTGGTCACTTGAATCCCGATGCCGCGGAGCTCGACGGGGTCGAGCCGCATCCCATGCAGAAGCTTGAGGCACTCTGTCCCGATCAAGTCCCCATCGTCTGTGTGTCGCGGCAGCGGGGCGGTCTTGTTGAATGTCTCGCAGCGCCCGTGACCCATGAACTTCGGTGGCTCGACCGGTGCTTCTGGATCGCGCGCCATAATCTTGAGCGTCACCTGCCTGCCCTTCGCCCCAATAGCTTTCAGACGCTTGGACACCTCCAGTGCGAGGTTACGCATGTACGCGTCAGCTTCGGACTGGTCCGCGAAGCGGATGGCATAATTGATCTCGGCACTGACGCTCTTGCGGGCCTTCTCCGGCTCGAGCCGCCGGTCGTCATTACCGCGCATGAAGTTGTACAGCGTATCCCCCGTCTTGGGGCCCAGCACACGCCGCAAGCTCTCCCGTGACAGCGGCAGGAGCGCGCTCACGGTCGTGCCCCCGAATGCGTCGGCTAGCTTGCGCTTTGCGCTGTACCCGAAGCTTGGGAAGTTGTCCACGTCGAGCTCGGACAGGAAGGCCTGTACGTCGGGTGGTGTAAGGTGGAAAATACCTGTGCCGGGTGGCTTGGCGCGGCGAGTCGCCAGCCGTGCAAGCAGGATGTTGTGTGCAATCCCCACGCTGACGTTGCACCCCGTCTTCTCGAGGATGTCGGCGCGCACGCGCGCAGCCACTGTGACGGCGGGGTCGGGATCAGCGCCCGCTTCGTCTGGGGCGAGTGAGCAGGCCGTCACAGCGCCGGTGATGTCCAGTAACGCCTCGTCAATGGACACTGCTTCGAGCTCGTCGGCATACGCGAGCAGGACGGCGTAGAACGCGGTGCTATGAGACTTGTATGTCTCAAAGTCATAGGGAATGGTCTCGAGCTCATCGCCGCAGAGCTGCCGTGCGCGGCCGAGACTCATGCCATTGCGCACACCCATAGCTCGCGCTTCGTAAGACGCGCTGGCGATCTCCGAGGTCGAGTCTCGCCCGCCGCGTGACGAGTGGCACACGACGACCGGCGTGCCAACCAGATGAGGGCGGGTTGCGAGGCCAGCAGAGACGAAGAATGCGTCAAAGTCGACATGCATGATCACTCGCTCTGCGCTGGCCGGGGGCAGCACGCGCGGGACATGTTCCGCCAGACCGCGCGCCTCCGCAACGAGCAGCTTCAACGCCGCCTTCCAGGTCGATAAAAGGTGCAATCGCGAGTTCTGGTAGAAGGAGTCGATGAAAGCCGTCCCTTGGACTGCAGTCTTCTGTTCGCGAAAACCGTCCGTCTGCATTAGCCGCGCAGCGTGCGGATTCGACTTGTGCACGGCATAGTTCTCCCACACACCCTCACGTCCTGGGCGATTGGGATCGGGGTCCGTTGTCTCGATTTCTACGACCTCCACGGGCTCCTCGGCTTCCACAACTGTTGACTCCTCGGCAAGAGGCAAGGGAGACGCTCGTTCTTCCCCGACACTCTGACCGTTTTCTTTCGTGTCGAGGTCAGGACCAGCCACCTCATCGCTTTTGCCCTCGAGCTCGGTCAAGTCTATGTCAGCGAGGTCGATCAATTCACCGAAGTCCGTCTGCGAGCTATTTGGACCTCGATCGAGCGTGGCAGACGTCGCACCAACACTGGACGTTGAGCTGTGCTGATGCAGCTGCTTCAGATTATTGACGAGACGAGGAACTTCGGCGACGGGAGCGGCGACTTTCGATGGCCGCTCGGAATCGGGTCCTGGACGCGATGAGGAGGGCTTACGCTGGGAAAGAAGCAGGCCGCGCTTTGCAACAGGAGCACGGAGCAATCCTGACGCAGCGGCTTTGGGCGGGGAGGCCTCAGGAGGACGCGAGGAGGAGGCGGTGACGGGGAGCGGAGAGTCAAGTTGCTCCCCCGCATAGTCGTCGGCAATGACCTTCTCCTCCGTGTCCTTCTTCATGAACCCCGCCAGCCCGCCTTCCTCCTGCGCCACCAGCCGCCACTTCCTCCAATCCACCACGCGCCCCTCCTCGACAGACTGGGTCACGAACCCCTCCCGTACGATCCGCTTCCCGCCGCCTTTGTTGAGGTCCTTGAACTTGGCAAGAGTGAGCACTGGCGCCACAACGTAGTCGATGCTCCCTTTCGTGCGGAGATAAGGCTGAACAACGCCACCGCGCTGCACGATCATGCGGCGGAGCACTTCCATGCCTGGAGTCGTGTTGCCGTTGATGTAGAAAGACGTGCCCTGGAAGATTTGGGGTATCCCCTCTTCAGCAGCGTGAAGTGCAAGCTGCCGATTTTGCCGCTGCACTTTGAAGTCCTTTTTGCGCATGTAGTCGCCAATGTCGCCGTATGCTGTGGGGCGGTACTCGTCATTAGCCAAGTAGGCGTGGGGGCCATCGATGGGTCCGGAGCGAATGCTCGACTGCAGAAAGGAGACGGAAACAGTTGTGTCGGGCGCCCGGGAGCGCGAAGGAGATGCAAAAGGAATTGGAGAGGTGCGCGCCGGGCGTATTGGAGATGACCCATCGCTGGTGTCGGGCGACAAGACGTAGCGGCGCCTGCTCGCCGTAGCGTAGGGATCTTCATTGGGTGGGGGGACCGACTCCGGCTCGCCATCCTCAAGGGCGACGGCCTCCTCCCAAAACGCCTGCGAGGTAGACGGGTCGGCGTCGCTCATCGTCGTTCATGGCATCGTTGTAGGTGTTGAGATTGTTGACAGTTGACTCACCCATCACCAACACCTTCCTGTGACGTCCGATCCCACCAAGTGGAGGCCAGGCACTACCACGTGGCAACCGCCACACTTGCACCGGGCGCAAAATCCCCGACCCGCCATTCGCTGTCCACCGTAGCTCACCGTTGCACCTCTCCGTCTCGCCGAAGTCACTCGCCGTCTCCGTCCCTGCGTCTCCGTCTACACCGGCACATCGCGATGCTCCGCCCCGCCCTCCAGACTGCGCGCAACGTGCGCCTCACGCGCTCGTTCCAGACCTCGGCAGCGCGCCGCGCCGCGCACGGCGACTCGAAGCACGACACGCACGAGTGTAGGTGTTGATCCCCGACATCGGGCGTCGACGGAAGGGGAGCAGGCGCCTCGAGAGCGCGCGCCGCTCGAGGGGATGTTGGAAGGCGTTCCCGCGTGCATGGGGGAGACAAGGGCGGCAAAGGCGTCGAGCGCCGACCGTGAAGGCCGTCCAGCGAGTGGGCGGAGGAAGGCGCCGGATCAGTGGATGGCGGCGGCGGCCCGGTTCGTCCCCATGAACCGACGGGCGCATCACAGTCGCTGTTTATGGCAGGCTTTGCGTTGCCCGGTTCGCGGCTGTCCGCCGCTGCCTGTCCCGATCTGCGCCGATGTGCCCGCCCAAACTTGCCCTGCGTGCAACCATCACCGCTCGACTACATTGAGCGCGCGCGCCTGGAGTCGAGCACCCGTCGCATCTTCCTGGGGAACGGGAGGCTGTGTCGGCGTAGGGGCATTTCCTCTGCAAGGCAACCTGAGGCCTGTTCGCTCCTCCTCCCCCACCTCCGCCTCATTTGATATACTACCGCTCGTTGCTGACGCCAGCCTTCTTCACCGGCCCATGGATCCAGGCGGGCATCATCTTCGCCTTCGGCGTGACGGCGTACAACTTCCTCCCCTCGCCCAAGGAAGTCGTCGCGTCCCCCACCACCTCGAACTCGGCGCTCGAGCAGGAGGCCAAGAACGACTCGGCACCGTGGCTCACCCGTTTCCTTGCTGGCCGCCTCGCCGGCGCCGCGGAGCAGAACGAGCAGTACAACGACAAGCACCTTGCCCTGACCATCGAGGCCGCTGACCAGCGCCTGCTGTTCAACGAGGCTGAGCGGCCCAAGGTCCGCCGGCTGAAGTACCCCAGGTGAGTGGAGTTGTTTGGGCGAGGTGGAGGAAGGAGATCAGGAGCGGGTGGGTTGGGACAGGCAGGAAGTTCACTGGGACACGCAGCTGCTTGATCCATGTGCCGTAGTCTTGCTCTCGCTCGTCCTGTGCAGCCCACCCGCCTGCCTCATCCATCTACCTCTTGAGCACACACACTGTAGCCTCAACTGACCCCAGCCTCTTCGAGCAGCAGTCGCCCTACCTCGTCGGCGCCGGGACCACGCCCGACCTGTCCAAGCTGGTGATCAAGAGCGACGAGCAGTAAATAGATACATGCAAATATAAGATAGCGGCGGTGGGGAGGACATGAACGGCGAGGAGGCGGGGACTAGGACCATCCGCAAGCCAGTCGCATGTGAGCAGTCGCGTGAAAGCACCCTTCAAGCCAGAGCCCCGAGGGCATGTCACAAATGGCCACCCATCGTAGTGTTCGATATAATCTCTGGCATAGTCAACAAACAACTGATACAACGGATGAGATGTCCCCTCTAAGCATACCCCAGGCGTGCTGGATGCGCGCGCAGGGAATAAAAGAGGTCCAGCCCCGCCTCTGGGGCGGGGAGGGTCTGTATATTGGCGACTTTTTGACCGCGCAGGCTGGTGAGCAGCAAGCGCGGCTTCGAAAGTGCCGATGTGAGGCCTAGTTCAGGAGACGCGGGTCTGGGAGGGCGGAGAGGGTGGGGGGGGGAGGAGTGGGTTGGAGGAGGGGGATGAGGAGCGGAAGGGAGAGAGGAAAGAAAGGGGTCAGTGTGGTGCTGTGCGGTCGTGAGAGTGGGCTGCTGCCTATTTAGCGAGGACATCCAAATCGGCATGAGAGATGATGAGAAAGAGAGAAAGGAAAGCGCGACGGTGCGAGATTCAAGGCAGCCGCGAAATTTGGTCTGGCCATACCCCACGGGGATAACACTGTCTGACGGAGTATACCTCGAAAATAATGAGTAGCAATGCATGTACCGGAGATAGTGAATAGCAATGCATGTATGCGGTACACTAGGCTACATAGACCGAATCCCTCACCCCCTTCCCATCTAGTTGACTATGCGCACGACTGCAACGCGCAGCCGATCCATGTTCCTCCGGCTGGCGAACACGCTCGCGCCCTGCTCGAAAGGCACAACCTCGTTGACGACCGGATGGAGTACGCCGAGCACCGGCTCCTCCAGCACGTCGCGGTAGTCTAAGCCACTAGCGTCGACGGGCGCGTCCCCGGCGCCCGCAGGCTGGACGTACGCTGTGCTGAGGTTTTTCTTTCGCGCGAGCCCCAGCTTGCTCTTCAGCGAGTGTTTTGGCGTCGGGCCGTCGCCCGAGCGCAGTGATAGCACGTGCCCTCGATCGCACAGGATGCGGCGGGCTGCGTCCGCCGCGCCAGCCGTATCGATCACGAGCGCAAAAAGGGACTCCGGGAGGCCGTGCATCACGCTCGTGGGTGAGCCGGCTAGCACGCCGCGCGCGCCATACGCCAACGCCGCGGCCTGCGCGCCCTCCCGCCCGCCAGGGACGATGGCCGTCACAACCAGGCCCATGCGCGTCAGCTCTTGGCAGAAGAGGGCGGGCAGACCCTCGTGCGCGTCCATCACTAGCGCTTGCTGTCCCCGGCTCACTCCCACGTCTCGGATGGCGCGGTGCACCGCAATGCCCTGCGCTGGGAGCGCGGCGAGTTCCTCCAGCTCCAGATGCGTGTCAGGGTTGACGCGGGCGACGCGGCGTCTGCCCACGACGATATACTCTGCCAAGGCGCCAGAGTGGCGGATGTCGAGCAGGCCGATGACGACGTCGCCTCGCGCAATCTCCTTCTCGTCCACGCCCGTGGTGATGCAGCGTCCCACGAATGAACGGCCTGGAATCCAGCGCCCGACGTCGTGCTTGTGCTTCTCGTCCAGCGCCGCTATGTCCAGCCAGTCCACGGCTACCGCGTACACCTGGATGAGTATCTGCGTGTTGGAGACGTGTTGCGGGGGTGCGACGGTTGAGAAGTCGACGGGAGGGGGAAGTGTCCATCGCAGATGCGCAGGCGTCGGGCTCTCGTGCTTCAGGTGATAGGTATGCAGCGCGGACGACAGCGTGATAGCCGCCATGGATGTAGGCGGCACACCCAGCAGCTGCAAGTCTGGCCCTTTGGCCTTCATCGGGTCACTGGGCTTGAAGCTTCCGCCTTTTGGAAGCACCATGTTGCTGCCGTCAGCGGGGGCGCGAGGCGACATAGACAAAGACCACTCACGTGTATCCGTTCTGCTGCGTCTGGTCGTAACCGTTACTCTCCATGAGCGGGTAGTTGTTGAGCGGCCTAACACTGGGCGAGTCCAGCGAAATCACGCCAGTGCCGTGAGAGGGCGCGACGACATCGCCGGGGTTGTAATCCCCCGTGCGCGACGGCGCACGGAAAGATTGTGAGCGCGATGGTGCACGAGCCTCACTTCGCGAGTCAACACTACCGCGCCGCGGGTCGAAGCTATGCCGCCGTTCAATGTCGTCGGCGAACCCGGGGCGCGCAAACTCCGAGGACGCGTACTCCCTCGGGCCATGCCCAATATCCGACGCGGCGCACGAGTAGCGCTTGACGTTGAACATGGATGCGGAGCGCTTGGGCGACATGTTTCCTCTGGCGCCCAGTTCGGACGCCGAGGAGCCGAACCTGTGGCTGTTCCTCCGCTGTGGGAGATACAGCTCGTTCGAGTCCTGAATGCTCATCTCCGGCAGCACCGTGAGAACGTTCGGGTTCAGGCTGGAGGCGAGGCCGAGGCGGGCGGCGTGGGCTCGCGCAGCAGCCTCGTATGGCGACGCGTCCGCGGGGAGTGGCGGAAGGGGCGAGTTGAGACGACCAGGGGGCGCTGACGCTGCCGAGTACATCGACGGCGCAGAATACTGGGACGACCGCGAGCTTGGCGGTCGAGACGGGGCTTTGCCGCGCTCGCTCCGGTCATAAAACGCGTCGGCTGGCCACCGCCCGTTCGTTTTCGCAGGGGACGTCTGCGAGTTGGAGTGCTCAGAGGCATAGTCGTAGTGCTCGGCGTGGTCCTTCCCGCCAACGTGAACGGTAGGCGGACCGCGGTCATCAGCACAGGCAGTGCGCTGCTGCTCCGTGCTGCCCGGGTGGTCAGGAGGTGGCGAGGCGTACGATCTCGACGGGATCTCGCCCTCGTCCGACTCGTAGTGCTCTGAGGCATGATACATTGTCCTGAGGCGCGACTTCGGTGGGCGCCCACTGACGCTCGAGGTCGGGGATGTCATATTACCGACCGCGCTGAGAGGAGGACTGATCACCTGCGAGCCTTGCGGTGCGCCAGCGACAGAACCCGACGCGCTCTGAGCAAGGGACGAGCTTGCCGCCGACGAGGATGACCTGCCGCCGAGATCAAATGACGAGTTTCGCGACCCCGGCAGCGGGGTGGCCCGCGACCGGGGCGGAAGTGGCTGAAACGCGGCCCATCCGTCCCCGTCAGTCGGCACAAACATCTTGATCGGCTCGGCAGCGGCTGCTGCCCATCCGCCTTGGCCGATTACGGCCCGGTTGAGAGGCCCAGGACCCGAAGCGAGAGATGGGCCCGATACCTCGGAACTGTTGCCCGACCCCGGTCGAGGGGCAGCTTGCTGCACGTCATGCCAGTCATTATGCCTCAAACTGGGTCGTCGAGACTCGGATGAGAGCGACGATCGCCCCAGTGACTCGGGCGGGCTTAGGAGCTGCGGCTCGTCGGGGGTGTAGGACAAGCCGCGCGGAGCACCGTACTCAGGCTGGGCCGGCGGAGCAACGATAGGCGACATCGGCCGCGAAGACGAGGCCGAAGCCGGCGCGCGGCGCGGCTTGGGCTGCAATGGCTGCGTTGCAGCCACGCGCGGTGGCTGCGGCGACTTCATCCGGGGCGTCGCAGCGCGCTTCTCCGGCTTGTCGGGAACGATGGTGCGCTGCGACGACACCGTGCCGCTCCGCTCTGAACGCGTCGACTTGGAGGACCGCACGCTCCGCTTTGAGCCGGACCGCTGTAGCGACGACGTGTAGTTGTCGACCATCGCTGCGGCTCTGGTCTTGGCAGGCTTCTCAGGCGTCACTACTCCAGGGGTGGTCGGGCGGTTGATCACCTGCACGTACGCGCCGCTCACACGGCCGCCTCGGTCTCGCTTGCTTTTAGGCGGGGTGGAAGGGGCGTCCACGCCAGAGCCAGAGGTCGAGCGCCGGACGAGCGAGGTCGTGCGCGATCTCGGCTTGCTCTTTTCGTGCGGCTCGTACCACTTAGGCGTGTCATCGGCCGGTGCTGCGGTTGTTCTGGCGGGTCTAGACGGCGCGGCGGCGGCGCTCGGGCGCGGTTGTGCCTCAGCCACTACGGGCCCATCGGGGGTGTAGTACGCAATCTCGTCCGGCGCGAAGCTGTCCAGATCCAGTTCGTCGTCCAGGAAGCTTGATGCCGATGTCGCAGGGCTGCGCGGCACCGGGGCTGATCCTTCCTGTTCGTACGCTTCGCGCTCTTGCGACATGTCGAACTCGCGCTCCAAGGGAGGCGAGTCAAGGTCGTGGAACGGGCTGTCCATCACACCATCTGTGACTGTTGCAGGCGTGGGAGGTTGGAGATGGAAGGTCGGCAGTTCCGTGAACTGAACTTGCGGCGTTTCCACCTCCTCTGTCCCATCCGAAGGTGTGACGCCCTGTGGCACGCCGTTCACGGGATCAGCAGACTGTCCGGGACTGAACCCTTCTGCAGTCTCGTATGACCCATCGTCGGACCCAATATGTCCCACTGAGCCGTCTAGAGCTTCCCGAGACGTTGGTGCACTCGATAATGGCGGAGAGACGGATTTTTCCGGAGCGGTGGGCGCCAAGACAGGAGCGGCCTCCACAAGTGCAACTGCAGGGGCGACAGCTGACGGTGCTGGTGATGGCATCGACCGAGGTGCCCCTTCTGGCCCCCCAACAAGGCGCTGAAGCGTAAGCTCGCGAGCTACCTTGGCCAGTGGGGCACGCTCGCCTGCCGTCTCGTCTTCCCAAGACCATGCCCCTGGCATCTCGAAGGGCTCTTCCGGATCTGCCGCCACATCGAACTTCTCGCCAACCGCCGAAAAGTTGAGCGTCGCTCCTGACCCGTTGCCATTGAAGTAGAACGAGTTTCTAGGTGTGTAGTACACAGACTTCTCGGAGGCCGCATCGTCGAGCACAAGCGAACTGCGCTTCGATGGCGCCTCGTCAAGTATTGGGACAGACACAGCCCCTACAGCGGCCGTTGGTGAGAGCGGGGAAGCGAGCACGGTATCGGCAGCCGAGCTGGTAGAGCTGGCGTCATTCTCGGGCGTAGACTTGGGACTGGACAGAGCCGCAGAAGATATCATGGGGGCCGTCAAGGGGTTACGCCGCCCGATCAGCTGCGAGCTCTCAGTCTGTTGAGGCGGCGCTTGAGAATGCGGGCGTGCTTCGGGTGGCGGGTGCTCCTGTGGCCGGACTGGCCTCGACAATCGAGGCGCCTCCTCGACATGACGAGCATCGTGGACGGGGCGCCTGTCAGCATTGCTGCCTGTGGAATGTTCCATTGACATGTGGAATGTCTGTGTGTGCGCTGGCACGAGTGGCGCCGGGTGCGCGTCGTGTGGTGCAGCGCTGAATCGTGCTGCCACGGGCGAAGTGGGACTGTCGATGGAGTCTCGCCTAGCGCCGGGCGTGCCTCGTTTAGGACTACGCGGCGGAACGGGAGGCACATCGTCACCTTTAGGCTGGGTTTTGGGCCTGGCCCTGGGAGTGTTAGGCTGCGTTGTTGGCGCCGTCGTCGATCGGTCGTCGGAAGACGAAGATTCTATAGAATAGCGCCTGTGGCCAGATTGACGAGAGTACTCGGATTCTTCGTCAGAAAAGGCTGCAGGCGCTTCGGAGTACTGAACGACATCGGCAAATGACACCACTCGGGGCGACGTTGGTCCGCTGCGCGCTTCGCGCTCGAGGGCGTGGGAGGCTGGTGACAGTAAGGGAGAGGGCGGAACTCGTGAGAGTGTTGAAGGGGGTGCAATTGCCAGAGTGAGTGGGGGAATGGGTCGTCGGTCAGAGGGCCGTGCATGGACGGGGGGAGATTGAGATGCGGGCAGGGGCAGCGGCCGCGACGCGCTCGTACTGCGATGCCGCTGGGGAGCGAGCTGCGGACTCCGTGGCTGTGGCGGCGAGGTTGTGCCGCTATGCAGGCGTTGGCGCGCATCCTTCGGCCTCGAGCTCGATGCTGGTGGGAGCGAGGTCGCGGCGGACTGAGGGAACTGCTGCTTGGGACGCGATGGCCCTGATTCTAGTCGGCGCGAGCGGCTGTCCCGCCGCTGAGACATGTGACCGTGCTCGCTATGTGCGCCATGCTCGAGTGTGCGCTCTCGACGCTCGGCGCGCTCAGCATCCTCCGCCGGTGGCGGACGCTGGCTGCCTGCAGGTCGTGGACGCACGTGTTGCTGATGTTCCATTGGTATGGGAGGCAGCGGGGGCAGGTCGCCGTCGAACAGGGCACCGTTGGAAGGTCTAGCGCTGAAGCTATTACGTCTCGGCTCCTCGGGCACTGGGGATGGCCCGCGACGCCGCGCGGCCGCGAACGAGTGTCGAGGCTGAGCAGGTTCCAAGGCGTAGTGATGGTGGGCAGGCTCGCTATCGTTAGAGAAGAGCGATGCGGTTCGGCGCCGGCTGGACCCAACACCGAGGTCGCTGCCTGACTGAAGCGGGCGACTGGATGGGTCCCAAGGATAGGAGGCTTCGGCCGCGTAGGAGCGCGACGGCCGTTTCAGAACGGAGTCGAGGAATCGGCCCATGGCGACGGCGGGGTTGCTGGTTGATGGTGGATGGAAGCGGGTGGATTAGACCATCCGGCAAAGGCGAGGGTGAATCATGAGCATGGAGGTTGGGCAAGAATCAAAAGAGAGCGTGGAGTGTGATGGGTAAACAAGCGAGATGAAGTGCGAGTGTCCGAGATGACGATGAATGTCGTGGAGAGTTTATGTCGAGATCGAGAGAGACGACGACGATCATTTGCATCCAAACGTCATAACAACGTAAGCACATTAACAACACCAATTGACACCGCTATTTCCTTTGTAATTCAATTTTGGCCCCGCTATTGACGGCCTTGTTGACGCGATTCGAGACGACGCCGCAGACAGCGTCGAGTTGTTCGGATCTCTACATCTCCTCCATTAATAGCCTTCGACCCCCTTCCGCCTTACGTGTCGTACACGCCGTCGTCTTCGCCGTCTACATTTCAGCGCGGCGGAGCTCGACATGTTGACTCCTCCATACCACTTCTCCATCGTTGCGGCACCCATCACCCCCGATGACGACTGCGCCCAGATACTCTATCGCGGCAGTATCCCCGCTGCACGCAACGCCCCCTTTCTACGCCGCCTCAGCATCCGCACCCTGGTGTACCTCCGGAAGAAGGCGTACAAGGACAATGATCCGCTAGTAATGTGGGCTGCGAAGCAAGGCATCGACTTGCGATGGGTCAAGGCCGAGAAGATGGAGGAGGAGGCCCTCGGCATGGAGCGCGAGGAGGTCACGGAGGTGCTCAAGGTTGGTCCCAACGCGACGAGACTGACGATAGATTTTGCTCAACCCTACAGCGTACCCCATTTATCTCGCCGATGTGGACGGCATCTCACACACCACATTGGTAGTGGCGTGCCTGCGCAAGTTGCAAGGCTGGCACTCGGACTGCATCGCCAACGAGATCTACCGGTGAGCTAAGGGGAGTTGTCCGCGCTGACAGCAGCTTCGAACCAGATCACGACGACTTGCCGCTTGTGCCATTCATCACGTCGTATCTCTCCACCTCTGCTCCGTCCAAGGACGAGGGAGGTGCACTTGCACTGCCTCCACCACCGTACCCGTCCTGGCTATGGCCCCAGCCAGCGCCCGTTCCCGCCGGGTCGAGATCAACATCAATGACGACTGGCCGCTCTGAGCGTGCGCTCTCGACCGTCTCGAACGCCTCTAATACCTCGGGCAGCCTTCCCTTCCCTAATCCCCTCGCGGTGCGGCGGCATCCGTCCATGCGCCTCGGCTTCGGCAATGTGCCTGCGCAGCCGCCAGAAAAGCCCCCCGCTCCAGCACTGTGGCGCACACGATCAAACACGGCCTCCCGTGTTGCAAGCGAAGCCAAGCCGCGCGCCCCCAGTCCGCGAGACACGCTCAACTCGCGCTCCGACTCGGGCGACGTCGAGGACCGGCCGCGCATGCCGCAGCGAGTGTCGTTCAACGACAACAACGCAAGCTCGGGCATATTGACAAAGTCGCCGATGGCGCTACCGAGCGGGCTTCGTTACTCGAACGAGCTGGCGCCTGATGACGCGGCTGAGGTCATGGACGAAGCGGACGGAGTGAGAAGCGTGGGCGCGACGGTCGGCGACGGAGACGTGGGGGATGATTATGCGCTCGACGACGAAGACGAGGACGACATTCTTGACGATGAAGAGGAGGAGGAGGACTATGACGAGGAGGACGAAGAGGATGAAGAGGAGGAGGAAGACGAGGAGGAGGAGGAGGAGCCGCCGGTGTCCCAGTACATCAGCGCGCTCGATCTCGCGGGGATGTGAGTTGGCATGCGGTCTCATGGAGGTGACCCAAGGATGTCCTTCAGTGTTGTCATTATACTTGATTTTCCATCCCTTGTATATGTGTATGAACAGCATTTTGCATTCATGTGCTGTTGAGACTGTCGCCTTGCATCGTACTAATGCTTGCATTAGATCCATGTGAGGCCATGGTCGCGCGCCTGAATCCTTATCTAACAGTCGTGTTTAGGCAGGCGAGCTAGTCGGCTGCCTTTGGTGCGGATTAACCAACCAGAGAGATTACTGGTGGTGCCTAATGAGCGCACGTGCTTGTTGTAATGACGCCGAGTCGATCTTATTGATTGATTATTTCTTCCGGCCCGCAGCCGGCACTCAGCGGCTCTCCTCTCTCCGGTCGACAGCGACCAAAAACGTTTCCAACCATCTTTCAACAACAACCAGCTCGACTTGGAATAACAAAACGGCCCCTGCCGCTCGCGCTCTTCATCCTCCACTCCTCGCACGGCACACGCCCTTCCCACGCCTCTCCCTCACTCCTTTTTAATCGCTGCCTCTTATCCAGACCTCCCCTTCTCGTCTTCTTGCAATGTCCGGCGCCCAGACTCCGCTTGGAGCATCCGACATGAACTCGTCAACCATCAGCCTCCCGCCCCGGCCACAGCAGCAGGCCTCGGTCGGTAACGACCGCAAGACTAAGAGCTCGTTCGGGTACGAGAGCACCATGAGCCTCCTCGTCGACAGCCTCAAGGACCGCCTGCTCTTTGCCATCCCCAAGAAGGGGCGCCTGTACGAGAAGACGGTCGAGCTGCTCGCCGGTGCCGACATCAAGTACAACCGCGCGCACCGTCTTGATGTTGCGCTTGTGCAGAACCACCCCATTGCTCTGTGAGTTGTGCAGGTTGTTTCAGCCTGCGGCCTTGTCTCTGAGCTGCCCCATTCCTTCCGTCGGTTCTGTCTGGTTCCTCGCGCCCTTCACCCTCCTCTACTTGAATGGATCTAACCCCAGCGTTTTCCTCCCTGCCGCCGAAATCCCCCGCTTCGTCGCCCTCGGCTCCGTCTCGCTCGGCATCACCGGGCAGGACGTCATCGCCGAGTCCAAACAGGGCCCACTGATCCAGGAGCTCCTGCCACTCGGCTTCGGCAAGTGCAAGCTGCAGGTGCAGGTGCCCGTGACGGGGCCTATCCAGAGCGTCGAGCAGCTCTCGGGCAACCGCGTCGCTACATCCTTCGAGGTCCTCGCAACCGCTCTGTTCAAGGACATCGATGCCCAGACCCAGTCCGCTAAGAAGACTTCGGTCGAGTACCTTGGCGGCTCGGTGGAGGCGGCGTGTGCCCTCGGCATGGCGGATGGTATCGGTAGGTGTTAATGGAGCGGAACGACGGAGGCCCGTGCTGACGCGTCTTATTTTCTACCTTGCCTGCGTCCGTGCTACAGTTGACCTTGTTGGTGAGTGAAGCCCCCCCCCCCCCCCCCCCCCCCCCCCCCCCCCCCCCCCCCCCCCCCCCCCCCCCCCCCCCCCCCCCCCCCCCCCCCCCCCCCCCCCGGCGGTATCAACGGGCCATGTTGACAGCAGAATCCGGCGACACGATGCGCGCGGCCGGCCTCCACGCCATCCACACGCTCATGGACTCGCAGGCGGTCCTCATTACGCCCGCGACGCCGCACGCCTCCCTGACCCCCGAGCTCGCACCACTCATCAACCTCGTCAAGAGCCGCATTGCCGGTGTCATCGCCGCCAAGAAGTATGTGTACATGTCGTACAACGTGCCCCGCGCTCAGCTCGACGTCGCACTCAAGATCACGCCGGGCCGCCGCGCGCCAACCGTCTCCCCGCTCGAGGGCGACGGGTGGGTCGCTGTCAGCTCGATGGTGGAGCGCAAGTCGATGGCGGCGACGATGGACGAGCTCGAGAAGACGGGGGCTGAGGACATTCTGGTCCTCCCTCTCGACAACTGCCGTGTCGGCGTCTAGGCGAGGATAGATTAGCTAGTTGCGAGGGCGAGGAGTATGCATACCTTGCGGATATCTGGAGTGGAGGACGTCACCTCGACTAACCCAGCGGAAAGGCGGAACCAAATTCCTCCACCACGCGTCTTATGACGCGCTCATGAACTCGCACCAGTCATTCCTTTCATCGCTCCTCGTCGTGCTCCTCGCCATCCACAACGGCCGCGAGACCATCAGCCTGCCCTCTCCGTCCCCTGCCCTGCCTTGCACCCAACAATCCGAACGCAATGGGTATCAAGGGTGCGTAAGATTTCTTGGCAAACATCAACAATCGCGCATCTGCCCTCCTGATCATCGCTGACATCAGGTCTTACCGCGCTCCTCTCGGAGCACGCCCCTCGGTCGATGCGCGACCACGAGATGAAGACGGTGCGGCTATCCGCACATCCAGTAAACTAACCCTCAGCTCTTCGGCCGTAAGGTTGCCATTGATGCATCTATGTGAGGGGAATCTCGAGCGACACAACTGATGACAGGTCGATCTACCAATTCCTCATCGCCGTGCGCCAGCAAGACGGCCAAATGCTCATGAACGATAACGGAGAAGTAACAAGGTATGTCCATGATCTGTACTCTCGCTCACTCAGTCATTTGATGGGCTTTTTCTACCGAACAATCCGCATGGTCGACCACGGCATCAAGCCGTGCTATGTATTCGACGGCAAGCCGCCCGAGCTAAAATCCGGTGTGGTGAGTTCGAAAATGCGTCGTCGGCTGACGTATAGTTGAAGCAGCGCTTCGGGCGCCGCGAGGAGGCCAAAGAGGCGGAGCAGGAGGCGAAGGAGGTCGGCACAGCCGAGGACGTCGACCGCTTCAGCCGCCGCCAGGTGCGCGTCACCAAGGAGCATAATGAGGAGTGCAAGCGTTTGCTGTCGCTCATGGGTATCCCTTGCGTTACTGTGAGCTCGGTGGTGGGCTGGCTGACTCCAGGCGCCAGGAGAGGCTGAAGCACAGTGTGCCGAGCTTGCGCGTGCAGGAAAGGTGAGTTGATGGAGCGGCGCGTCTGACTTCAGGTGTATGCCGCGGGGTCTGAGGACATGGACACGCTCACGTTCCACACGCCTATTCTGCTGCGCCATCTGACGTTCTCTGAGGCCAAGAAGATGCCCATATCAGAAGTCAACCTGCAGGAGGCGCTCAAGGGGCTGGAGATGAACATGGACCAGGTGAGCCATACGTCTCGTGTCACCACTGACGCCAGTTTATCGAGCTCTGTATCCTGCTTGGGTGCGACTACCTCGAACCGGTCAAGGGCGTAGGGCCCAAGACGGCGCTCAAGCTCATGAAGGAGCACGGGTCGCTCGCCGAGGTAGTCAAGTTCATCAAGGGCAAGATGGCGGAGAAGGCGGCAGAGAACGCGGAGATTGAGAGTGAAAGCGAGCCTGAATCCGAGGACGGGGCGATGATCGTCAACTCGGACGGGGAGGAGGTGGCGGTATCGCCGAAGAAGGCCAAGCCTAAGAAGAAGAAGAAGAAGACGAGCGCGGGAATGCAGATCCCCGACCACTGGCCGTGGGAGGAGGCGAAGAAGCTCTTCCTCGAGCCTGACGTCGTCAAGGGCGACGACTTGGACGTGAGTGCCTCGCTGGGTGTGGCTGATCCCAGCTCGACTGGAAGCAGCCAGATGTCGAGGGGCTCGTCGAGTTCCTTGTGCGCGAGAAGGGGTTCAAGGAGGATCGGGTGCGCAGTGGCGCGGCAAAGCTCTCCAAGATGCTGGCTGCCAAGCAGCAGGGGCGGTTGGACGGCTTCTTCACCGTCAAGCCGAAGGTGCAGGACGACAAGAAGGGCGCGGGGGCTAAGCGTAAAGCCGACGAGAAGAAGAAGCCGGCGGCAAAGAAGCGCAAGTAGGCGTCGTGTTGGAGGGTGGGGGAGGAGGCGTAGCATGGTTATACGGCTAGATGTAGTACGGCTTGTATTGGTATCTGCTGAGCGCTGGCCGCAGCAAAAGCGGGCAATGGCGCAAAATGCCGCATTATGGGAGAACAACCTTGTTCTCGTGTAATCACTTGCGGCGGGAGCAGATCGGCCGCACGTCACAATCACGGGCCAAGTTCAATTGAGATGACCGACATCCACCATCAACACCTCGCCGTCGCCATGGTCAAGCTGGACTACACCTCCTCCGGCTCGCGGTATGCCTCCCCTCCGCTCCGCTAACCGCAGCGTGCCGAACCCTCCCGGCTATGTCGGCGCGGCGCGCGAGACTACCAAGGTACTCCCCCCTCCCTCTTGTCTAACGCCAGCGCGAGCGTACCGACCGCCAAGGCAACGAGCTCAAGCTCAAGCGCGCGTGGGAGATGGCCTTTGCGTGCGTACTCCCGGGCACCTCCGATCTCCCCAGAGGCATCTGACGCCAGCCCCGCCAAGTCCCTCCCGATGCAGGGCATCATGCTCTACTTCTCCGGCTCGGGCGTGCAGATCTTCTCGCTCGGCATGATCTTCATGCTTCTCACGGGGCCGATTTCCGCCGTCACGGGCATTATGCGTGGTGAGCAGGCAGAAAGGCGTTGCTCACGCAGCTTTCGAGCCGTTCAGGACTGTGCGTGCCGACGGGGAGCTGTCGTACAGCCTCCTCGTGCCGGCTATGGTCACGTATGCGCTGTGCCAAGGAGCTGTGTAAGTGTTGATACTGATGTGCGAGCTTGTAGGCTGGCCGTTGCGCTGTCCGTTGCGTGTCGTGCCTCCCACGCATCACGCGCGTCCTTCGGTCAGGCCGCGCTCCGCTGGGCCTCGCTCCATCGCCCCCGCTGACTCCAGCTTCGCCCTCGGACTCTACAAGTGCTGGACGATGGGCATCCTGCCCTCAGGCCCCGCCGACTGGCTGCAGTTCGAGACGCGGCCAACTTGGCCGGAATGGAGCGCGGTGCGCGCCTTGATACTAGGAGACGTGTAAACCGGATCACATGCAATCTATAGACAACTTATACGACGCCACCCCACACGCCTAAGCCAGCGAACACGCTGCCGAGCGCAACAATGAGGCCCTGGTGTCAGCTAGATCTCGTGAGAAGACGCCAAGCCACTTACACCCCAGGTCACGGCACCGACGCCGACGCGGCCGACGACCTTCCATACTAGGCTGAGCGTGATGTGCACGAGCGTGACAGCGACCCAGGCGAGCGGGAGCCAGCGGCTCGGCGTGGGCTTTGGCGCAATGGGCGGCCAGTCTCTGGCGGTCACGATGCCCTCGTGCTTGTAGATCGGCTCGGGGTCAAAGTAGAAGCCCGAAAGAATCAGCGTGAGGCCGAGGTTGAGGATGAGCGTGTCGATGCGCCACAGGACATGCAGCGCAAAGGGGATGAGCTGGGGTCAGTGGCGATCTAGCGCTTTGCGCTATACGCACCGGGAAGGGAAGGCCCATGACGTCCTCCAGTTCTGGGGTCAGATAGACCTGAAAGCGACTCACCGGCTCGCGCGCGCATACGCTCGAGGATCTCGACACGGTGCTCGAGCTCCGCGAGGTCATCGTTTGCGCCGGCTTCGTCCTCCGGATCCATGTCTTCGGGGACGGGACACAGGCCTTCGTCGTTACACTCCTGACAGGCGAGGTCCTCGATCGCCCAGGGATCGCTGAGGTCCTCGTAGAGATTCAGCTGCTCGTAGCCCTGCACGATGCCCCACGCGGCCTCGGCGACGCCCCACCCGAGCCCGAGCCAGTAGCTCGAGTGGAAGCCCGAGGTAATGGAGGGCACAGTGAGGGGCACCGATACGAGGCGGCACGCCTCGTGCACGATAACGTGCGCGACTGTGCTGACGAAGACGGCGCCGGTGCCGCTGAGAGGGAGCCAGGAGACGAGAATAAACATGGGCACACGGAGGGACTGGACGGCCATGCTCGCGAACGTGCCCACCAGGAACGCCTTCCAGAAGAAGGGGTGCGGATACGCCTGGCCCTCGTCCTTCTCGTCGTCGCTGGGAGGCCTGGAGTCAGCGGCGGCGGGGCATGCACTCACCATCCCCAGGTGACGAGGGCGATGAGGCCGGCGAAGAAGGCGAGCGTAATGAGCGGCACGAGGCCGTAAAAGCGGCTCATAAAGCGCCACGACTCTGCGGTTAGCGGGTCCAGTGTCTCAAGCGTCCATCGATCGCCCCTGTGCCGGCGGCGTGCGGCCCGGCGGCGCACCGACACCGTGACTCACCGCCGACGTCTTCCATGTCGTCCATGTCGTCGTCGAAGCCAGAGTAGTTGTAGCCGTTGCCGTTTGTGGCGAACTGGCTGGGCTCGGGCGTCGCGATCTGCACATGGAGCGAGGGCACATCGTCGGTCGCGCCATACGATCTGTGCTTGCGGGTCGGCGGCGGGGGGTCCGGCGAGGAAGGAGATGGCGAGCGCGTGCGCACAGCCGCAGCCACGACAGTGTCCTCGCTCAGGCTCATGGCGCGAGGATGCTGTGGGTGTGGATGACTAGATCAAGTAGATGGGATGTTTAGCGTGGGAGGAAGGAGCGATGGCGAGCTCGCGGGATGGCCGGTCAGCGGCCAGAAGGTCTCAGTCTCACCTTGCGTGACTTGGTGGGGCGGGGTGGAAAAGATAAGGGCGCACGCGAGGGGAGCGTGGGAAGCGCGTGGGAATCACGTGAGATTCGCGTGTCCCCATAAAGCAGAGAAGCCACGCGACTGCCACGCACCTTCCACGAGACAAAGACAAGCCTCGGCGCAACTCGGTCAAGGGCTCCCACCCCCAGGAGGGCGGAGAGGTGCGGAGTCTCCACCTCCACCTCCAACGGCCCCAGTCGTCATTCCCCCGGGCCACCCGGCTATTGCGTTCCGACCTGGTCCGGCGTTGGCTAGTTCCTCCACTTAAATTCCACTCGCGGGAGCATTTCGTGTTGACAGGTGGGCGATTGGTCGGCTGTCCGTGCCGTGTTCGACGAGGCTACAGCCGAGCCCGTCCCCACTCTGTTCCTCTTGCTCAAAAACCCCGTCCGCCCTCGACAGACCCCATGCCCAAGATGTCCGACTTTGACGCCAGCGAGATCGAGGCCAAGGTCGAGAAGCAGACTGTCAACCCCGTCAAGTCGTTCCTCTCGGGCGGCTTCGGCGGTGTCTGCGCCGTCCTCGTCGGCCACCCGTTCGACCTCACCAAGACGCGTCTCCAGACCGCCGCGCCGGGCACGTACACGGGTGCCATCGATGTCGTCAAGCAGACGCTCGCCCGTGACGGTGTGAAGGGGTGAGTTGCACGCCGCGAGCCGCAGGCGAGCGTCATGTCGGAGAGCACGCCGGACAGTTTCGAGGTCGTCACATCGTCAGACCCGGGCCTCGGGTATACTTTTGGTGTGCAGATTCGCGCGAGCTCGGGGGAGGTCGAAATGTCTTTCCGAGCAGCTGCAGTCGCACACAGCGGTCCCAGAATTGGCGAGCGTAGCTGGGGTGCATCTGCATCGCACGCTGACCCTCTCTATGGACTGATAGTCGCCAAGGGCTCTCCCGATACAACGATGAAACGCCTTTTTGAATCCCGCTAACACCAGTCTCTACCGCGGCATCTCGCCTCCCCTTCTCGGCGTCACGCCCCTCTTCGCTGTCTCGTTCTGGGTGAGTTTGTCGCGCTCGTGTGATCGAGCATGAGCAGTGCACAGACAGCACGCACTGGCGAATAGGAGGAATGCGTCTGCAGCCTGGAGCCTGTAGCTATCGCACCCTCTCCGTCGGGACAGCAGGCGCGGTTGTGCTCCGACGGCGCCTCCGCTTCGGACGGCATCGCAGATGTTGCCTCCGCTCACAGGCTACGCTCTCAGACCCATTCGCTGACCCCAGGGTTACGACGTCGGCAAGCGCATCGTGTACGCGGCCACGCCCGACCGCGTGGACCAGCACCTGTCGATCCCCGAGCTTGCGTTCGCCGGTTTCTTCTCCGCTATCCCCGCCACGGTCGTCGCTGCGCCCGCTGAGCGCATCAAGGTCCTTCTCCAGGTCCAGGGCCAGGGCGGCAAGCCGGCGTACTCGGGCCCCCTTGACGTCGTAAAGAAGCTGTACGCCGAGGGCGGCGTCAAGTCGATTTTCCGCGGCACGATCCCCACCATTCTCCGTGACGGTCCCGGCTCCGCAGTGTGAGTCTCCCTCCTTGTAGAGTCTCCTTGAGTCTCCTTGAGCCTCCTCTTGAGCCTCCCGCTTGAGACCCCCTCTTGACCCTCATGAAGCCCCACCTAACCCCAGCTACTTCGCTACGTACGAGGTCGTGAAGAAGTCGCTCTCGGGCGCGCCCGTGATCGACCACTCGACGGGTGAGGAGAAGGCGCCGCCCCTCTCCCTCCCCGCCGTCATGTTCGCGGGCGGCATGGCCGGTGTCGCGATGTGGTCGGTCGCCATCCCCCCCGACACGATCAAGTCGCGCATCCAGTCCGCGCCGAACGGGACGTACCGCGGTTTCCTGGACTGCGCGCGCCAGCTGATCGCCAAGGACGGCGTGACGGCGCTGTGGAGCGGGTTCGGGCCGGCGATGGCGCGTGCGTTCCCCGCCAACGCGGCCACGTTCCTCGGCGTCGAGATCTCGCTCAAGCTCATGAACATGGCGTTCTAGGCGGGCAGCCCCGCTAAAAGGGCCCAAGTCGGCTAATGTAGATGCGTAGAGTGTCCGGACGCAGCGTTGTTTGCATATGTTTGCTCGAGCAGGGGTTGGCAGTGGGGCTGGGGTCGCTCCGAGGAGATAACCGTGTGCAGTCGCGTCAGGATCGACGAGTTAAACGAGGGCGCCACGGAACGCCTGCCCCGGCAGGTGGAAGAGGCGCCATGGCCGCGTCACGGCGCGCAGAAGATTATTGCCCTATGAGGTGCAGCAGCTTGCTGGGATCACTCAAAGCCTTGTCCGGTGCAGCCGTCTACGCACGCGTGAGATAATGACTGAAACCATTCTCGCGCCGGGACTCAAATTCTACGCTTCCGAGACCGAGGGTGCACTGAGTTCCACCTCGTACATCACTCTGCGGCGGCGTGGCAGCCGATGTGGCTCCGGACTGCACCTTGACGATGGCAAAGGGCGCACGCTGTTGTTCCGGAAGACCCCCGTTTCCAGAGCTCAGGGGGACCAGTAACCCACGCTCCCCCAGGGGATCGAACTGCTCTCCAGACAGCTCCTTCTTCACGATTAACATGCACACTTGTCCACTGAGCTATCGGATTGTCGGTCCCCCGTTATGTTCTGTACGTTGTTCGAAATATCAGCACATTGTGTTGGCGCAACAGGCATGTCTGGACAAGTGGACAATGATTGCCAGCACGCATGCGCGCGTAGCGTACACGTGTACGCGTATCCATCGGCCGTTCTCCAGGTTTCCCACGCTCACACATGTCGGAGTTCGGAGACCAGATCGTCACGGCCGACATGCACCGACATACCACTGTCATCCACAACCCACCTCCCACTATCCATCCACTAGCGCACCAGCCTCGCCGCAGCGCGCAGTGCGCAGCAATAACAGTGATCGAGTCAGGAAACTTGGATGCACCGTCGTATATTCGTGCCCGTCGCGCTATTCTGGTGATGGCTGATGGCGGTGTATCGTCAATGAACCAAGCACGTGTCTGTGCTGCGTCTGTGCGGAGTCTAAGTCTAGCGAAACGATCAAACATTGCCCCGCCAGGTGTCCAGCGTCCCAGGCCGACGAGAGTGACAGAGGCAGAGTGTCTGCCTGTGTCGCGCCGTGACGTGCTTGTCCAAGCCCTCGAGTGATGCCAGCTGGACAGCCCACCATCAGAGCATGTCGAGTGCCACCGGGTGTTTTAAAATAGACATGGCAGGGGCAAGATGCATGTTTGGGTGTTTGTTTGGTCCTGAATCAGGGGGTGAGGCAGAAACACGAGGGAGTTAATTCTGGGGTCGCGCACGTAGTTCTGCCACCAAACAGCGTGCATCGCACCATCGGCCGCAGCTTATTACGCAGGCAGCTCAAAGCTCGGGTCATCGTGAAGCGGAATGAGGCTAGTCCAGAGGCACTCGCAAGCTGGCAAGCAGGGAATGGATGAATGAAGAGGTACTTCGGGTTCAGAACACGATTCCCACAGCCCCGGGCGAGACCAGCCGAAAGCAGCCCTGAAACGCCTTGTGGTTGCTTTGAGAAACGCGTTTGCTGCGCAACAAAGAGGTGACATGTCGTCAGCCTCTGCTCTTCTTACTCATTCAACTACTGTACTGTAGATTCACCTGCACAGCCCCCGCGGCTGCTTGCAGTGACAGGGCACAGTCAATACAGAGGCTTGTGGCCCATGGCCTGTAGCCTGTAGGAATGCTTGACGACAACGACGCCTGTTGGGCGCGGCGGGGCTCGTCGCGTTCATCGTGAACAGTCACACTCACCCCGTTCCGGGGGCCTCGCGCATGCCTCGACTCTCCCCCATGCACCGCTCGTCTTTCACACCCACCCCCCGTCGCGTCGCTGTCCTGTGCTATTGCGAGTGGTCTCCGCAGCAGCTCAGTCCCCACGCAGGTCACGCACCGCACTCACCTCTCCATGCTCTCACCCTGCTCTCCTCGCTCTTTCCTCGGTCCTCGCATCGAGTTCGCGCCTTGCTCGACCCATCTCTGGTTGATATAAAGTCTCTTCTTCGCCTCACCAACTCATCTCCTCGTCTCATTGTCACTCTTACTCATCCACTCTCGCTTTTCACTCCACATCCATCACCACCCCCACCACCACCCCCATCATCATGCAGTCCAAGCTCCTCGCCCTCCTCGCTCTTTGTAAGTCTCCTCACCTGGTGCCATGTGGCAGCCGTGGTCGACCGGCCCCCTACCCCTGTTCTTCTATCCTCTCCCCTATTCCTACCCCAGCCACTAACATCCAGTCGCTGTCGGCGCCTACGCCCAGAGCGATTCGGCCGGTGCGTCGCCCAGCGCCGGTGCCGACGGCGAGGGCCCCGCCGGCTCGCCTACCGACAGTGCCACCGACGGCGGTCCCACGGACGGTGCCGCCGACCCCGCCGCGAGCTCTGAGGGTGGCCCCGACGCCTCCGGCGCCCCTGGTGCCGACTCTGCTGTCGTCCCCTCGCCCTCTGCCCCCGGCGCCGCAGGTGCCAGCGGCGCTCCCCGCGCCTCGAGTGCAGTCGCCGGCGCGCCCTCCGCCGCTTCCGCACCCGCCGGCGCCGTGAGCTCGGCCCCTGCCGGTGGCGCTATGGTGAGTCCACTACCCCCTCTCCCGCTCACACCAGTCCGTGAGCTCGGCGCGCCCCTCGTCCGCCTCGTCGCACGCGTCGTCGCACACCTCGTCCCGTGCCTCGGCGGCGTCAGGTGCCTCCTCGGCGCCTGCGAGAGGCGGCGCCGCCCCTGTCATGGGCAGCATCCCTGGCGCCCAGATCGCCGCCGCCGTCCTCGCTGCAGTCGGCGGTGCTGCCCTTCTCTAAGCGCCTCGCTTCGTTCGACCTAGCATCTGTATTTCTCGATACTAGAGTCTCAGGCCTGTTTTAACTAGTTCGCACGCTCCCATCCTCCTTTTCCTCTACGGAGGCATGCATTGTACATGTTAATGCGAGGGCAGTGGGGTTTAGCTGCTGTGTTTGTGATGAAAGAGGAAGGGGTGGTAGTGCTGCAACCTAGCTCTCACCGCAACAGGCACTGACTAACATACCACGAGCAAGAGGGTGTGAACGCTGGTACCAACAAACAGCCAGCGAGGAGCCCACGACGACTGAGTGGAGCAATTCCTTCCGTCTCGCTCGACTCACCATTCACGCCAGGCGCAGAATCTAAAGTGAACAAACCATGAACAAACCACGTTAAGCATGCGTTGTGAGCATCCCGAGTCCGCACGACGGGCGGTGCTCAGCATCCTGGGCATCCTCGGACCTCAGACCGGGGCGCAGTTCGGCATGAGTCCGACCACAGCCTTATGGTGACAACAAGTCACCTGGGCCTTGGCCCCATCGCTCCCCGCCGTACGTTCTCCTCTGCTATTCCGCGCTTCCCCGCCGCCCATCCAATACCGCTGCATACTACCCACGCCCAATAAACGGCATGCCCGCTGCAAGAATCTCCATGCGCATCACATCTGCGTCCGCGCCCAGTCCCGCCAAGAACACGAGCGTCTTCGCGACATTCTCAACACGCATCATCGGCTCGGGGCGCACACTCCCATCGGCTTGGGTAGCCCCGCGCGCCGCATGCGAAATCATGTCCGTGGCCGCGTTGCCGATGTCGAGCTGCGTGCACGTGATACCGAACTTGCGTCCGTCGAGCGACGTCGAGCGCGAAAGGCCGAGCACCGCGTGCTTCGAAACCGTGTACGCGGCCGCGTTGGGGCGCGGCGCGGACGACGCGATGCTCCCATTGTTCACGATGCGGCCGCCGCCGTGCGTCCGCATCAGCCGGATCGCGGCGGCCGTGCACAGCACCGCGCCCATGATGTTGATGTCGAGGGCGCGGCGGAACGTCGCCATATCGGCGTCTTCGAGCGGCGTCGATGGGAGGAGGTCGACGCCGGCGTTCTGGTGTAAGGGGTTGGATAGAAGTGGGAGGTGGGTGGGTAAAAGTGGGAGGGGAGAAGGTGCAGGGAGGTCGGATGACTCACGTTGAACAGCACATCCAGCCGCCCATACTTCTTCGTCACCATCTCGAACATGCTGGCCACGTCCTCGTCCTTGCTCACGTCGCCGACGGCGATCTCCGTGGGGCCGGTACACGCGTCCGCTGTTTCGCGGAGCGCGTCGGCGCGGCGTCCAGATAAGACGAGCACGCACTTCGGGTACGCTTCGGAGAGGGCGATGGCGCACGCGCGGCCGATGCCGCCCGACGCGCCGGTGATGAGGATGACTTGGGGGGTGGAGAGGGACATTGGGTGGGGGCGAGGAGGGGAGGGGTATCAAAGAGGAGGTGGAGAGGATGGAGAGAGGGGGAGTAAAATGAGATGAGTGCTGATGAGAGGGTAGATGAAGTCTGAAGATGAGTATGATCAGTTGAGGAACCGAGGTTGCGTTGGTGGGCATGCCGCCGGTTGCCGGGCCGGGGAACCGGAGATGGGCGATAGCCGTGCTTTACCGTCTCCTCGCGACCACGATGACAGAGGTCGACTTGTTGGCTATCGCCGAGATTGTTGGCTATACGACGGTTATCTGTTGGCTATCGGACAGCGCTGCATTCCTGAGTCGCAAGCGCATCATGACACGCATCATGTCACCTCCCAACCACTCTCCGACCAATGTCCGCCCCAAAGGACTCCCCCAGACAGCGAAAACCATACATCTAAATGAACAACACTACCATCGCCTGGTGTACGGATCTGGCGGCGCAAACCCGTAAGGCTGACGCGTGGCCTCGAACTGCACTGGGGGCGGATACCCCGGCGCCGCCGCAGGTGGGAAGTCTGGCGCGCCAGCGATGGGCGTGGAAGGCCGCGAGGGCTGCATGGCGGGGGCGAATGCGCGGCCTGGTGGTGCCGCGTGCGCAACAAGCGACGTAGAACTCGACGCAAAGTCGTCGTCCTGCGGGCGCGGTGGGTAGCTATGCCCCTTATCGGCGTACTCATCGAATATATCGTCGTACGGGTCGTTGTCGGGGTAGTCTGGAGAGGCGCGCTTGTGCACGTCGCGGTAGGGACTGGCGTAGTTTGCGGGGGGTGGCGGGCGCCCAAAAGCAGGCGAGGCCGTGCGCCCAAAGGCCGGAGAGGCAGAGCGCCCAAAGGCAGGCGAGGCGGATCGGACGAGTGGCTTGTCGTCGTCGAGGCTGATATTCGGCAGCGTTGGCTTGAGGAGCGAGGCGTCGATGAATTCGCCATTCGCGTTCTTGATCCGCAGACCCATGTCGATCTTCTTCTCGAGCTCCGCGTTGCGCGCAATGCGGCGCTTCTGACTCTTGCGGATGATCTCGCCGATACGCTTGTCGACCTTGTGGCAAACATACTCCTTCAGGTTGCCCTGGATGTAGCACAGTAGGGGGACGTAAAGTACGGCGGCAGCAATGAGAAATCCCAGCGACACAAGGAAGATGAGGACGGTGAGGATCATCGAGATGAGGAGGAGCGCAGTCCACGGCTGCCCGTCCCAATACTTTGGGATGTCGTCAGTGCGGAAGTCGTAAGCCTTGGCGATCATGAAGAGGACAATGGCGTTGATGCTCTGACGCGGGCCATCAGCGAGGATTGTGCGCTTCCAGTCTGGTGTTAGATACCTCCTTGATCGCGAGTTGGCGGTCGGCTGATGGTCCACTCACCCTTGAACGAGAAGAACACGAAGAACGCAATCTTGTCCTTCTTCTTCTTGTTGGCAGAAATGCGGCAGAAGAGGCAGAAACTGTCGTAGCTTTTGATGGACACGTAGTCGTTCGCCATAGTATTGCAGAAGGTGTAGCTAATGTCGCGGGACCGCAACACCTTGCGTGCCTTGTACCACTCATACCCAAGCAGCAGAAAAGAGAAGATGATGCAGCCGACGAAGACCCACTTCGCAATCTTGAACTGGACGTCGATTACGCAGTGGTGGTTGCCCGATTTAGCACACTTGGTGTACAGATTGTTGGTCCACTGCGCGTTAGGAAGGCTCGCAGCAAGGGACTCACATTGTCGGTCGCCAACATGGTGGCCGCAGTGAAGATGTCCAGGCCATAGATGGCAATGTTCTTGATTAGAAACACATAGACGAAGCAGTATTTGAACCGCGTCGTGAAACTCGTATCGTGGAACTCCTTGACGTCGACATACTCCCACTGGGTGTCAGTGGACTCGGCGGCGACCTAGTGCAGGGAAGGTAACGCGCGGCGCTCTTGGCAGGCTGTCCGTCTGACCGTCTGTTCACGGCAGTGTCCAACGCAGCTCCTTGTGCGCATGCTGCGCATTGGCTGTGGAATTGAAACTGCCTGAGGTTGCAGGAAGTCTGCCAACTCCAGCGGTGCTCGCCGCCTGACCGTCGCTGCGCAGTGCATGCTGCGACATGCTCGGGCCGTCACAGTCGGTGCGCATGCTTCCCCTCTGCGAATTGATTGCCGCCTGGACCAACTCACTTTGTAGTCCTGTACGACCTCTCGTTTCCAGTCCGCGTCGCAGCACATGGCAGGTGTCGGCTCTCACGTATCCGTCGGGAAGGATGATCTCGGTCTTGATGGGAGGGAAGATGAAGGAGAGATGCGAGGGGATGTTCTATGCGAAGAGATCGTAGAGCGTCCAGCGCGATAAAGACGAGGCGTGGCAGTCGGCCAGCGACTGTTATAGTGTTTGGGTCGTTTGTGAAGGGCTCTCACAGAGGCCCCGATCAATGCGAGCGGGCGGAGGAAGAGATGAGCGAGGAAGAGATAGGTGGGGCGGGGCGGGGCGGGGCGGGGCGGGACGCAGTCTCTCCGAGGCCTAAGAGTGAGGGACGGGGAGCGAGGGAGGGAGAGAGAGGGGAGAATGAGAGGAGGAGGGAGAGAGAGACGAGGGAGGAGTGAGAGAGAGCGATGGCAAGAACGAGTGTGATGGCGTGGAGAGAGGAGATTTGTTTGAGGATCCCACTATTGCCTGTTCCGACGCACAAGGCTCCTTTCCCCGGGAGCACGGGACCTCCGCAGATGCCGGACGCCTCCGTTCATCAATCTCAGCAACACAGGTAGCAGGAAGCGCGGAAGACGTGGCAGATGCTCTGGGAAGCGTTTGAATGCATGCATGCATGCATTGTTGAGAGATCTAGTGTCTCAAGTGGAATCTGTTGATGGCAAAAGGCAGTGCTAGGTGAGGATCGACAAAGTCAGGAAACGCGTGCACGCGCCATCAGGGTCAGGCCCGAATCCGGGGTGGCAACTCGATGTCCTCCATTCTGCGTACTGGCGATCTGGCGATTCAAGCTTTGTTTAAATCGTCATAATCATAATTGAATCTCTTCCATATCTTCCATTGTCCACCTGCCACGCTGCCACCTTGAGGTCTTCAATCATCCATGCATCCTGGCATATGCTTGGGTAATATGATCGTCGCTCAGTGTCAACAATTCAGGCGCCCGTGAGTAGTATGTGGGTGCGGGGCGGGCTGGAGGGCGCGGAGGACACAAACTGGCGGAGACTGGACGGTATGGCGTCCTCATTCCTAGAGGTCATATTGGGCACAGTTTTGTTAAGGTGTGGTACTGCCTCGCGCCCGTCAAGGTCATGCAGGACGAGCACGCCCCAGGCAAGAATTAGTCGCTCGATGTCGCTGGCAAGCGCGGCTCTCGAAAGGCGTCCAGACAAGCCCACGTCATGCCGACACGATGCGCCGCACCTTGCCGCGAGGCCGACCTGGCTCCTCGCCCGCTCTGCGAGCGGAGCTCGACCTCGACGCGGCCCCAGCCTACGCCTCTTGCGGGGCTCATACAACTCCTCCCATGCACTCGCATGGAGCATGGAGTGAGTGTCACTGTGAGATGGACACAGCCCGTGGACAAGGTTCTGTATTTCAGCCCAGTGAGTTCTATGCCTGGGGGTAATACATAGCCTAATCATGGGGCCAAGCACCAAGGACCAACGTGATTCAAGGGCCAGCATTTGTGGTTAGAATTGGGTTTGGGAATAATGGAGAGGAGGTAAAGCAGTCATAACCAGCGTGGTTTGTAGTTGGTATAAGCGTCGAATAAAGTGTGAGTAAGGAATGGGCAGAGTAATAATTCGCCGAGTGCCATAAGTACTTGCAATCAGCAACGCAGCGATCGCAACAAAGCCGCTGCTTGAATCACAGTCGCTGAATTCAACTGCCGCGGGCACAAGGCATGGGATATGCTGGAATGGGTCATGTCGGCGGATCTTGACTGCATTATTGTTGAGTGTCTCTCTCGATCTCTGAGATCTGATCTTGATCGGATCATGTGAGTTGATCTTGATCCAAACAGCGCGGATTGATCGACTTTAATCGGGCATAAGCACGGACATTGATTAGTCCCCCATTAACCCCATTAACCCCATTAACCCCACGGTCACACCATTAGGATGCCAAATCGGGCAGGCAATTCATGCAATTGGAATGGCTGAAATGCGAAATTGCAATAATACCCCCGCATTCTTTGAGGATTGCTAATTGCTAATTGGCCACAATAGGATCTGCGGGGGTGCCACATCGCGGGCTTATCTCGCCGCCATTAGGATTTTCAAATGCCCGTTACCGCGCATACGCCGCTGTTTTCAGTAAACAAGCGACTACTCGAATTGGCTCAGCCCTTAATTGCCACCGTAGTCTTTCACCCATCCTAATCCTCTTTTATCGTCGTCTTATCCATCTTACCCCCCTTCTATCCCTCTTCAATCCCACAACACTCGATTAGAAACCATTCACCCCCCACCCACCTCAGGACTAGTCGAAATCGTGAGTCGCCATCCCCCCTCCCATCTTCGTCTCCATCCGCATCGTCTCCCCCGCCATCGCTCAATGCTCACACACCGCTCGTTTCCTTGCGCATCCTCTTATCTATGCCCTGTTTGCCACCCCTCCACGTTGCACGATGCCGTCTACTAACCCATCCCACACCACCCTACAACCCAACCTCCACCACCGCGACTGACTTCCTTGGAAACCTACAGACCCACCACTTAGAACGCAAAGCGCATCAGCCATGTCGATCGAGCAGCAGAACGTGGTGAGTTTGGCCCAGGAAGACGGCTGTACAGTGGGTTGCGAGGAAGACGATGGTTGGTTGAGCAGGCCACCCCCGATGAGCGGGAAGGGCGCAGAGTGGATGGCAGTGCCACAAACCACTCGGGCCTTGTTATCGATCCGACGTCGGCTTCAACCCGCACCTCTTTGCCTCCAAAGCAGCCATGGCCACCGCCACCTCCCAAGCCTCCCCTCCCCTCCCTGTACCACGCTGACCCCCAGATCGTCCGTCTCCAGGAGGTCGCTGCGGCTATGAGCCGCTGCGCTGTCGCTATAGAGGAGTCGGTGCGCGCCAACCCCGCCGCCGTCGCCTACGCACTCCAGCACCCAGCCAACATGGGTTCGATCGAGAACGGCGCCATCCTCGCTCAGAGCCTCGCCGGGCTCGTCGCCGCGGACAGCGTCCCAACCACCAAGAAGCGCTCCCGCAAGGAGAAGAAGCCAAAGGACCCCAAGGCCCCCAAGCGCCCGCCCTCGGCTTATCTCCTCTACCAGAACAGCGTGCGCGAGGGCATCCGCGCCGCCAACCCCGGCATGCCGTACAAGGACGTGCTGGGCGTCATTGCCGAGCAGTGGAAGGCATTGAACCCCGACGACCGCAAGGTGTACGAGAACGCGTACTCTCTCGCGACTGAGGACTTCCGCAAGCGGGACTCGGCGTACAAGATCGACGGCACAGTGAGTGGGAAAACAATCAGCCGTTTTACGCCGCTAACGCCAGATCCTGCCCCCAACCCCGGGCATCGCCACCTACGCGGAGGCTAAGGACGCGACTGAGTCTGAGGAGAGCTCAAGCGAGGATGAGCCGCCCGCCCCCGTCGCGCCCACACCAAAGAAGGACAAGAAGCGCAAGGGCGAGGCAGAGGCCAAGACGCCTAAAAAGGCCAGCAAGAAGGGCAAGAAGGACTAGGCCAGCGAGCGAGTGGAGCGAGCCTCAAGTTGTACGGGGCACTGTGCAGATCAGCCGCCGTGAGGTGGATCAGAGGAGATCCATCTACCAGTCGTGTCATTTATTGTCGATAATTCGTCCCTTAGGAGTCTTCGTTTTTGTTGGATTGTTGGTTTGAGCCATGCAGAGAAGCTTGCTGGCGCGAATGATGTATGCATGCAAGATGTGTGCGCAGTAAGATGCTGAAACATGGGGGCGTGTCGTGGTCTCCGTCAAGGCGTGGTTGTCGTCCCGGATTGGTAGTGGAATGCAGACAGGTGGTGTTTCAGCCAGATGTGGCCTTCTTTGAAGTGCTTGAGCGAGAAGCGCGAGAAGGGGGTGCATCGTAACGTCGAGACGGTGCAGCGTCGTCACTGGGATACGCCATAGCCTTGAGCGAGAGTCGCTGGTGTCAACTGCCAAGGACCACGCCCCGAGTTTGATCGGTGTGTGGTGCGAAAGCGCTACCGAGGCGTAGCAGCGAGCCGCTCCGAGCGCCGACTCCCAAGCCGCGGCGGCGCCGACCTCGTCCTCTCAACCTTAGGCCTACCCTCTCCCTCCTCCGTCTTCACCTTCCTCCTCTCCTTCTTAACCTTCGGCTCCGCGATCTTCTCCCACTCCTCAATCCCGCCGGGGACAACGACGAACGACGCGGCGGCACTCATCGCAACCTCGACGCCCTCGAGCGCCGCAAGCCACGCCGGCTCCCGCCGCCGCACCTTGCTCCGCAACCACTCGAGCTCGTAAGCGACCTGCCCCTCGTGCACGGGTATGCCTGGCGGCGTGGCGCTCGGCGCCGCGATGAGCGCCGCGTTGAAGACGTACCCCCGCGCGGTCGCTTCGCGCTGCAGCTCGCCGAGGAAGAAGCCGATCGCGGACAGCGGGTCGGGGTGCGCGCGAAAGCGCGTGAGCTGCGGGTGTTTTGTGTAGCCCTTCGTGAGGCCCGCGAGGACTTTTTGCGCGAGCAGCGCCTCGCGCCAGCACGCTATGAGGGCGGCGCGGTCGAGGAGCGCAGGGGAGACGGACCAGAGGCGCATCTGGGCGAGGGAGAGGGTCGAGAGGGATGAGAAGGAGTATGAAGGATTTGAGGAGGAAGGCGGTGAGGAGAAGAGGGAGCGGGCAAAGTGCGGAGAGTGGTAGTCACGGGAGACGACACGTGACGTCACCCAGACTGCGACTGCTGCGGGACCCTCACTGAGGACATCCGAGAATGGGAGTGGGGCAGCTCATAGGCGTGGAGTTGCTTGGCGTGGGTCGGTAAATATTTGAAGTGGGGCAGGCCAAAGGACACCCTCGGATCAGTCGGCCTGCTGCGAAATCGAACGCGTCATTGACATCTTTGCCCCACATCCCATTACCATCATCGCCCATCCACACGACACATGAACCTCCCGCCCGGCCTCGGCGCGGCCTACTGGTCCACCTGGGAGCTCCCGCCCGGCTCAAGCGTCGCCGAGTCGCTCAGCGACGGCGAGGCGTGGATCGGCGGCTGGGACGGTGTGGGGTTATACGAGGGGTGAGTGCGACGAAGTCTACGGCACTCGCAAGCGCAGAGGCTGACCAAAGCAACAACAAAGTCCCCACATATCAGACCTTCGCGCTGCATATCACGACACACCGCCTCCTCGTGGTGCCTGAGGCGCCGGCGCCGGCGCCGCTCCAGTGCGCACTGAGCCATGTGCGCGAGACGCAGTTCTATGCGGGCTTCATGCGCTCAAGTCCCAAGGTCATCGTCGTGCTCGGCCCTGCGGGGGCGGTCCCGCCTCCGGGCTCGCCTCCCTCCCCCGCGCCCACACCAACATCCGCGCCTGCGCCTCCACCAGCGCCACCACAAGGGAACTGGACATGCGGCGTGTGCGGCTTCGCGAACCCCAATGTGGGCGGGAGCGTGCCGCCCGGCGCGAAGTGCGCGCTCTGCGGCGTAGCGTATGCCATGAGCAAGGGAATGAGCCTCCCGCCCAGCCGGACGACCACGCCCGCGCCCAAAGCACCGACGCCCGCGTCCGCCCCCACCTCTCCCGTGTCCGCGTCCCCCGCGCCGGTCTTGGCGCCGACTGCCCAGATCGCATGTACGGCATGTACCTTCCTCAACCACCCGTCGCTGTCGGCCTGCGAGATCTGTGGCACCTCCCTCCCCAAGAAAGCGAAGGACGGGGAGGCGCCGAGCTCAAGCACGAGCACGGCCGCAGCCGCGCGCACCGAAACGGTGCGCTTCAGCTTCCGGCGCGGCGGAGAGCGCGAAGCTTACCGGCGATTGAAAGGCGTGCTGAGTGACAAAGTGTGGGAGCGGGCGGGCATCAGCGCGGTTCGCGACACGCGCGGCGGCGGGGGCGGCATCGACGCAATCCTGAAGAGCATCAGTCTGGAGGGACAAGCGAACGACGCGCACATGCAAGACGCATTCCGCGACCTCGAAGTACTGATGGTGCGGGCGGGCGAGATGGTGCGGCTCGCGCAGAGCCTCAACGCAAAGCTCACCGCCGCGGGCGCAAAGGACGACGCGGAGGCCACTCTCGTGCGCTCCTCGCTCGTCCGGCTCGGCCTGCCCGCCCCCGCGCTCACGCAAGACATGGTGCGCGACGAGCGCGCATACTTCGACGGGCTGGCGCGCGAGCTCGGCGCCCTCCTGACCGGCGCGGGCGGCGCCGTCGGCCTAATGCTGCAGCCCGGACACGGCGTGATTGCGCTCGACACGGTATGGGGCTTGTGGATGCGCGCGCGCGGCGTCGCCCTCCTGCCCCCCGCGACGCTCATGTCCGTCCTCCCCTTGTTGCCGGCACACACGGCGCCGCCGATCCGGCGCCTCGACCTCCCCTCGGGGCTGACGGTGCTCAGCACGCCGGGCTACGCGCCGGGGGTGTTGCTCGCGCGGCTGCGCGAGCGCATGGCGCCGGGCGCGGCGGCGCCGCGCACAGAAGAAGAGGTGGAGAACGAGCACGGGCTCGGCATCATCGATATTGCCGCGGCTGAGGGGCTGCCAATCGGCCTCGCGACAGAACTCGTCGACATGGTCGCGGCGCTGCCGGACAGCATCGTGCGCGACGACCAAGCAGGGCCTGGCGGGAGTAAGTGGTACCGCGACATTATTAGTGGGTGGCCGCTCGCACAGCCCGCGTAAGACATGCATGTATACTAGGCGTACCGACGCGTCACCAGTGGTTCTCAGCTAGCTGCGGCTTGTCCGCCTTGTACTCCTCCCACGCCTTCTTGATTTCCGCGGGCGTTGTCTCGTAGTCGGAGGCTGGGTGAGCTGGCTACGACAAATACGCACGCTTAGGCTTCGGAACGCCTACAAGGTACGCGGCACACTGTTCCTTCTCCTCGTTCGCTGCGTCAACCCTGCGTTTTGCGCACCCACCTTGCTCCATCTGCTCCCCCGTCATGGTGCTCTGTGAGCCGAACGAGTTCGGCGTGGGCTGGGGTGGAAACTCGTTCTCAGAGTTCATCGTGTTCAGTGGCGATGGGGCCTGTCATGCGCGGCGGGCGGCATATGAGGCCAGCTGTGTGATGGCTGTGGCAGCGGGCCATCACGCCTTCATTGTTCACGGCGCGAGCAGTGATGGCGCTGCGTGTGGTTTTGATTGCACGCCCATGTAAAATGGCCGGAGAGTACAGCGATGATGCGGAAACGCGGCACGGATGCCCAAGCACAGTAGATCAACGACTTGCATACACTCTAACGCGAGTCTAGCTCTCCAGATCGTGTAATTCGATGTGATAGTGACTCTCCCGCCCGATTGTCAAGTGTGGCTCCTGTGGCAGAGGTCCAGGACATGATCTATTCCTTCTCCTTTAGCGCGCGGGACAGGGCCTCGCAAGTCGTCTTGGCGTCTCCAAACAGCATCTTAGTGTTTGGGTAGTAGAAGAGGGGATTGGGCATCTCCGAGTAACCTGGCATCAGATCGATTCATCCTTCCATCGTCCAGGTAGAGACTTACCTGGGTTCATGCCGCGCTTCATCACAATCACGTTCTTGGCGTTCCAGACGTGCATGACTGGCATACCCGCGATGGGAGATCCTGCCTCGAGGGCCAAGGGATTGAACACATCGTTCGAGCCCACGCAGAGGACAGTGTCGACGTCTCCAAAGTCGTCGTTGATCTCATCCATCTCAAGCACGACTGCTTTTAGCGACGTCACTGGGAGCACTCACTGTCATAGGGCACACCGGCCTCAGCGAGAAGCACATTGCACTGGCCCGGCATGCGACCGGCCACAGGGTGGATGGCGAAGCGCACCTCCTTGCCGGCGGCACGGAGCGCCCCGACCATCTCGGCGATGCTGTACTGTGCCTTCGCGACGGCCATGCCGTAACCCGGCACAATTACCACGCTGTCCGCGTCCTTTAGCACCTCGACAGTGTCTTCAATGGAGGTCTTGGTGACCTCCAGGCCCTTAGTCGAGTCTGATGTCAGCAGCCGTTACCAGATCCATCACCGTTTGTAGTCGTGGTGGTTCCAATGCCACCAAAAATGACGTTGGCGAGCGAGCGATTCATAGCTTTGCACTGTTGTTAGCTTGCGGTCTTTTCGTGTTGCTCACCATGATGTAAGACAGAATAGAGCCTGAGGCGCCGATGAGCGAGCCCACGGAGGTGAGAAGCATGTTGTCGAGCATGAAACCCTCAGCGACGAGGGCAAAGCCTGAGTATGCGTTCAGCACCGTCACAAGAACGGGCATATCAGCGCCGCCGATGGCAGCCGATGTCGTCCATCCCTGCAGGAAGGAGAGAATAGTGTTGCCCAACAGGCATCCAGCCGCGATGGCCGGGACACCAGCACCCATGGTCACAAAGGCGCCCATTCCCACAATGTTGGTGCCCAGAAGGCCAGCGTTGATAACGTGACGGCCGGGGAGGATCATGGGCCTCGAGCCCATCCGTCCGGCGAGCTTTGCAAACGCGACGATGGAGCCTGGCATTAGCAAAGTGTGGTGGGTGGGCAGCTCACCGGTGAAGGTGATACCACCGATCAGGACACCGAGATAGGCAGTCGTGAGGCCGAGGGTAGTCATGGCGTGCTCGTCACCCTGCAGCACCACGGCAGCCGAGGTCATGACGGCCGCAAGACCAACAACTGAGTGAAGCGCAGCCACTGTCTGCGGTAAAGCCATTGGCGAGACGCGTCGGCCGATGGCAAGACCTGCGACACCACCGATGGCGGTAAGGGCGCCAACCTGAACGAGCTGCTCCTTGGTGAAGCCCACGGCGAGGACAGCCGTGAGCATACCTGCGAAGACGCCGAGGATGCCGAGAGAGTTGCCGAGACGGGCGGTAGCCTAATGTCAGTCGCTTCCCTAATTCAACCTTACCTGAGAGCTAAGACCAGAGAGAGCGCCAATGCAGAGGAACGTTGCGACGGTGTAGCCAGCCTGAACGAGACCGTCTTGTCCTGTCTGCCATGCCCACAGAAGACCAGCGGCAAAGAGCGCCGCCGGCACGCCGTAGAGCCAGGCATAATCGGGTGGGTCGCCAGGACGACGGAAGAGGTCAAGCATGCGCTTGGTGATCAAGAAGCCGCCGAAGATGTCTAGTGTCAGATGTGCCCAGATTCGCGAACTCACTGAGGTTAGCCAGGAGAACGGATGCCGCGCCGAGATATTCGGGGAACGTGGTGGGGACGTAGCCGCCGCCAATGGCGAAGAGCCCGCCAACACCAACGAGGCCAGAGAGCGCATTCGTGACCGCTGGTTGTCAGTTCATTGGTACCGGCCACCACATACACATGAGAGGTGAGTGGAGAGCAGGGGTAACGTTCCAAACCGCGTTGAAGCCAACCAGGCCGGCCAGACCGAAAGTGTTGAGATTAGCCATGAACGCGGGGCCGGTGAGCTTGCCCAGCGCAAGTGTGCCGCTAATAGCACCCGTCGTGAGACCAACTGTGCTCACGGCCTTCTGCCACGGCGTCTTCTCGACCTTGGGCTCCTCAGCCTTGGGCGTGGGCTTTTTAGGTGCAACGGCTGGTGCGGGAGCGGTAGTCGCCTGGGGTGCGGGCCACATGACCTCCTTGTTGTAGGTCACAAGGGCGCCGCGCACAACGTCGTCGTTGAGGTTGATGTTGAAGCGACCTTGGTCGCCGATCTCGAGGAGGAACTGGAGTCAATCATGTGGTTGTCGGCTGAACCTACCTTGGTAATGTTATTCGAGTAGAGGGTCGAGGACTGGGTCGGCAGGCGCGAGGGGAGATCGGTGTAGCCGAGAATAGTAACGCCATTGGGCGTCACTGTCTTCTCCCCAGGCTTAGTGAGCACGCAGTTTCCTCCAGCCTCGCCAGCGAGGTCGACAATAACGGATCCAGCTGCTGTCAGCTACGCAACCCCGTTATAGCTCACGCTTCATCGCAGCCACATGGTTCTCGAGGATGAGCTTGGGGGCTGGCCGCCCAGCTTGAAGTCAGCTTTGACGAAGAGACAGACGCACGAATCAATGCAGTGGTGATAATGATGTCCACATCCTTGGCCTGCTGGAGGAAAAGCGCCATCTCAGCGTCGAGGAATGCCTATTGTCAGCTCGGCGGCTTTCGGGGCCATCTCTCACCTTTGACATCTCCTTCGCGTAGCCGCCTGAGCCCGAGCCGTCCTCCTCGATTTCGACGGTGAGAAATTCGGCTCCAAGCGACTCAACTTGCTCCTTGACAACAGGGCGTGTGTCAAAACCACGCACGACGGCACCCATGCGGCGCGCCGTGGCGATGGCGGACAAACCGGCAACGCCGCCACCAATTACGAGTACCTTCGCTGGAGGAATCTTTCCGGCAGCGGTCACCTGACCTGTGAAAAATCGCCCAAACTCGTTGCCTGCCTCGAGCACGGCGCGGTATCCCGCCGTGTTCGCCATCGAACTTAGAGCATCAAAGGTCTGAGCCCGTGATGTGCGGGGGATCGCGTCCATCGCAAGAGCATTGACGCCTCCCTTGCGCAGCACCTCGACGAGGTCCTTGTTCACGGCCGGGTAGAGAAATGAGATCAGCGTCGAGTCGCTGCTAAGCGCGGCGGCCTGCTCCAGAGTCGGCGGGCGCACTTTGAGGGTGATGTCGGCCTTAAAGTTGGGGTCGGCGATCGTGGCGCCCGCGGCGGCATACGCGTCGTCGGGGAAGTTGGCACCGACACCAGACCCGCGTTCAACAAGGACGCGGCCAAAGCCCTTCTTGAGAAGAGTTGCGACACCAGCGGGTGTCACTGCCACGCGATTCTCAGAAGGGTAGGTCTCGCGAGGGACACCAACGGTGAGGTCCTTGTATGGGATGCCTGGTGGGGTATCATCATGGAGGACGGATGAGCGATGTAGGCTCCTTTTGGCTACTGTTAGTCGTCATCGCTACTGTTCCCAGATCGCGTCACGCACCTGCAAAGGCCAACTGCCGCACCGGCGCTGAATGTCAGCAAGCACGACATAGACAAAAGTGGCAGGGAGGACTTACCAAGTCGGATGCGCCTGCAGTCGGCGCCCACGGCTTGCATGGGGAGGATGTTGGAGGAGGATGGAGAGGGATGAAGAGGTAGAGGAGAGTGGCGAGAGAGAGAATGATGATGATGAGAGAGAACAAAGTTGTGGGGAGCACCCAGAGCCAGAAAGAGGAGGGAAGGCTCCTGACGCGCGGCTGAGATTATCGGACTGGCCCGACCGACCTTCCGCCCTCTTTCCATGCGGGGCCCTCAGTTACAAAGTCAGTCACGTGGCAATAGCATACCGCCGTTTATGGTGACGATCACCTTGCCTCCGCACGGAAACCCGCATCTCCATCTCCGCCTTGCTGCACACGGCCTTGCCGTGTCTTTTCGCTACCGTGCCAGCTTCCCAAACCAGCTAACGACATCAGCACGACAAAAGCGCATCGATTGATCGGAACGTTCCGCATAACCGGGGAATGTCGAGGTGAGTCAGTAGGCCCTGAGCGTAGTGCACGAACAGGTGTGCGACGGTGTCGCTAGGCTATTCGCGAGCGAGGCGACCACCGATCTCCTCGACGCGCTCGACGCGACTGCCCTTGGCAGTTTTGGGGTTCCTCGGAATTGTCGCCCGCACGCTTTCCGCTTCTGCGCTCAGACTATTCTGGCGAGAACTTGCGCTGACGCTCGAACCAAACAAGGCCGGCCCCAACCACCGGCTGCCCTTCATTCCTCGGCGCTTCTGACACACCAGTCTTAGGCGACCAGACCTTGCACGCGCTCATGCTTGCTGTGATCAGTTCTTCCACTGTATATGGCCAGCAAGCTTTCTGTTGGCTCTGCCCATCAAGTTGCGTCACGCAATGCATAGCTGGCACACCTCAATGCCGACGACCCAGCGTTCTGCCCCACACCGGACTTGAGCGCGCTCGGGTTTGCCCCCGCTCACCTCCACCAGTGACGCCCAGGAGTGTGTTTGGATCAGCGGAAGGTCGCTTCCCACTTGAAGACACTCTCTTGCTCATCTCAGCCCATTTCATCAGCATCCAACTCATCAGCGTCATCCTCCTTACCTGCCGCTTCTCCCAGTCTCCTGGCATCCATCGCGATGCCGAACAAGCATAGCTCTCCCCGTTCGCAGTCCGGTAGTAGTGACAGCGAAGTGCCCGGCGCTCCCTCAGAGCCCAAACACAACTTGCGTACTCGCAAGAAGAACAGTGAGCCGCGCTCGACGCGGCCAGCCCGTTCCACACGCGTGAATAAAGTGATGCTGGAGGAGGGATCGGACATTGAGTTCATCAGCGAGTCGCCCGCTACAAGTAGAGCGCCCTCGATTCAGCGGGCCACGACTAGGAAACGCGGACAACCTAGGTCAACCTTTCTCGGCGTCTACATACCTAAGTACATTGATGGAAAATGAGTGGCAGAACTGACAGCAGGCTGAGACCGTCTGAGGAGATGATTCGTGAGATGAGACAGAAGCAAGCCGCTGCTGTAAACGAGGCGGCTGCAGATGACGCCGTCGATGTCACCAATCAGCCAGGAAGCCCAGTCGAATTTGTCATCGAGTCAAGTGTAGAGGACGAGGAGGACGAGGAGGGCATCGATAATGACCTAGGCGTGGCGCTCCAACGATCTACGGCACCGGGCTCGAAAGCCCCCTCTGTCAGACCCATGCCCGAGAGGTCCCGCTCGCCTACGAAGAACGTGCCGCCGGCATCACCCATAGAACTGCCCGAGGAGAGCGTACAAGGCAATAATGATGAGGGGAAGAAACGCCGTGAAGACTCAGATGCGGACGAAACTCCCCGGCGCATGGGCAAGGGCAAGGAGCGCCGTGAAGACTCAGACGACTCAGATACGGACGCCGCCCCACGGCGCAAGCGCCGCGGTAGTGGCGAGCGGAAGCGCAAACCACGTTGCAGATCCGGTGGTTCTGCTGATGAAGGTCTCAATGCCATCGAGCTCGACGAACCCGAGCGCTTCAAGACCACTTCCCGCCTGCGCGAGGTCAAGAAGAGCGCGTTTCAGCAACGTCTCGGCAGTCTTCAAAAGAAACGGCGTGGGAAAATATTTGGGGCCGAGGTGGTCGAGAGCTCGAGCGAGGAAAGCTCGAGCGAGGAGGACCGTCGCAAGCGCCCGGGACCGAGCAAGAATAGGAAGGGGTCACAGTGGAAATTTGTGCAAGACGACCTATCCGATTTCATCGCCTCTGACGACGACAATGAGACTATACCTAACCCGCGTGGGCGGGATACGGGTCGCAATCGGAACGAGCTGGATGTGTTCACCTTCAAGCGCGAGACGCCTGAATACAAGTTCAAAGTTGTTTTCCAGTACCTCCTCGTCCTGGCCATCAAGGGTCCGAATGCGATCCTTCCTCTGCGCGGCAGTAACGCCGAGTACTATGGCCGCTCGCTCCGCAACGTGCGAGAACAAATGAGTGGTGTCAAAAGCAGCATCACCAGTGTGCTGTGGCGTCCCGAGTTCCTCAAGGCTCTGAAGAAATACCCGCAGTGGAAGCAAGCGCGGTTGGACAAAGAGGAAGACCACTGTGAGGCGTGCAATCGCTCCAAACAGGCGTGCCAACACGAGGCATGGCTGCGGGGATCACCATATCATCCTGAGAAGCACGAGGACGAGTTTGACCGGGAGCGTGCCGAGCTAGCGGAGGCACAGCGTCGCCGACGCCGCAAGTACAAGAAGCAGGGGCGCGACATGAGCAGCAGCGACAGCGATGACCCGCGCGAGATTGGCGCGCTCGGCGCGACCTGCCTACAGCGCACAAGTCTATGGCACGAGCTGCACCACTGGGAGCACCGGCTGTACCACGACATCTGCCACTACTACCACGACTTGCTGCGGGCTAAGGGCGAAAGCGTCGACACAGACAGTGACAGCCAGCTGTCGCTTTCGGATGCGAGCGCCGGCGCCAAAACTGACCTCAAACGCCGCCGCGCGATTAGCCAACGCCGCGTCACTGAACTCAAGAAACGTCGGCTGCCCAGGGATCCTGAGGACGTCGACGAGGTCACGGAATGGATGGATGGGCAAGGCTATCAGCGAGACGCGATGCGGTACCTCACACGACTGGAAGCTCGCGCACGAGAGCTCGATGCGCGATAACATGTAGCTCTAAGATGCTGTTCATTTGCCGAAGGCTTGATGAAGGGCCACTGACTTTGTCTTGCTTGCTCGCGATCCGCCGCTGTCACCATGGTAGTCCCTTTCGGCTCCGCTTACCCTGTACGCACCACACATGTGTACTTTGAAGCCGTTACTCCGTTCACAGTCGTTCTCTCAAGACATACCGATTTAAACCGACACAAAGTGCTTCTCGTGTTGTGTGTTTTCTGACTTTTCTCACAGCCAGCTGCATGGAAACGAAGATCGCTTGCCCTGGAATCCCCAGCTCTTCTTTATAATGCTTTCAATGACATAAATGTGTCCCATTCACGGCGCCTGCGCCCTCGACATAACCGAGCAACCAACATTCGACACACTACCACTCACATTTCTTGTCTATTTTCGCTCTCATCTCGTCCTCAGAACCTCCAATCACCTTCACGCCTGTCACAGATGCTGTTCCATAAGATCCACAACTGGCGATATTACTTTCCAACCCTCCAGCAATCAGGCTACCATCCGGTAGAGGGCGTCGTCGACGACTCGATCTGGAGGAAGGGCAGTTTCGAGATTGTCTCGTCTGACGCCGTTCGCTTCCGCGTTGACTGTTGCCACCTCAAATGCAGGTACCCCACCCCGCCCCCCCGCCACTAACCCAGCGCTGCGTTCAGCACAGCGATCGACTCGAATTTGGGCACGGCTATTCTGACCGACACGACCATAGAGACAGCCGAGACGATCCGCAGCTTCCTCGCGCTCGCAACGAACGCGCCCCTCCCCCTCCGCCCCTCGTGTGCCGGCATCCCCGAGCTTCTTGCCTTCGTCGCAAAGTGGGGCGCTCCGTCGCTCCGCCAACCTCTCTGGGCGGCACTTGAGTCCGCCGTCCGCCGCCGCACAGTCTGGGCACCGTGGGCATTCCAAGCCGCCGCGTTCGGCGACAACGCCGGGCTGTGCTCCCTCGTCCTTCGCACGGAGGCGCACAACGTCTGGGCAGAGGGCGTCGGCACCGGCACACCGGGAGAGAGCGTGTGGGATCCCGCGCACTGGCCGCCCGCATTCCGCGCCACGCCCACGCCGTACCTCTGCGCCCTGGAGCGAGCGTGGGAGAGCGCGGCGAGGAAGGGCGGGCTGGAGAGCATCGCGGACGTCGAGCAGATTGCGGGCGAGTTTGAACGCTTCCTGAGAATCGCTAGGTCGGCCTGTGAGTATCAGAGTGGCGAGGGCTTACCGCAGCGATGGCTCTGCATGTGCACGACCACACTGAAAAGGTCTCTCGCGTGTAGGCTAAAGTACTGAGAAGCGCCTCACTGCCGCCGTTACACACCTTTGTAGTTAGTAATGCTCTTATGCGCTATTACTACGGTTTTGGAGCAGGAAGTTTTGGGAAACCGTGCCCGAGCGGTACCTGTTCGCCCTCGCGCGAGCTTATGGCAGGGGTGAGGATGTGGCGGTGGATTTCAAGAAGTATCTCGAACTCATGGAGGGGTGCCACGTCGAGGTAAGCGTTGTCTGAGCGGACTAACCGCTGAAAGTGCCGAAGGTCGACGGGATTGAGCGGTATGTTCAGCAGTCAAGAATTGATCAGCAGAAGTGTATGTCAATACAAGATGACATCCGATGTCGACTTTGAGCTATCAGACCTACAACTTGCCCTTCTGCTCACTAGTCCACTCAGCGTGTGCCCTCTCGCGCAGGAGCCGGCGCAGAATCTTGCCGCTTGGACTTTTTGGGATCAAATCCGTGATCACCACACCGCCGCGGAAACGTTTGTGTTGAGCCACGCGCTTCGCGGCCCACTCTCCAATCTCACGCGCGTAGCGGCGTCGGTCCCGTTCGGTTTTGAGCTCTGCCGCCTTCTTGGCATCGAGAACAACATAGGCGCTGCTGTCAGTTTACAATTGCTCACGTGAACATCGCCGGCCGGCTCAACCCATCAAATACTCACCGCGGCAGCTCCGTCGCCTGCTTGTGATCCTCGACGCCGATGACACCCGCGTCCACGACATGGTGATGTTGCAGAAGCACGTTCTCCAGCTCAGCCGGCGCGACTTGCAAGCCCTTGTACTTGATGAGCTCCTTCACGCGATCCACGACACGGAACCACCCGTGCTTGTCCCGGATCATGAGGTCGCCCGTGCGGAACCAACCTCCCGGCAAGATATCCCCCGTGCGCCCTTTATACCCCTTCATGACGTTCGGGCCGCGCACCCACAACTCGCCGGGGGTGCCCAGTGGCGCGTCGGTGCCGTCCTCGCGCACCAGCCGCGCCTGGTAGGAGGGAATGAGGCGGCCGACCCACCCCAGCCGCTCGGGCGTCGCCATCTTGCTGTTCATAACCGCGATGCCCGGACTCGTTTCCGTCATCCCATACGCCTCGCAGATGGGAACAGGGAGTATTTTGTGGAAACGCCGCGCGAGATCGACGGGCAGCGGCGCCGCGCCGCATGTGACCGAGCGTAATGAGCTCAGGTCGTACTTCTTGAAGTGCGGCGAGCTCGCCCACAGCACAAGCACGGGCGGGACGATGATGGCTGTGGTGATCTTGAACTGGAGTCAGCGCTTTCGCCTTTATACTCACCTCTTGGATGGCTTTGTATACTGGAATCTCCTCGAAGCGGGGCAGGAGGACGACGGCACATCCGAACCTTAGGGGACAGAGGAGGAACATCATCGCGCCATAGATGTGGCTCATGGGCAGAAAGCCCAAGATCCTGTCCTGCGGCGTGAGCTGCTCGATGCGCGCGCCGGTCGTCTGCATCTGTGTCGTCATGTTGTAGTGCGTTGTCTCGACACCCTTCGGCAAGCCGGTCGTGCCGGAAGAGTAAAACATAAACACGGTGGCCATAGGTTCCGTTTCAAAGCGTTCCGCCGGCGCGCGCTCTCCCAGCAGCTCATGAAGCGAGCGATATTTGTCGGGCGCACCGGCGCGCGCTCCCGGCCCAACCGGACAGCAAAGCACGACCCGACTGTCGGGGACAGTGATGTTGAAGCGCTCCCGGGCCTTCTCGAAGACGTGGAGGTGGGACGGAGCAACGAAGAAAAACGACGCGCCCGAGTCGTTCACCTGGTGGGCCAGTTCGTGCGGCTCGCTGCAGTATCAGCGCGTGAATGCGGGCAGAACGCATGCACCCCGCGGCTTCCCTTCGCGGCTTCCCTTCACGGATACCTAGGGGCCCAAGTAGAGGAGTATACTCACTAAGCGATATTCGCCGGCGTGACAGCACACCCTGCGGCGATCGCGCCCCACGTCGCGAACGCAAACTCGATCGAGTTGGGTGAGAAGAGGTTGACCACGTCGCCGCGCTTCATCCCCGCGTCCCGCAGTCCTTGGCCTAGCCGTAGCGCGGTATCCTCCAACTCGCCGCGGGAGACGGAGCGGCCCGTGGCTGCGTCGATGGCGCAGGGGAGCGAGGGGTCAAACGAGGGCAGGGGAGAGACGGCCGGGCCGTCGGGAAAGAGGTAGTGGAAGAGGGACATGGAGGGGAGGAAGGGCTCGGGGTAGTCTGAGGTGTAGATGATGGGTTCTGCGGGTGAGGGCGACATGGTGGACGTTGAGAGTTGCCGAGAAGGTTGTGAGAGCGCTGGGAAAGAGAGAGTATAAATATCGGCGTGGAGAGGGATGGCAACAGAGAGAGTATAAATATCGTCGTGGAGCGCCTTCAATTTGGGAACCGAATGCCTCGGAGTCTTGTGATCGAGATCCGGGATGACAGTTCAACGTAGCCCTTGAGCGATCAAGAGACGGAGTGGGACATGCACACGCCTTGTTGAGCGAGCGGAAGAGGGTACAGCGGGTACTGGTGCGTCAGTATGTGCCGCCGGCTACTAATAGGCGAGTCACCGAGAATGTGAGGCCGATTCCCCCCTGCCCAATAATGGTCAAGATAACGCTAGTTGACCGATCAATCGGCCAGGTGACTCCCGCATGTCGAACGCATGGTAATGGATGAAACTATTCCGTGTCGGTAGTGGTGCTCATCAAACCGTGCCAGAGTGAGCCCTCACGGCGTGCGATATACGTCCAAAAAAGTCTGCGGGCGTACGTGAACCCCCCTCCTCCTTG